GGAAAGTCTTTGGTCGTATAGCAAAAACAGGGGATGAGAATGAAACATCGTTTTGGGGATGAAATCTGTGCACTTTTCGATATACACGCTCTCACCCCTCGGCTTGGAATTATTTTGCCACGACACACGATATTTCTCCACCCCCTGCCCAAAAAAAACTTCCGTCACACTCAAGCAACTCCCCAAGAAGACTTCCTTCATTTCGCAATACCCCGCAAGAGGAGTGTGTTGATGCAGAGAGAGAGAGAGGGATTATTGTTACGATTATGATTATTAGAATGTACCAGGGAGTTGAAAATTGGACTATTTTTCTCCCTCTCTTCCGCCCCCAAATCGATTCGAAGAGTCTGCTAGAGAGACAAAAAAGACTCTTCTTCTACGCTCTTATATGCAATTTCACCATTATAAGTGCTTCCAGAGATTACGTCTTGGCTTTGAAGACAAAATCCCGATACGAGTTCAATTCCCTCTGTTTCACTTATCACGGCATATTAGATGCTGAAATACGGTTGAGCGATTCATCAATTTCGTTGGGTTTGACGATACGAAAACAGCAATGAGGAAGATTCAGCACATCGACAATACAATCGCTGGTCTCTACGTTTAAATTGAGGAAAACTATACTTACTGACTATTTACTTAAGTAAGTAGGTCAAGATAATAAGAAATACTAAGTGTAATAACACTTAGATCGTTCTCAGAAATCCTAAAAGCCTGCCATATACGGAAAATCTAATATCACGCAACCAGTAAAACACGCATTTGATCATCAATATTTCTTGTATATCACAAACGGTGTCACATGCCAATATCCGGTTTAATAATGTATTGTATTCCATAAGAGCAACGAGACACTAAAAGCTCCCAAGAGAATCCTAATTGTTCCCATAACAACAGAAGTCATGCATTTGTGTCGAATGGGTGTAAAAGGCTGGAAATGTCGTAGTAAAGGCACTTGAAGAAATAAAACAAGACAAGATGAGGCATATTGAGAGAAATAAAAGTCAATGGCGAAAACTTGTTGACAAATTCCACAATTGATAAACCCTTTTCTCCGTGTATGTGTGCCCTGAGTCTTGGGTGGAAGGGGCGGAGAAATCAAATGAAATGGGTAAATTGTGCGTCATATTGTAAAGTTTTGCTGACACGAAAAATCTGTTCACCACCATGGCTCTCTTCTCTGCGTTGAGGTTGAGGGTGAGTGATGTGGATGTGTATGATGTTGTGTGAGGTGGACATTTTTCTATAACACAACCCACCCTCTCTCTCTCTCCCTCTCTCTCTCTCTCTCTCTCACTCCCTCTCTCTCGATTGCAAGATGGTGTGAGGCGAAAGACAAAAACTTTCCTAAGTAAATCATCTTTCTTGTCCCTGACTGTTGGTCTCACAGAGCATAAGTTTTCCCCAAGGGAAAATAATTTGCTTAAAATCTGTACACTACTCCCAAATTTTCCAGAAAAATCACTGACATTTCTAGAATTTTAACTTTTTAGGTTGTTTGCTCACCATTTCTCAAATTAAAATGAGTGTGTGTGTGTGTAAATACGAAAAAACCAGAACATAATAGCCTTGATATAAGTTTCACTTCAGTTCTAATTGATATGCACGCAAACAAGTTTTTCAAGAGCATCTCATTACCACCTTCAAAAGACACCCTACTTTGCTCTTCCAGCGCCCCGGTTATTTGATATTAAATTAATTTACTGCTTAGGTGGATTCTCCGCTCAGAGAATTGCCCTCGAGTGTGGAGAACCACAAACAAGCTACGCGCGCGATTGTCTCGCGAAACACTTCGCAGAGAGACAATTGATGGTGAAACTTTTATACATGGACATGATGAAATTTTCCAGTGAAATTAAATTGATACATAGACGCACAGATCTATTGAATATCACAATAATCTCTCTCTCTCTCTCTCTCTCCTTCTTCCTCTCTCTGTCACTCTCGCCAGTTGCGATGCCAAAATTGCTGGAGGAAAGAAGTGTATTCCACCCCAGCGATAGGGAAAAAATATGAAATTTGCAAACTTGGGAAAATGTTTTATATACCCACTCTTCCTCCCACCCTCGGCAATTTTTTCCCATGGATGCTCAGGATGAGGAATGAAGACTATTGGGTGAAAGTGTCGAAGTTGCTGGGTGAGGAAGGAAACAACAAAATTTCATTCAATCATCTTTCCTCCTCGCAGACACACCACTTTCCATGATGAGGGTGGCCAATGCCTGGGCGAGGGGTGGCGCACCGACAGCGGGTGTGTCACGAAATAAATCAGACTAGTCTTTCAATTTCATAATTGCCACATTTCTGTATGTCTCTCTTTGGACGATAACAGCAAAGGCCGAATTTCGATTCACTCGAAAACTGTCAAATGTCAAGTTCACAACTATTAATACGGGAAAATCCCATCACATGTTCAAACTCATTTTCATCTGAATTTAGCACTCAATTCACATTCACAGAACACAGAAAGAAGATCGAAATACACACTGAGCTATAGACTTTAAACACGCAAGACCTGATTTGAATTATCATTTAATGAAAAATTCTATTTTTAAACCTCTATTGAATTTTAAAACAACACAACTCACTAAGGTTGAAAACTGTTACCCATAAAATTTAGGTTTTTGCTGCGCAATATACAGTTGCTGCCAATGAAATAATACATTTGAATCTTCAATAAATTTTAATCGAGTTTTTAAAAACTCAGAGCGAATAATTTTTATTGATTTTGACTAAAAGTATCACTTAGTAAAAATCGTTGCTGTATGTATAAAGCAGTCTCTGAGTTTTCATGATTGATGATGGAGAAGTGAAAATTTTAGTAAAACTTTCACTTCAAACATAATTCCCACATGTAGTGAAATATTTGAGATGCTTTTCCAGTTGACTAAAATGCGCGACAGAGAGAAGATATTTGCAAGTTTGTTGGAAATTTTGAGGCTCAGTTTTGCCGCATGCAAGATTGAAGGAAATTCACTAGCAACTAATAGAATAGAATTTGTGGTGTTTCTCTCTCGCAACAAACTGCTAACACTCACTTTTTTTCAAAACTCCGCGCAAAGTATTTCAAACAGAAGTTTTTGGGCCATGCATATTCCCTATTGAGCCATTGACGAACGAGCCAATGTATATATATATATAAATATAAGAATGCCTGGCATAAATACTTGAAAACTTGATGATGTATATTAAGAGAGGGTAGGAAAACTGAGCCTGCAAATTTTCATCATGCGATTCCTTACAAGATCTTAATATTGTGCCCTCAGTCCTTGGTAAAGTTCAATTCCAATTAGACTTCCACTCGGGCGGGTGAGGAAGATTAAAAAGAATAATAAATTTCCATCTCAGTGCAGCTGAGAATGGGTTTCACAGTGTATAAAGCATCTCCTGGAGTGTTCTCATCGCGGGAAATAAACAAGACATTCAAACTTCTTATTCAGTAAGGATGCGGAAAAGGAGATTGAGATCTTTGAGAGTCTCCGCGCGACTCACACCATTGCATGAAAAGTTGTTTTTCTCTTGGAAAAGAAACTCACCCCGCGCGCTCCAATGTTGGAGTGGAAACAGGATAACTATTCGATAATGAATACCTTTGCCTTCTGGATCAATATTTGATTAAAGTTTTCTCCTCACCAATTGTGCGGTGCAAATAAGAAGCTGAGCGACTCTGGGTGAAATTGAAGCAAAATTCTCCTCCGTATATATTTTCTATTAAAAAGTACGTGAGTTGAATTCAGGGTAGTTTTCATGGAACTTTTACACTTTTTTATGTATGTCTCTTGTGTATGCGCGACTCTTCTCACATTTTCCGTGTTGTTTTTATGTCCTATGCGGGGCAAATCATTTCTCACCGCGGTGATAACAGTAGTTGGAGTTTATTTGTGGAAGTTGAGAATGTAAATAAAATATTGAGGTGAATTGAACCGCAAACGAGGTGCCATTGACTACCTCTTGTGATTTACATATACACGAAAGGTTTATAGCTGAATTAGGGCTGTGATCATGGTAGAATTTATCCAAATGATAGACCTTGAGTGGCTCTTGTGTCGCACTCACGATCGAGTTTCGCTCCCACGATTCGTTCTCCACCTTTTGCCACCCTCTGAGCAATTTCTTGCCACACTGCGAACGACGAACAAAACCCCATCAATACGCTGTAGATAGCAAATTCCAAATGTCTCTACGAACGACATTTCAACCTCCCACACTCGCCGAAATGTGTGCAATGTGAGACGATTTGGGGCGACAAGAGAGCTGAAATGCTGGGGGAAGACAGTTTGGTGGAGCTGTTCTTTCCAGAATCGTCTCTCTCTCGCCTATCGGAAGGGCGGACAGAAGCTCACAGAGGGGAGCTATCGACGTGTCGAGAAAACACCCTCACAACGAAAGAGCACCATATAATGAAGGGGTGATGTGCGAGGATCGCTCTCATAGCACCATTTTTTTTCTCTACTGCAAAGTGCATTTGTCGTGTTCGCCTCGTGTTGTTATCCTCAATTCGCCGCCCCGATTTTCCAGCCCCAACCCTTGGCGAATGCCTCCGTTTGTCAACTCAATCAGTAGCTGCACTTTACTACTCTTTCTCCCTTCAGACATTTTGAGGGATGTTTAAACATTTTAGATCTTTCTCCCCGGGCTATGATTCTGCCTGAGCTGCACATCTTCTCCAAATATGCCATCTTCAAGACCTTCTTTCCACCCGAGTTGCATCACTTCATATGTGTCTTTTCATGAACACACATACACTCAATTGGATACGAATTTGAGATGCCCCTTTCTTGTGCGCGGTTGCCTTGTAAATTGATGTTGACGAAGAAATGGAGCATTTACCGAGATGATAGTTGGCAAATATTTGAACTGCACTATTTCAACTCCCACTCCATAGATTCCCCAGATCTTCAATTTAGATAGAGTGCGGCAAAACTCATCACGATTAAGTCCTCAAATAAATTTTGTATCGTCTCATGGTTATTTTATAATCACATCCCTCTCTCAAACAGAGAATAATGGACTCGGCAGAACAGGCTGCCCTGTCCTCGGAGACCGACCAGGAGCCGCAGGCTCAAACCCAGATCCACAATGCAGCGAATGGCTTCTACGACTCGCGTCACTTGAACGAGTACGCGTCCAATGGGCGGCTCGTGGAGGGAGCCAAGGAGATGCTTTTGCGGCCAATGCGGCGCTTCGAGAGACTTCCCGTCAACTTGACTCTCAGCTCCATTCTCGTGCCGCCGGGCATTGATGTTAATGGTGGGTACAGGAATTCCCGTAGATATCCCTCGCAAAGTGATGTGATTGCTGTGGTGATTTACTCATGTCTCGTCCTGGATTTAGATGCTGACGTGCAAGCTTCCATTGCCTGGTCCTCGCATCTGGATCCACTCTTCGCTAATAATATGGAAAGGGATCCTGCGCTCTCGTGGCAGTATTTTGGATCGAGCAAAGGCTTCCTCAGGCGCTTTCCCGGCACCGCTTGGCCGCCTGATGGACAAAAGATGGACAAGGACATCAATGACTTCCGCACGGAAAACTGGTTCGTGCAAGCTGCATCATCGCCCAAGGATATTGTAAGTCTCCTTCTGTGAGATCATTCAAGAAGATCTCAGTAAAATTGTGATTTGAACCATTTTTTCAGTTTATCCTTGTGGATGGCTCAAAGTCAATGTGCAGCTCCAGCAATCACCACTTGGCTTCGGCCACGGTTGGAGCAATTCTGGACACTCTTGGTGACGATGACTATGTGAATGTGGTGACATTCACGGACTCAGCCAAGGCTCTTGTGCACTGCTTCAGCGACAAAATGGTGAGAGCCACGCCGGACAATATCAAAGAGCTGAAAGTTGCGGTCGACAGTATGGAATGCGAAGGTTCGGGCAATTTCACGGCGGGTCTTGAAATGGCCTTTCAAGTTCTACATCACGTAAGCAAAGAATATCTTTATATATTCCTTTATTTTCCTCGCGTAAATGCAACTGTCGTGTGAAATTGAACTCAACACTTACATTTCCACAGTACAACCAATCTGGACAAGGAAGTCAATGCAATCAGGCCATTATGTTGGTGACCACAGGCACTTCGGAGACACACGACGATGTGAGTTTTGTTACATTTCACTCCATCTCCTGTTGAGAGATTCACACACTTGAAATTTCTCTGTCTGCTCTGTCTGCACAAATGTAATAATTCATGTTCCGTCTAACCATCGTTTCCTTCCTTCCATCCGTTCGCACGATCTCCTCGCTCCTGAGCGGTTGTGTATATGTGTTCTGCGCCCAAAAATTGCCACCCCTTCGGCTTCGCTGTTCTTCAAAACGCAAAGAGCTCTTACATATTCATTTTCTATGAATTATTATGTGGTCCTTCGCAAATGGAAAACACAGTTTTCCTCAACAATAATTCTTCGTCTATTGCCTCACCGCGCCTCCTGTGTGGGGGTGGTGAATGCCTGGGAAATTTGCATTGTAATGCAGCAGAATTTTAATGAGGCAATGTGAAGGCGGATGAAGAAGGTGTCTCTCTTCAATGTCATTTCCAATTTTCCCCCGTTGCCAGATTATTCGGCACTATAATTGGCCCCACATGCCCGTGAGACTGTTCACCTACCTCGTCGGCAGCGGCGACTCCAGCTCCAGGGAAGCGCTGCACACAATGGCGTGCGGCAACAAGGGCTACTACGTGCAGATCAGCAGCGAGGAGGAGGCCAGGCGGCTGGTGCTGGAGTACGCGCTCGTCATGGCGCGCCCGATGGTGCTCTACCAGGCCGACCATCCAGTGCACTGGAGTCCCGTGTTCATTGGCGGTCGCAGCGCCGTCCTGGGCAGAGATAGCGAGAACCGCCGACGTCTGGTGACAGCCGTGACGACGCCCGTCTTCGACAGACGGAATCACTCACAGCGCGTGGCCAATCTGCTCGGCGTTGTGGGCACTGATGTGCCCATCGAGGAGATCCAGAAGATGATTCCCCAGCACAAGGTGAGCAGGATGAAAGCTTTTTGATATGACTTTTTTGGTCATATCATTGTTTTAAATTCCCAATAAACAAAATCGAAGTGCATGGTCAGTGGTGGTCAGACGCGTACAACACATGATATTTATGGGTGAAAATATATATCAATGAAATGAACATCGTAGCCAAACAACCGCCCACTGAGCGGCACACAATAAATGCCACCCATTTTCATCCCCGCCCTATTTTCTCTTCTCAACAGCTTGGCGTCAATGGCTATTCATTCATTGTGGACAACAATGGTCGAATTCTCTATCATCCCGATTTGAGACCACTGGTAAGCCATGAATGATGGTTAATTTTTCAGCCCACCCACAGTTAAATGGTCTCTCTCCGCAATGTCTCATTGCAGAGTGACGGCTCGCAGTACAATAGAAGATTAAAACCAAAGTACACTTCCGTCGATTTAACTGAAGTGGAACTACCTGAGATCGATACATCCGGCAATGGCGAACGAGAGAGTGAGAACACAAACTTGTTGCTCGATGTAAGTTTCCCATCTCTTTTCCACTCTAATGAGACTTTTTCACCGGCGAACAGAGAAGTGGTGTCACTTTGACATTATCACGTTATAAATTTATGCAGGAAAATTACTTCCAACCAGAAAGACTATATCAAACACATCGAATTGGAGGAAATTAAATTGCAAAGTTGTGAATATTTTTACCAACAACTTTTTATTACTATTGTACTTTGTCATTCAATTTTAAAACGTAAAACCATCTCTGTCTTCGCATTATCTTTAGAATTTCATTCACTATCGACCGCAATTTATAAAGTTCCCCCAACAAAAGGGAGCAAAGTCTGTGATTTGCTCGTCGGTGGTAAATTCTCGTGTGTGCGGAATGCACAGAAAAAAATCGATAAGTGTGAAATATTAAAATTCTTCATGGGATTTTTTCCCATCATTGCTCCTCACTTTGCGCTCCACGTCCTCGACATTCCGTCTATTTATTCTCTCTGTCCCTCTCTCGCCTCGCACAGATGCGCCAGGAGCTTGTGTCCCAGAAAGAGGGTGAATCGGAATTTGAAGTGCTGCAGCATTTGGACATCATGAAGCGAATTTCACTTCGTTCACTGAGGTACTTCTATGGTCCTATTGACGGTACACCCTTTTCGCTGGCGCTCGCATTGCCGGAAAAGTATGGGATGCACGAATTGAATGCCCAACAAGAGATTCGCCACTCTCACATTAATGGTACGTGAAAATGTGATGTGGAGTTGAGGAAGCTTCTTCAATGGTGGTGTTTTTGCTCATTGCAGTGACTGAGTATTTCAAAGGTAACAGCTGGAAGGTCCATCCAGACTGGGTTTACTGTGAGTATAACAATATCAATGATTTGGAGCGCGAGCGAGAGAATTCCGGGGATTCGTTCTCACACGAGGAGACCTTTGAGACACCCGAAGATCAAGTGTTGCACTTTCTGGCCAGAGCTGGGCGCCCAGGATGGAAGTGGATGTCGGTGAGTTGTGCAGAAAACACATAAGATTCTCTGAAGTGGTAAATATATGTCACAATGCGTCTTGACACACTCATCCTCTTCCTCCAGGTGAGACCACGATCTCCACAGCCCCACCACGGGCACGGGGGCATTCCAGTTGGCCACTACTCGCAGCACTTCAATTCCGGTCAGGGCTCGCGCAAGGCTGAGCCCTATTTCTGCGACCGGACCCTGATTCAGAGTCTCGTGCGTGATGCAATTGTCACTGATGGATTGGACAGGGGACCCACTCATCCCACGCGCAAGGAGGACAAACAGTAAGTCACACACTTTTGCCGAAACTTTTTCATCTCTGCCAGTCGTGAAAGTATTCCCCTCATCATTTTTCTCTCGCCATTTCTTTCTTGTTTTTCCTCACGCCCAACCTTTCACCCAATGTTTTCTGTAGTGAAATAGTGAAAGTCTATGAGCGAGAGAAAGAGAGAGAGAGAAATGTACATTTTTCATATTAGATTTGCCAATGAATTATTTCTCGATAAATTCTCCCCTTTTGCAATTTATTTGGAATTTTCCACCATTGGCCAAGTTTTCCAGAACTTCTCCACAAGGACAATTCTCAAGGGAATCAAAAATGGAATCGTCATAGTGAATACATATGTATGTGGCATTATAGAGAATTCTCAAGAGATTTTTGACGAATTTTCCACAAGATAAATTTCAATACGTGTCGTGTGAAATACAATTGAATCTATAGGGAAAATTTAATATTTTAAGTCAACAAAAAGTTGCTTCTCTATTATTGATTGTTTTTTAAACACTCAGTTTTCTAATTTGGTAATTAGTAAATCTCTTAAATTTATATTTAGGAATTGCAATTGGAGAGTGAAGAAATGAAGACAACAATTTGGCAAATTTAATCATGTTAATGAGAAAGCTGCATGCAAAAACTATTTTCACCTTATCACATGCACAGAACAATTTGAGTTTTTTTTCTCTTATCCTATGATTTGTCAACATTACGATGATGAAGTGGAAATGAAAATATTTTTTTACTAACAAGAGCACCATTTGCACATTTAATTGTATAGCCCAATCGCCACGTTGATGGCTTTGCTGCACAGGTAAAAAATGCTGAAAAGACCATTTAACACTGTTTTTCTCCTGCAGCGCGTTAAGATCGTGGACAAGAAGTGATAATTGTGCCTACACAGCATCGCAATATGATGAATAATACTGAAGTTCTATTCGGTCTTGTTCACTTGATGTGTGTGCTTTGATATCAAAATTGTGTGTTGAAGAGTGGGCGATAAAAAGAGCGATACATCTTTGATGAGATGAAATGACGGAAACTTTTGTGGTACACTGGAAAAAGCTAATGGATTTTCTTCGTGTTCTTGCAGACAAGGATACCAAATGTTCGGCGTAACGGTGTCGTTTGTGGCGACGCGGTCAGGACTCTTGCGCTGGGTCGATCACATTCCCCATCCTCCAGACTCGCCGGAACCGTGAGTGTTCTCTTCCTTTATCCACTCTTCTCGCGATCCTTTTACTCATTTTCGTCATTTCTTGCGTGACTTTTCAGGCATTTCAGCGAATCCAACACCCGAGCGATGGACATGACATGGTACAAGAGAGCTGTGGATCAGCACGCCATTGAGCCAGACAGTTTCGTTTTCAGTGTGCCCTTTGACTCGGGCTACACGGGCAAAAGCAACGCCACTCTCGTTACGGCCGCACACGCCATCTTCATTGACCACAGAGGCCACAAAGCGCCGGCCGCGGTTGTGGGGCTTCAATTCCAGCACGATTCTCTCGCCAGACACTTCATCAACATCACATCGGCGGTGAGTGACCAGTAATCGAAGGGGTGTAAGCATCTCAGCGTGTAGAGAGGAGCTGAGATGTTTATACTCCTCGCCAAGATCATGCATCAAACATATTTCTTGCTTTTCTCGATTTCTTCAGTGCACCGCAAGTGGTTGCAGGAAGACCTGCGCCTCGGATGAGCTCGATTGCTATCTGCTGGACAACCATGGCTTTGTGCTACTCTCCGAGGACTCCGAGCACACTGGGCGGTTCTTCGGGCAAATTGACGGTACCATAATGGACTCCCTCGTGCAGGATCGCATCTATAGAAGAGTGCCGCTGATGGACTATCAAGGAGCGTGCTCGGACAGCGACAGCTCCTTTGCCGCTGCCGGGCAGAAAGTGAAGCCCCCAAAGCCTTTGTCCTGGCTCCTCGATTATGGCATGTCTTTGGCCGTGTCGTGGCTCTCGTTGATGCCAGCGCCGATCTCCGCTTGGTCCAGAGCGCGCTACGGACCTGAGTACACGGACCAGGATGAGGACGATATCGACGACATAAACTACTCTGACGACTACGACACAAACTTTGACTATCCGCCCATTAGCAATGACTACGTAACAGCACCGGAAATTGTGAGTAGAAGAATGAATGTAAAATCTCTCTGCAAAATTATTTTTATTTTTTTTACACTTTTGATAAGGTTCTTCAAATTCCATACAATTTTATTTTCTGTCCAAGAAGATTCTCATCTTCAAAGGATATGTATTATGATGGTTCTTAACAGCCTCTTTTCCTGAAGCAGATCTTCGAGAGACCAACTCAGCCACCACCAAGGCCTGTAACTCCACCACCTGGACCGCGGGTCATTCCCGACCCAAATCATGCCAGACCATGTGACCTGAAAACGGATCTGTACATCCTGCAGCCGGACAGGCTGAATTCGAGCGGGCAGAGCAATCCACTGAAGGGGAAGCTGACGAACTGCCACTCATCGGGCTGTGAGAGGCCGTTCAGTGTGCAGAAGATCCCGCACAGCAACCTCATTCTGCTGGTCGTGGACACGCTGTGTCCGTGCGGCTCAAAACAGCTGGACATCGAGCCGCAGGAAGTCACTGGAGGACGTGGTGAGTGTTTGGAGAGGCGTCAGTGATGACGGTGAGTGCTAATCATGGTGATTGCCATTTTGCAGGCGCTTGTGGGACGAGGCGCCAGGCAAAGGAGAATCTGCCGCGAAAGCGACCGCAGAAGTGTATAAATTACCATCCGGAAGAGACGGAGATTCAACAGTGCGGTCGCGCCACGAGGCAAGCCATTAATGCGTCCCTCCTGTCCACCATCTTCACGTTCACCCTGCTGTGGACCGTGACACACGTGTGATTCCACGAACTCGCGACAACTCCACGGACATACACTTAATGGGTGATTGAGGACTACTTACTGAGCATCTCGCGGGAGGCACAGGCACAAAAATCACGAACGGGTTCTATTTAATTTTACTACCGAATACATCGATGGTAAGAGTTTAATTAATCTTAACGTAATTGATAAAAAGTTGGAGATAAAAGGCATAAAAGCAAAAACTGAAGGAGAAAGAATACCAGTCACACACTAAGATATAATCGTTAAGGAAGAATTATAAGTGAAAGTAAGTTATTTAAAGTACAGATAAATTTAAAAGAAGAAGAAAAAAAATGTGGTACCTTTATTGTATGACTGACTGTCTACTATTTACATTAATTAAATGATGACATAAATTGATGAACAATAAAATCGTGTGAATGACTTAAATTAATTATACATTTTCAATTATATTGACGCATGAAAGTGGCGTGCAACAAAAAGAGAAACACGAAGATCAATTGTGCAGAAAAATGTGTGGTCAAGCACAAGATGCTTTTTTTGTAAACTTGCGAAAACAGAGTTAATTAATTTGTGAGACAATAAAGAATGCAAAGGCAAAGGAAACAATTAAAGAAAAAAAATTAAACACTTTTATTAAGGAGGTGGAAAAGAAATTGAAGAGACTTTCTTCAGTGGAAAAAATTAGTAGAAATTAAATTTCTAAATAATTCTCTAAGTTAAAATGGTGGGTTTGGGAATTGTAAGTTTATTAATATATTAACTAAAAAAAATTTACATTTTATTGGTATGTTTGCACTGTATAAAATGTACCCCAAAAATATAAGTATGAAAAATGAGATAAGAAATCGCAACATTTCTATAGAACATGTTTAATATGATAAAATGTAATGAAAATTTAGTGAGAAATTGAGTTTAGTCCAATTCGTCGCAGCGATAAGTATTTGTATACATCTGATTTTCCCAAGAAAAGTCGAAGAAAATGAAATTCTACTTGAAAAACCTAAGGAGAATGATAGTAAGAGAAATATGTTTAAAAAATACAGGGCTTAATATTGGAGTAAATAAGGTAAGAGGCAAATTGAAAAAAATGAAGCAAAAATCTCTTATATTTAGTGACGCACACAAAATTATATCGATTGGACAGTAAAATGAGAAAATAAACAATTTAGCATGGCGATAAAAATCCACACAAGAGATACGATCCTGTATGGCAATTTTGAGACATTAAAATGAAATCTTTGAGGACACGAACAAATTGTTACTGTAAATAAATCTTTGAAGATGACAAGAGAGCAGAATAATGTTAAGAGGATAAGGAAATATAGTGAAAATTGAGCAAAATGATGTAGTCAATGCGCAAAGGCAGCAATTTGATGACTGAAAATGCAACTGAAAAGATGTGTTTTTAGTATGAGAAATTGCGTGCTTTCGTTTTGCTAAATCAACACACTGTACAGAGTCTTCCATTAAAGTAAAGGGAGGTGAAAGGATATTAGAAAGGATAAAAAATGAGAGATATTATTGATTTAAACTTACTTATATATTTGAGAGAGAAAAAATTAGAGATCATTAATTCTTATTGAGAAAATTTCTAAACAAAAAGAGAAGAAGGAACTTGAAGTAAAGGCGCGTCAGTTAAATAGAGCGAAAGAGGAGCAGAAAGGCAAACAATTTACATTATACAGATTATACTATTGCTATTATACAATATTACCAATTATACATATTTACAATACATATTAAAAAGAATGGAAAACTCACATAACAGATCACTATATACAATTGAAGGAAAAAAACAGATTTAATTCCACTATATGTACTTTTATTACCTTAAATTGCAAAAGAAGAAAACCAGAATATCAAAGAAATGTATTTGCACTCTGTAATTTTTCAATTCATTAGTTTTTTCAAAGAATATTTTTATTACAAAAGAGTATAAATAAAACACTTCAGAAAGCACCTGGTTTAAAGAATGTATTTATAAGAACGGAAAAATAGTCACTAACACTTTGAATCTTGCACAAAAGAACACATTTTGATTAAGGATCATTTCTGATAAAGCGATAGGTTGGATGAGGTTATATATAACAATTTTCAATCCAGAACAGCGAGAAAACAGAGAATGACAAAATTCTCTAAAAATTACACTTCCCAGACACACAACTTAGATAGAAATTCAATATTGAAGGAAAGTAATCAGTATTCTAATGCGTAATTATATTGAACGAAGAGGAAAGGGAAAAGAGCGAAAGAACAAGAAAAAAAATATTCTTTTACCATTGTTTTAATTAGTTGATATGCAATAAATTTCAGAGAAAATTCATATCAGAAGAAGAAAAATCCATGTTAGGAAGTAACGAGAAAAAAAATGCAAACTATGGATCAATTGAAGTCATATCGAACAAAGTCACTAGAAAAAAATGAGAAAAGGTAATGTTATTTGCGAAAACCCACCCAAAAGAGTAATTCTTATCAAACTCTCAACATTGCAATGAAAGCAAACATTTCCATTTTATTTCTTCGCTTGAAGTCTATGAACAAGTTCTTTGAGAAAAAAAACCTCATTCAGAAATCTTCATCGTTAACCCGAAGCAAAAAAGTATTTCAATTAAAAATATTGACACAATAAATTAAGGATTTAAAGAAAAAAATACATTCGACATCAACTTCTTAAATGTGAAACAGTCTAATTGTGTTTTGAAAGCGTGAAGAAGTGACAAGGATCACTTTGGATTCAGACATTTTAGCGCAAAAGAGATGAGAAAATCAGAAAATTATAAATTTAAAAATAAAAGTATTGTAATTATAAAAGTTTGTATTTTTCTCAATTCCTTTTCGGCGCTTTTCGCGTTTTAGGTATCAGAGACAATTCGGAGCGGAAATAATTAATAGATGACCTTGTGGATGAACTGCAAGAGAGTGCAAGAAAACTGAAGATTGTGTCTTCAGACGTTGCATTGGAAACCTCATCGCCTTAAGCATGAACGCATGAACAGTCGTTTAATGAAGCGCTCGTTTAATTGATGCACATCGCAAAATTATCGATTTTTAGCAAAGGAATTGGCACAAATTTTTAAAGTACTGCTCACGAAGGAATACACACAAGAAGCCAATGAAGATAAGAGTGTCTTAGCCGTCTTACCGTTGTAGCATTCGCGAGAAGCCAAGCGACATCTAGTAGCCAGGTGAAAATCAAAGCAACTTGTATTTTTCCTTCTTTTTAATTTATATAAATTCACATAATCTTCATCTTCACTCTTGTAACCATTTTATGATGGAATCATTCCACGATTTCTCTTCCACGATGATCCCTGCTTACGATTGTGGTTCGCCCTCGATGACTTGTGCACTTCCTTTTTGTTCCGATTGGTTAGTACAGCCTCAGTCTGGCCCTGGCCCTTTGCCTTCCCGACAACATCTCTCTTAGGATTGCCGTACTTTTGTTGTCTCTTCTGTTCGTACTTGGCACGAAGTGTCTCTGGATTCTCACAGAAATTCAACGAATTCTTTTTAACGCTCGTTTCCGGCTCGGTTTCCTCTTCTTCATCCTCAGACTGACTGGAGATCTCATCAACCAGAACATCTCGTGTCGATTGTGGCCTTTTAGCCGTCGTAGAGAATTGCGCGTCAAAACTGTCATCATATTCATCATCATAGTCATTTTCCATAACCATTGAATAGGCTTCATAGCGACTCTTCAGCTCTTTCACGTGACTCTTATCATCGAGCAGATCTTTAGCTGTCTTTGGCTGCCCCGGAAAACCCTTTCCGGTCTTAATGATACCTTTTGGCTTCTCCTTCACCCTTACATCGTAGTCATCCCCATCGAAAATATTTATCCTGCTCACTCCAGCCTCCAGCAATTGCTGTTCCTGATTGTCCGGCGGAATGTATATCTCAGTCTTATCGCATTTGTCCAAATCCGGAGGGAGATTGCCTTCCAGTACCGCAGCGATGGCAGACTCTGTATTCTCATAACGCGAAAGAAGTTTCCTCACAAATCCATCACCAAAGTCCGGCAAAATGTCCTGCACTATCTTCACTTGTTCTTCAATATCGACTGACGATAACTTGGCGTCCTGCTCTGTGATCATAGGCAAAGCACAAGCGCCTTCTTCCTCCAAATCAGCACAACCATTTATGTAATTTGTTTTTGTTGATTGCTTAGGAAGCTTCGCGAAATTGTTCTCCTCACCTGAGAGGAATGCCTGAAGTATGAAATCGGCTTTGAATGTATCCCTACAAAGAGAAATGAAAATGATGTATTAATAAACGTCGCCAGTACATAGGAACAAAGTGGAATAAGTGTTTTGTGCAATGTTCGTGATTCGCATTGCGTGGCTCAAATACAATCACTATTTCGATAAAATGTTGTGTTGTCAATGAATATATAGAGCAATTATGACTAGCAATTTTCGCCAATATCGTCTAAAAAAAAATTACGTTTACTCACATTTTGGGACACGCCTGACGAAGAATTTCAATGTCATTCTCAATGGGATAGAAGCTCTGGTAATCTGTCACGAAGACATTATCCGAGAGACTTAGCGTGAAGATGGACAAAAGCGCCTCTACAAGTTCCAAGACCTTCGCCTTCTGATTCTCAATAAGAATATTCCCAATAAACGTGTTGACAATACTGCGAAAGGCCGAAAGCAACTCAACACGTGCTCGGTTGAGTAATTGCACGTACGGTGATTTCTCGTCATACATGTAAACACATCGGTAGAGATTAGGAATGAAGTTATCGTAGACGCTTGTTATTATCTGCTCCATATTTATCTTCACGCAAATATCTCGCGATGCCGGGCAGACGTCCATCAAAATGCTGAGACTTGTAGCGCAATCCAGTGTATGAAGGCACAAGTCATTCAGCAATTGAACTGTCTCTGACGCACTCCCCTTTCCTAATTGCTCTTCTATAGTCGCAAAGCTCTTCTGAATAAATCTTAGCGCTTGCTCCAGATCACTCAAGTATTTTGGCTCAATTTTCACTATATTTTCGAAGATCTTCTCCAAAATACCGCCATTTGTGCGCCCATAAGTTGTCAAGAGATCAAAAAATAGTGGAATCGAAATCAGGTAATTAGAATAGATCACTGTTGCCAGATATTGTTTTGATATCCACTCAGTGTCAGAATCTTTGTTCGTTATCAATCGACATACGACGGCCAGAACTTTCTGCAAAATCCTCGCGTACAATCCAATAATCTCCTGGTTACTTGTTATCGTCGGAAGTGGCAAATAACACGGAGTTGATTCTTGGAGAAAGCTCGTAATACTGTTAATTGCCTCTGAATCGAAGAGCATTGTTGTCCAAAATCTGTAAAACAAAGCCAAACAATGTGATAAAGCTGTTTTTAGACAGTCTACACACTACACGTGATTTTAAAAATCGTTTACGGCACATTCAAACCGACAGCACGACTGATTAATATAAGTATTCCTGTAATTTTCTCTTCAAATTTTCATCATAAATATTCATTTATTACAATGACTACGTCATTTAAGCAATCAGTGTGGTAAAATACTTTATAAATTGGATGAATACTGGTTTTTTCCACATTTTCGGTATGTTCGCAATTGTCTAATAATTCATCTTCAGTATTTTTTTACCTTATCATTTAATTGCTTTCTATATGATACTATAATTGTTTATAGTAAGTATTATAAAATGCATACGAATGTCTGATGTTGGATGACAGTCATATTGCAAATCTCTGCTAATTGATAACACTTCCACTTTCCACGTGAGAGAAACACTTTAGCTTTACTGTTTATTCTACTTTAAGAGAATCATCGTGATTGTCAAATATTGCGGCGTAGCATATAATATTCTAAGGCACCTTTATCAATACAAAATGGTATAAAAGCAACTTGTCGAGAGGTTGCATCGCTCACTTGAGTTAAGTGCTTCTGGTGATCACGATGGGAATTTCAGTGGAAGATTATCTATTGCTAGTGTCACTATTTTTCACAGTTCTTGTGACAATTTTCTATTTTTACGCAAAATATTCCTATTCCTATTGGGAGCGCAATAATGTGAAAAGTCTCAAGCCATCCTTCCCCTTTGGCAACTTCGCGCCTGTGTTTTTGGCTAAGAAATCATTCAATGAATACATTCGTGAGATTTATGAATCAACAACAGATGATTACATTGGACTGTACGCTTTGTTCCGGCCAATTTTTGTTCCTCGCAACTCCGAACTATGCCGAAATATCATTATCAAGGATTTTCAGTTTTTCCACGATCGCGGAGTTTATGCAGATGAAAAAATTGATCCTCTTTCTGGGCACTTGTTCTCGCTTAGTGGTGAAAAATGGAAAAATCTCCGCGCCAAATTGACTCCCACTTTTACATCCGGAAAACTTAAGGCGATGTTCCAGACCCTCATTGATTGTGGAGACAGTTTGGAAAAGTTTCTAGCCTCCGAGGCTGATTGCAACGCCGAAGTTGAGATGCGCGATCTCATGGCGAGATATACAACAAATATCATAGCTTCAGTTGCGTTCGGCATCGAAGTGGACACAATAGCTGAGCCAAATGCCCCTTTCAGACACTTTGGGAGAAAAGTGAGTTTGTAGATAAATGAAGTTTTTGTGGAAAAAATTATTATTTTTCAAATCGTCCTTTTTCAGCCATTCGCTCCAACGGTGTGGAATGGCATAAGAAATGCCTTATTTCTTATCTTGCCGAGAGTCGCTGAAATGATAAAGTTGAAAACGGTGGATGATGATTATGAACAATTCATCTTTTCAATGGTGAACCAAACAATCGACTATCGAGAGAAGAACAATATTAATAGAAAAGATTTTATGCAACTTCTTCTTCAACTAAGAAATACTGGCAAAATTGATTATGGCGAAGACTGGAATATCAAATCAAACAAAGGTGAGTCACACGATAAACTACGCCATTTCCAACTTGTTTCAAATTAAAAGTCATAAACACACACTGAATGTCAATCACTCTTCCAGACGACGTGAAAAAACTCTCGGTAAACGAGCTTGCCGCCCAAGTTCACGTATTCTTCCTGGCCGGCTTCGAGACCTCATCGACAACCATGTCCTTCTGCCTGTACGAATTGGCCCGAAATCCTGAAATTCAAGCGAAAGTTCAGACCGAAATCGACCAGGTTCTGGAGAAATATCAGGGAAAGTGGTCTTACGACGCAATAATGGAGATGAAATACCTGGAATGCTGCATCGACGAAGCACTGAGAATGTATCCTCCAGTTCCTCTTCTCAACAGAGAGTGCACATCAGACTACCAAATCCCTGGCACAAAGAGCATCATCAAGAAGGGCACGGCAATCTTTATTCCCATCGCCGGACTCCACTACGATCCACACCACTTCAAAGATCCCACAACCTTCCAGCCAGAGAGATTCAGTGCGGGAACTCAAAACCTCAATGCTTGCAGTTATCTCCCTTTCGGCGATGGGCCGCGCGTCTGCATTGGATTGAGACTCGGGAAGATGCAAGCTAAAATCGGTCTGACTATCATACTTTCCAAGTTCAACATTCACCTCGGCGAGAATCTGAAGCACGGCAAAATTAAATATGCTCCAGAAAGCATCACTCCAACTCCCATTGGCGGCCTTAAATTGCGAGTCTCCCACAGGAAATTGTAAATTATCAACAAAGCACGCAAATGGAATTTTTATTAGTTAAACCGTCTCTCTTGTGTAATCGGAAATAGTTTGAAATATAATTTTTGTACTTGAGCACTGATATTAGTAAATAAATGTTTTGTAATTGAGGAATGACGAATCTACAGTCAAATAATATGGTAGACATAGTGTCAATTAATTAGAACTCTTAGAAAGACTTCCACTTAATCCTTATTTATTAGAAATAACAAACACCGACAGCGCAAATCTCTTTAATGTTAATGATAAAATAAGAAATTGGGCATCTGTTATGTACTTCCGTTCATTGATCCTTTACACATATTTTCGAAATTGAATGACTAATTAAATAAATTACTATTAATAAAATACTCATTATGAAAATCTTTTTGGTGTCTTAAAACATATTATTCTGTACATGTTTCAACTATTCTTGATGAAACATCTTCGTTGATAATGTTTGAAAGACTTGAAATCTTATGATAAGATTACATAGGAGGCATTAGGGAAAACCCAGAGCTAAAATTAGACTTGATTAACAAGAGTCAAAACATATCAGTAAAATGAATATGTGTTGCGATATCCAATAGTAAAAATCATTACCGTTATCATCACAATTATAATGGTAATGATTTTTCGAGCATGAGTCCATATAAAAATGTCCGTTAAAATTCTGTAAAATTTGACCTTCGTGACTGGCTCAAATTTATAACAAGATGACTGGATCCATTTCTATTCAACTCATGCTTACTTTATATTTCCAGACAATCTTTCTGATCTCAATTTCGCATATAAATAAACATTCGCAATTGTATAGGACCAGTCAGTTGAAATTCGGCAGTGCCACGATAGTCATGGCGTTAATTTTTGATAGTTTGCTGTTGTACATTGCGATCTTGATCAGTTTCTGTGCAGTGGGAATTTATTTCTATGTTAAAAACATCTATTCGTATTGGGACAAAAGAAATGTGAAATCTCTCAAACCGATCTTTCCCTTTGGCAACCTCAAGGATGCTTTGTTACTTAAGAAAACGTTTGCAGATGTGTTTTCAAATTTATACTACAGTACAGATGAACCAGTTATAGGGATTTACGCAACTAATAAGCCTGGTCTCTTGGTTCGAGACACCAAGATACTTCACTCAATCATGATTAAAGATTTTCAGTACTTCCACGATCGCGGTGTGTATGTCAATGAAGAGGATGATCCACTGTCTGGACATCTTTTTTCATTACCCGGTGAGAAATGGAAAAATCTACGCAGCAAACTGACACCAACATTTACATCCGGAAGAATCAAGGCTATGTTCCAAACGTTCCTCGACTGTGGAAAAAGCTTGCAATCATACCTGGGTAAAAATGCTGATGCAAACACTGAAGTCGAAATGCGCAATTTGATGGCCTGTTACGCGACCAATATTATTGCTTCTGTTGCATTTGGATTAGAAACAGACACAATCATCGAACCTGAGGCCACATTTAGGATTATGGGTCGAAAGGTAAAATTCAAACTCTAGTAAGTGTTTAAAATCAAGCTCAAAATTATTGTCTTCATTTCAGTTTTTCGATCCGACTCTGAAAAATCTCTTAAGATTCACTTGTACTTTTGTCTTACCGCATTTTGGTAAAATGTTCAAAGTCAAAACTGTGGAAAATGATTATGAAGCTTTCATCTTTAAACTGGTCAAAGATACAATGGATTATCGCGAGAAGAATAATATCGTTAGAAAGGATTTCATGCAACTCCTCTTGCAACTGAAGCACACGGGAAAAGTTGATTACGAAGACACATGGAATATTGTTAAATCAAATGATGGTAAGAACACGAAATCAGAAACTACACAGAATCACATATGTAACAAATACGAAATTTTTCTCTCTTGATACAGATGACGTGAAAAAAGTATCCTTTAATGAACTGGCCGCTCAGGCTCACGTGTTCTTCCTGGCTGGCTTCGAAACTACCTCAACCACGATGTCTTTCTGCTTCTACGAACTGGCTAAAAATCCTGACATTCAAGCCAAAGTTCAGACCGAAATCGATGAAGTAACGAAGAAATATGAAGGCAAAATTACATATGAATCAATGAACGAGATGAAGTACTTGGAAAACTGCATCAATGAAACACTAAGAATGTACGGTGTCGTTCCTGTCCTCAATCGCGAGTGCACCAGAGAATACAAACTCCCCGGAACTAACATAACAGTGGAGAAAGGAACGCGAATATTCATTCCCTCTCATGCAATTCACAACGATCCTCAGAATTTCCCAGATCCAGATACTTTTAAACCAGAAAGATTTTCCACTGATGAGTGGAATTCTGCCGGAGAACTCAAATACATGCCATTCGGAGACGGACCGAGAGCTTGCATTGGATTGCGAATGGGAAAACTCCAGGCAAAAATTGGAATTGTTCTTATTTTATCCAAGTTTAACATTCACTTGGCTGAAAGATTGCAGAAAATGAAGACACTCAAGTATGAATTGAAGAGTTTCACACTTGCAGTTGAGGGTGGAATGCATTTCAAAGTATCGCACAGAAAGTCATTTTGAATACATAAATTACAAGTATAAAAACTGTTTGTAACAAAAACTATCATAAGAAACGTATGAGATATAAATAAAGGTTGTTTGACTAAAGTAATAATTTTTTAACATCAATTTGGCACAATGTAACAATAAGAGAGATTATAAAGTTTACATGGAATTCAGAGGATTTATTCACAAAAGATAATAGTTTACAACCGTGGGTGAAAATAAATCTATACAAATGGGATAGGCACAAAGTAGAAGTATCTGAAAACCCTCTATGTATAAAGAAATTCTTCTTTAGAAGTAGATGGCAAAGGCATTCACACTCTTATAAATGTGCGAATAATAAAGGAAAATTATTCCACGATATCTGTCGTCATTTTACGGAATATAATTCTCCATCATCAAATCTAATCGATTTTTTTTAACTCTAATCCTACAAATCTTTTTTTAATCCCTTCATACCTGTATAAGTACACGTACGCGATCGTGTGGGCCAGTCAGTTGAAATTCGGCAGTGCCACAGTCGACATGGCGTTAATTTTTAATAGTGTGCTTTTAGATATTGCGGCTCTGCTCAGTTTGTGTGCAGTGGGAATTTATTTCTATGTTAAAAACATCTATTCGTATTGGGACAGAAGAAATGTGAAATCTCTCAAACCGATCTTTCCCTTTGGCAACCTCAAGGATGCTTTGTTACTTAAGAAAACCTTTGTCGACTTATTATCGGATTTATACTACAGCACGGATGAGCCAGTTATTGGGATTTACGTAACTAATAAGCCTGGTCTCTTGGTTCGAGACACCAAGATAGTTCACTCAATCATGATAAAAGATTTTCAGTATTTCCACGATCGCGGTGTGTATGTCAATGAAGAGGATGATCCACTGTCTGGACATCTTTTTTCATTGCCCGGTGAGAAATGGAAAAATCTACGCAGCAAATTGACACCAACATTTACATCCGGAAGAATCAAGGCTATGTTCCCAACGTTCCTCGATTGTGGCAAAAGCTTGCAATCATACTTGGACAAAAATGCTGATGCAAACATTGAAGTCGAAATGCGCAATTTGATGGCCTGTTACGCGACCAATATTATTGCTTCTGTTGCATTTGGATTAGAAACAGACACAATCATCGAACCTGAGGCCACATTTAGGATTATGGGTCGAAAGGTAAAATTCAAACTCTAGTAAGCGTTTTATAATCAAGCTCAAAATGATTGTTATCATTTCAGTTTTTCGATCCGACTCTGAAAAATCTTTTAAGATTAGCTTGTTTGTTCCTAATACCCCATATTGGTAAAATGTTCAAAGTAAAATCTGTGGAAAATGATTATGAAGCATTCATCTTCAAAATGGTCAAAGACACAATGGATTATCGTGAGAAGAATAATATCGTTAGAAAGGATTTCATGCAACTCCTCTTGCAACTGAAGCACACGGGAAAAGTCGATTATGAAGACACATGGAATATTGTTAAATCAAATGATGGTAAAAAAACGAAATCCGGAATTACACAGAAACATATATGTAAGAAATACGAAATTTTTCTCTCTTGATACAGATGACGTGAAAAAAGTATCCTTTAATGAACTGGCCGCTCAGGCTCACGTGTTCTTCCTGGGTAGCTTCGAAAATACGTCAACCACGATGTCTTTCTGCTTCTACGAACTGGCTAAAAATCCCGACATTCAAGCCAAAGTTCAGACCGAAATCGATGAAGTAACGAAAAAATATGACGGCAAAATTACATATGAATCAATGAACGAAATGAAATATTTAGAAAGCTGTATTGATGAGACACTCAGAATGTACGGCCCTGTTCCTGTCCTCAATCGCGAGTGCACCAGAGAATATAAACTCCCCGGAACTAACATAACAGTGGAGAAAGGAACGCGAATATTCATTCCCTCTCATGCAATTCACAACGATCCTCAGAATTTCCCAGATCCAGATACTTTTAAACCAGAAAGATTTTCCACTGATGAGTGGAACTCTGCCGGAGAACTCAAATACATGCCATTCGGAGACGGACCGAGAGTATGCATTGGATTGCGAATGGGAAAACTCCAAGTGAAAATTGGAATAGTGCTTATTCTATCTAAATTCAACATTCATTTGGGTGATAGACTACAGAAAATGAAGACACTCAAGTACGAATTAAAGAGTTTCACACTTGCAGTTGAGGGTGGAATGCATTTCAAAGTATCGCACAGAAAGGCATTTTGAATACACAAATTACAAGTATAAAAACTGTTTGTAACAAAAACTATCATAAGAAACGTATGAGATATAAATAAAGGTTGATTGACTTAAGTAATAATTTTTTAACATGAATTTAGCACAATGTAACAATAAGAGTGATTATAAAGTTGACATGGAATTCAGAGGATTTATTCACAAAAGAAAATTGTTTACAACCGCGGATGAAAAAAGATACAAATCGGAAGGACACAAAGAAGAAGTATCTAAAAACCCTGTATGTATAAAGAAATTCTTCTTTAGAAGTGGATGGCAAAGGCATACACACTCTCATAAATGTGCGAATAATAACGGAAAATTATTCCACGATATCTGTCGTCATTTTACGGAATAAATTACCTCAACGTCAAATTTGATGGATCCTCTTTTTTCTCACTCTAATTCAAGAAATCTTCATTAATCTCTTCTCACCTGTATAAATACACGTACGCGATCGTGTGGGCCAGTCAGTTGAAATTCGGCAGTACCACGGTCAACATGGCGTTAATTTTTGATAGTGTGCTGTTGTACATTGTGGCTCTGCTCAGTTTGTGTGCAGTGGGAATTTATTTCTATGTTAAAAACATCTATTCGTATTGGGACAGAAGAAATGTGAAATCTCTAAAACCGATCTTTCCCTTTGGCAACCTCAAGGATGCTTTGTTACTTAAGAAAACCTTTGTCGACTTATTATCGGATTTATACTACAGCACGGATGAGCCAGTTATTGGGATTTACGTAACTAATAAGCCTGGTCTCTTGGTTCGAGACACCAAGATAGTTCACTCAATCATGATAAAAGATTTTCAGTATTTCCACGATCGCGGTGTGTATGTCAATGAAGAGGATGATCCACTGTCTGGACATCTTTTTTCATTGCCCGGTGAGAAATGGAAAAATCTACGCAGCAAATTGACACCAACATTTACATCCGGAAGAATCAAGGCTATGTTCCAAACGTTCCTCGACTGCGGCAAAAGTTTAGAAGCACACTTAACAAAGAATGCTGATACAAACACTGAAGTCGAAATGCGCAATTTAATAGCTTGCTACGCGACCAATATTATTGCTTCTGTTGCATTTGGATTAGAAACAGACACAATCATCGAACCTGAGGCCACGTTTAGGATTATGGGTCGAAAGGTAAAATTCAAACTCTAGTAAGCGTTTTATAATCAAGCTCAAAATGATTGTTATCATTTCAGTTTTTCGATCCGACTCTGAAAAATCTTTTAAGATTAGCTTGTTTGTTCCTAATACCCCATATTGGTAAAATGTTCAAAGTCAAATCTGTGGAAAATGATTATGAAGCATTCATCTTCAAAATGGTCAGAGATACAATGGATTATCGTGAGAAGAATAATATCATTAGAAAGGATTTCATGCAACTACTCTTGCAACTGAAGCACACGGGAAAAGTCGATTATGAAGACACATGGAATATTGTGAAATCAAATGATGGTAAAAAAACGAAATCCGGAATTACACAGAAACATATATGTAAGAAATACGAAATTTTTCTCTCTTGATACAGATAACGCGAAAAAAGTATCCTTTAATGAACTGGCCGCTCAGGCTCATGTGTTCTTCCTGGGTGGCTTCGAAACTACGTCAACCACGATGTCTTTCTGCTTCTACGAACTGGCTAAAAATCCTGACATTCAAGCCAAAGTTCAGACCGAAATCGATGAAGTAACGAAAAAATATGACGGCAAAATTACATATGAATCAATGAACGAGATGAAGTACTTGGAAAACTGCATCAATGAAACACTCAGAATGTACGGCCCTGTTCCTGTCCTCAATCGCGAGTGCACCAGAGAATATAAACTCCCCGGAACTGATATCACACTAGAGAAAGGAACGCGAATCTTCATTCCTTCTCATGCAATTCACAACGATCCTCAAAATTTCCCAGATCCAGATACTTTTGAGCCAGAAAGATTTTGCACTGATGAGTGGAACTCTGCCGGAGAACTCAAATACATGCCATTCGGAGACGGACCGAGAGTATGCATTGGATTGCGAATGGGAAAACTCCAAGTGAAAATTGGAATAGTGCTTATTCTATCTAAATTCAACATCCATTTGGGTGAAAGATTGCAGAAAATGAAGACACTCAAGTACGAAGTGAAGTCATTTATACCAGCAATTGAAGGTGGAATGCAAGTCAAAGTGTCACACAGAAAATAAGTTGGAATACTATTTACATGCCATATTGTCAAGAAATTCACTTTTGGTCCAACAAAGCTGAAGTAAAAATTATTGATACATAATGAATTATAAAGCATGTAGTAATCAGGAATTATTATTGCTGATATATAATATTTTTGAGGACAAAAATTGTATGCCCTTTAGGTCTTTCAGGAGACTGCTTTTACACAAATCTTAAAAATTATCTCATGAACTCATTAATCTCCTAATTGCACAAATATATTTTATTATAAATGTGATTAATATCTTGTATTTTCTGTTATTCTAATACAACTTCTCTTTATCACTGGAAATCAAGCTTAAATAACCTTTCGATAGTGTGGTAGATCAAGACGATCGCTCATGCTCAAGAGTTGCTAGTTCGAAGGAGCTTTACAATACATAAATAAAAAAAAACACTCAGATAAAAAATACAATGTTCATGCTTATCGATATTTCCACCACTTACAACTGAATTTCTTTCAGTGTATGATTTTAGCAAAATATTAAGCTAGTAAATACCAGAATATTTATTAGAGCTCTTCAAAATCTTTACAAACGTTTTTTGTCTTGACGGTGCGTTTACACTTTTTGTGAATGACTAATAATTTCCCTTCGACTCATGCTTACTCTGTATTCGCAGAACCAGTCTTCTTTAATCTCTGCTTTGCTGTATAAAAACCCAAAAACCATTGTTTCGGCCAGTCAGTTGAAATTCGGCAGTGCCACGGTCAACATGGCGTTAATTTTTGATAGTGTGCTTTTGGATATTGCGGCCCTGCTCAGTTTTTGTGCAGTGGGACTTTATTTCTATTTCAAACACATCTATTCATATTGGGACAGAAGAAATGTGAAATCAATTAAACCAGTCATTCCTTTTGGCAACATCAAGGATGCCATTTTGCTGAAGACAACTTTCGCAGAGAATTTTGTGGATATATATAATAGCACGGATGAGCCAGTCATTGGCGTTTATGCCATAAATCAACCTGGTCTCATGATTCGTGACATTCATTTAGTTCGTTCAATTATGATTAAAGATTTTCAGTATTTCCACGATCGCGGTGTGAATGTTAATGAGGATATTGATCCACTGTCTGGACATCTTTTTTCATTGCCCGGTGAGAAATGGAAAAATCTACGCAGCAAACTGACACCAACATTTACATCCGGAAGAATCAAGGCTATGTTCCAAACGTTCCTCGACTGCGGCAAAAGTTTAGAAGCACACTTAACAAAAAATTCTGATGCAAACACTGAAGTCGAAATGCGCAATTTGATGGCTTGTTACGCGACCAATATTATTGCTTCTGTTGCATTTGGATTAGAAACAGACACAATCATCGAACCTGAGGCCACGTTTAGGATTATGGGTCGAAAGGTAAAAATACATCATATAAAATGTTCACAATTGAACTCACAATTTTCATAATCCTTTCAGTTTTTCGATCCAACTTTGAAAAATCTCTTCAGATTCACATGTACATTTATTTTGCCACGATTCGGCAAAATGCTGAATGTGAAGTCTGTGGATAATGATTATGAAGCTTTCATCTTCAAAATGGTCAAAGATACAATGGATTATCGCGAGAAGAATAATATAATTAGAAAGGATTTTATGCAACTCCTTTTGCAACTGAAGCACACGGGAAAAGTCGATTATGAGGATTCGTGGAATTTCGAAAAATCGAAAAATGGTAAACATAATTCTAAAAATTGCAAGAAATGTAGTGAAAATGCAATATTTTCTGTTTTAGGTGATGTAAAAAACATATCTTTCGAAGAACTAGCCGCTCAGGCTCATGTGTTCTTCCTGGCTGGCTTCGAAACTACGTCAACCACGATGTCTTTCTGCTTCTACGAACTGGCTAAAAATCCCGACATTCAAGCCAAAGTTCAGACCGAAATCGATGAAGTAACGAAGAAATATGACGGCAAAATTACATATGAATCAGTGAACGAAATGAAATACTTAGAAAGCTGTATTGATGAGACACTCAGAATGTACGGCCCTGTTCCTGTCCTCAATCGCGAGTGCACCAGAGAATACAAACTCCCCGGAACTAACATAACAGTGGAGAAAGGAACGCGAATCTTCATTCCCTCGCATGCAATTCAAAATGATCCAAAACACTTCCCAGATCCAGATACATTCAAACCTGAGAGATTTTCCACTGATGAGTGGAACTCTGCTGGAGGACTCAAATACATGCCATTCGGAGACGGACCGAGAGCTTGCATTGGATTGCGAATGGGAAAACTTCAGGCAAAAATCGGAATAGTTCTAATTCTATCCAAATTCAACATTCATTTGGGTGAAAGACTGCAAAAAATGAAAAAATTCAAGTATGAGTTGAAGAGTTTCACGCCAGCTATCGAAGGTGGAATGCATGTTAAAGTGACTCGCAGGACTCATTAAAGTATTGTAATTATGTGGCAAAACAATAAATCAAAGGCTTCGCTTCATATTGCACAGATAAGATAATTCGATACCACTTTACTTTAGCGATTTTCTGGGGACTCTCTTTTTTACAGATAAGGTTATTATCGTGTGAATGTCAAGTCCAAATGAAGTAAGCAATCTGTGTCTCCCTGCTAAATATATGTTTGGAAGTATCCACAAAAAAGATAAAAATTGACGAAATCATCACGAAATCGTTGTTGTTATTATGAAACATGAGCAAAAAGAACAAATTCAGCAGACGAAAGCTCCAAACTCGTGATCATATTCATTTTATAGCCAGAAACCTGTTCTGGTCTCAAAAAAAATTCGTAATATTTCGAGAAATTAAGATATGTGCCAGTCACTGCGCGGGTTTGTTTTGATACACAACCACGCAACACAGTGAGATCAATATATCAGTCGATTACATTCAGCATATTCGTTTCTGGATGTGATAATAATTTTTTATCTTATCGCCGCGGTTGATTTAAATAGTAGCGTGAATTCAGTAAATTTCACAGTTGCTTTGCATAGTTCTACGTGAGCGTTTGGAAATTGTTCTCGAGGAATATCATGGCCATTGGCGTGTTTATTGTGAGTTTCATCGTTGCCACCGTTGGCGTGTTCTATTTCTACTTGAAGGGAGTGTACAAGTATTGGAAGAAGCGCAATGTTGAGTTTGTGGAGCCGTCCTTTCCCTTCGGAAACATGAAGGACGTATTGCTGGGAAGGATAGACCTTGGAGGAGCACTTCTAGACTTCTACAACCAAGCCAAGGACAAATTCTTTGGAATCTACCTAATAAATAGACCGTGTTTGATGATCAAAGATCCAGAACTGGTCAAAACCATAATGATAAAGGACTTTGATCACTTTGTCGATCGTGGAATCTTCATCGATGAGGAAATCGATCCACTGGCTGGAAACCTGTTCTCCCTATCTGGACACAAATGGCACAAGCTCCGCGTAAAGCTCACACCCACATTTACCTCAGGAAAACTACGTGCTATGTTCCCAAGTGTTATCACAGCGGCGGAAAACATGCAAAGGCACCTCTTGAAGAACATTACCGATCGAGGACAGGACAATATCTATGAAGTGAGAGATTTGTCGGCCAGATTCCTCACAGATTTAATAGCGTCTGTGGCCTTTGGAATTAACGTGGACAGCGTCACAGATCCCAACACGCATTTCCGCAAGATGGGACAGAAAGCTTTGGCACCGACATTCAGGAATGGCACTGCCATTGCCTTGTCTTTCATGGCCCCAAAACTCATGGAACTCTTCCGACTCAAGCAAGTTGAGGACGATGTCGAGAAGTTCATGATTTCCGTCGTTGAGCAGACGGTAAAACATCGCGAGAAGAACAACATTTTCCGAGAGGACTTTATGCAGCTCCTCATTCAGCTCAGAAACAGTGGAATAGTGAAAGAAGACGGAGACTGGAGTGCTGAAACTGTTGATAGTAAGTAGGAAAAACTTGGCATGAAGTTTTTCGTCTGTAATTCACTGCAATCTCTTCCAGAATTGCAACAAACAATGACTCTCAATGAAATTGCCGCTCAAGCAACAGTATTCTTCTTTGCCGGCTTCGAAACTTCATCCACAGTCATGTCTTTCTGTCTTTATGAATTGGCAAAGAATCGGGAGATTCAGGAGCGCGTCTATCAAGAGATTAAGCAAGTTTTGAGTGAGAATGACTCGAAATACTCATATGAGAGTCTCAGGCAGATGAAGTTCCTGGAAGCCTGCATGGATGGTGAGAAAAATTTATAACTCTTCAACAATCATTCAACTAATTTTCCTCCATTTCAGAGTCAATGCGAGTTTATCCACCTGTTCCAATGCTCCTTCGCATATGCACAAAAGACTACCAAATTCCAGACACGAATGTAATAGTAGAAAAAGGAACAAACATCCTGATATCGCTCTTAGGCCTCCAGAAAGATCCAAAATATTTTGAAAAGCCAGATGTCTTCGATCCAGAACGCTTTCTTCCACAAAACCAGGATAAAATAACTCCCTTCTCCTTCCTGCCGTTTGGAGATGGTCCCCGGAGCTGCATTGGGGCGCGAATGGGGAGAATCAATGCAAAAGTTGGCTTGGCCGTGCTTCTCTCTACATTCCGCTTTGAATTGGGTCCAACAATGGGCAATGAACTAAAGATGCATGCTAATCAAGTCATCATGCAGCCCGTCGATGGTATTAAATTGCGATTTATACCACGAGAAGTTAGATAAAGACTTACCTGTGAAAATCCAACTTCAAAAGACTCTCAATTTCCATTTCGAAGAGTTGGGTATTTTGTATCCATTCTCCGATTGCCTCATCATTGGTTGTCACTTCCAAATCCTCCATGGGCAATGCTGTATATTTGGCACGGTATCTCTTCACGGCAAATTCCTCGCTCTGTGGAAAATCCAGTGAGATTAGGAGTGAATTTTATTAACATTTTCATCACTCACCATGGCTGGAATTTGGCATCCCTCCCAAGAGAGCTTTAATTCCTCCAGCGGCTTGTTTTCCGCATTCTGCAAGTTGAGAAAAATGTTATGACTAAGTTTCTGATATTTGCAGAGCTGTTAATTTACATTAAATTGATAGTTTTTCATTTTTTCTCTCAGCGAACGAAAACACCTTTTCACACCGAAAGTAGGGCTAGGTTCACTTCGCCCCATTTCGCCCTTCGCCGCTGTGACGGTTCTTGTTGTTTGCATGTTGACATGACAGAGGCGCTGATGATAGCTTGAAGCCAAAATTTAAAGGCTTTCCCTCCAAATTATATTCTCAGCGAAATTTCTAAAAAATTATATACATTTCAAGAAAATCTATATTTTTCATACGAAAGTGAAAAAGACTACATATGAATTTTCAGTTTCCTTTATTGCCATATTGAGAAATGCGTAGAATAAAGCAATTGAAGAATATAATAATAAAAGCATTAGAATTGTGCAGAATAAACATAAAAGATGCAAGAGTTTGCCAAAGTCATTGCCAAAATGTCTATGTCATCATAATCCAATCCATTTAAGTGCGAGCAACGTAAGTGTTTGTGAAACGAACACTGCATTCACCAACTCCCATGTTAGAAGTCTGGTTTGCAAAGTCCTGAAGAGTTCTGGCTTGGTTGTTCCTGTCGAATGGGAAGCCCATCGCCCGGCGATCAGGGTACAATTTGTTGCGAATGCCACAGAAGGCGTAAGAATCGCTGCACTGGTCACTTCTGGAAGATTATATTGAGAGAATCGATAAGAAAAATAATTAATTGCGAAAATAAGATTGTACTCACGCATCGATGTTTTCATTGACTGTGTCGTCATTGAAGTTGGAAATCATGACGAAAGTATCCATGGTGAAGCCTTCTGGAGAGCCTTTTGGCACCAGAAGATGATTAGGCCAGCCACAACCGCAGAAGTTAAACTGATCCTGACCTAACGGACGCCTGGCAGCAGTTCCAATGTTGCGGAAGGTTCGATCGTAAGGGATTGTCACGTTAGACTCTTCATCTCGACGATTGATGGTGTTCACTCCAGGACTCACTTCAAGAAAAGAAAGAATTATATCTCTAATTCTCTACAAAGAGTCTTTGAGATGCAGTTCTGAGAGAACTAAATAAAGCTAATCTAATCTAATATAAATGTTAATTCAGATAATTTCCTTACAATTCACGGTGAAGCGATCCATTTCGATCATGAGAACTCGCTGGTCCCTGAATGTGAAAGGCATTCCACGTTCATCAGTCCTCGGGCACATGAAGATCCTACAGGTTCCTTGACGAGTAGCGCCTGAGTCATTGTTAACCGTGATTCTCCAGGAGAACGGAGCATGCTGAAGATGAGTGAATTGGGCGAAAACATTTCCTTGTGGGCCAAAGTCCAAACCAGCACCCAAATTGAGTTCTCCTCGTTGCCAGTATGTCAAGATCACATTGGCTGGTGTGTTTCGCTGAGTCATTTGGCAAGCGACTGACTGAACAGTCACCCCATCGAATGATAGAACGTTGGGAGTGTAGGGTTGCAGAGTGTTCTTGTGCTTCTGGAAGATCTGATCGATGTAAGCGTGCCAGCGGTAGAAGATTGGATCTCTCATGGCTGTGGTCACATCTCCCATAACACCAAACTGTTCCAAGAATCGATTGTCTGGATCATGGTTGTAGGCGATCACGTTGTGGCCCATATTGTGGAGATTTCCGTATAAACGAGGATTCGGAGAAAGGATTGAAGCTTCAATCATATCTCCAAGTAAATCTATACCACGCGATTCGTCCAATTGAAGTCTCTGACCTGATGGCTGTGAATACAATAAGAAGTAACACAATAATGAATGTTAAAAAGAAAAGAAGAACTCACCGTTTCAACATATCCTTGATCAATGGCCTGTAAGATTCTATCACGCCATCCTTCCAAGTCAGAAATTTGCACCTGAGTATTGTCTTCAGGCCGGTCGATATCTTTTAAAGTAACATCTGCGAATCTTGGTGGATAAGTTTGATTGTTGGAAGAACGAGAAAGCTTAGGAAAATATCCTTCCGGAACAGCTTCTCTAAGATTGTTTAGGCGTCGCACTCGGGCTAAACGGTTGCAGAGACGCTCAATGTTGTAACGAGCGATGATTTGAGCGTGCATGTAGTAGAAAAGCTCTCCTCGACGATCCTTGCGAACAACCCGCTCCGGTCCATCACCGGGATAGACAAGATGCCAATGCCAGTGATGAAGATTCACGCCAATGTCCTCACGGAAATACGCCAATCGCTGTTCTTCCTCGCGTTCAGAAGCTGTGTAACTGGGCGGAATGACGATGGGACGCTGAAAATAAATACCATATAAAAGTTACCGATGGAATTCTATTAGTAATTCTAAAACTAAGTGATTAAAGTAACTAAGTAACTAAATTCTAATTCTGAGTAATTCTATTACTTACCCTCACGCCATCAGGAACGAAGGCATTTTCTTCACGAGCTTGAGGAAGAACTTCGGGATCCACAAACTGATTGGGAAAGGTCTCAGCCACTGATGGAATCGGCGTGTTTTGCGTATCAGCGCGGTGTTGCATAGCCACAGACAATGAGTATTGATACATTTGAGGATTTACGCGATCGTGAGCATAAGAAGCGTACGAAAAGAGAGTGTCCGTATCTGGTGCGTCCAAGAAAATCTCAATCAAGCGTCCGGCAATTTGTGTGTGCTTTCGATTGAAGAGGCAGAAAGGCTTCTTCCTGGGCAACTCCTCGGCAAAGTCAAGATTTGGCGGAGCGCGTGATGACACTGGTACTGTCCGGTTCACATCGTCCTCGCCGAAACGACTCTGGATCTCCGTCGAGACATCCTGGTACTTCTCAGTGTAGTAATCTGGTGGTACATCCACCCTCACCTTACCAGTTTCGTCACTCTTCACGCCGAAGATGGGCTCGTAAGGGCGCTGGAAGAGCAAAGCCAAATCCTTGGTGTTGGACATTGTGAAGCACTGAAGAGAGATTCTCTGGACAAGTTGTTAGAACAGCAGAGAAGCTTGTACTGACTTTCTTTGCTCTAGTCCTCCGGCTTTTATATTTGCATTTGACCACAAGAGCGATAAGAACTGTTGGGAAAGGTCTTTAGTGAAATGTTGAGTGCATAATCAACATCCTGACCACAGAGAGTATCATGAGTGGTAAAGAGTTTCCTCGGCTTATCTGACCAAAAATGTGGTGAACACTTTTTGGCAGCAATGGTGAAGAGAGAAGAAAAAGAGGCTGGAGTAGTAAAGGCAATGCTTTTTGCTTTCTTCTCATTTTTTTCACTTTTCGACTGCTTTTCGAGGAACAAATTATTAGATTGAAATATGAATTTTTGCAAGTATTCTTAGCAATTGTACATTTATTATAATTTTCAATTACAGATCCTTACTTTTTATCATATTATCAAGACAAATTCAGATATCTGTGTAAAACAGAGGTAATAAATTTAAAGGCATGCATAAATAATATGAATAAGCACATACTCAGCTTGTGCTTTTGTGTGAAATGCGGAATGCGGGTGATATTTTTTGTTTAATTTTAATTCAATTAGAATAGACAGAATAATTGCACATGAATCTATCTGATCATAATCCAATCCATTTAAGTGCGAGCAACGTAAGTGTTTGTGAAACGAACACTGCATTCACCAACTCCCATGTTAGAAGTCTGGTTTGCAAAATCCTGAAGAGTTCTGGCTTGGTTGTTCCTGTCGAATGGGAAGCCCATCGCCCGGCGATCAGGGTACAATTTGTTGCGAATGCCACAGAAGGCGTAAGAATCGCTGCACTGGTCACTTCTGGAAGATTATATTGAGAGAATCGATAAGAAAAATAATAAAAGGTAAAAATAAGATTATACTCACGCATCGATGTTTTCATTGACTGTGTCGTCATTGAAGTTGGAAATCATGACGAAAGTGTCCATGGTGAAGCCTTCTGGAGAGCCTTTTGGCACCAGAAGATGATTAGGCCAGCCACAACCACAGAAGTTGAATTGATTATCGTCTGTGGCACTTTGGGCAGTAGCTCCAATGTTACGAAAAGTTCGGTTATATGGAATGGTTATGGCAGAATGTTCATCTCGACGATTGATGGTGTTCACTCCAGGATTCACTTCAAGAAAAGAAAAGAAAAGAAAGAATTTTTACCTTATTTGCAAGGAACACCGTTTTCTCTATACATTTCACAGTGAAGCGATCCATTTCTATCATGAGAACTCGCTGATCCCTGAATGTGAAAGGCATTCCACGTTCGTCATTCCTTGGACTCATAAAAATCCTACAATACCCTGTGCGAATGGAGTTCGATTCGTTATTCACTTCAATTTTCCAGGAGAACGGAGCGTGCTGAAGATGAGTGAATTGGGCAAATATGTTTCCTTCAGGTCCAAAATCCATACCAGCGGCTAGATTAAGCTCTCCTCGTTGCCAATAAGTCAAAATCACATTGGCTGGAGTGTTTTGCTGAGTCATTTGGCAAGCGACTGACTGAACAGTCACTCCAACAAAATCTAAATCATTAGAAGTGTAAGATGGTAAAGTGTCCTTATGCTTCCGGAAGATTAGATCCAAATACGAATGCCAGCGGTAGAAGATTGGATCCCTCATGGCTGTGGTCACGTCTCCCATAACACCAAACTGTTCAAGGTAATTATTATCGGGATCATGATTATACGCAATCACATTGTGGCCCATATTATGAAGATCACCGTACAACCGAGGATTCGGAGAAAGGATTGAAGCTTCAATCATATCTCCAAGTATATCAATGCCACGTGATTCGTCCAGTGGAATTCGCTGGCCTGTTGTCTGTGAAAACAATAATAAAGAGTAGAAAAAAAGAAAGTAATACTCAAGGAAGAACTCACTGTTTCAACATATCCTTGATCAATGGCCTGTAAAATTCTATCGCGCCATCCTTCCAGATCAGAAATTTGCACCTGAGTATTGTCATCAGGTCGATCAATGTCTTTAAGAGTAACATTTGTGAATCTTGGCGGATAGGTTTGATTATTGGAAGAACGAGAAAGCTTAGGAAAATATCCTTCCGGAATGGCTTCTCTGAGGTTACTGAGATGACGAACACGACCCATGCGATTACAAAGACGTTCAATATTGTAACGAGCGATAATCTGGGAGTGCATGTAATAGAAAAGCTCTCCTCGACGATCCTTGCGAACGATCCTTTCTGGCCCGTTAGCTGGGTAGACAAGATGCCAATGCCAGTGATGAAGATTCACGCCAATGTCCTCACGGAAATACGCCAATCGCTGTTCTTCCTCGCGTTCAGAAGCTGTGTAACTGGGCGGAATGACGATGGGACGCTGTAAAATGAATTCCAGATCCCAGCTACCAATGGAATTATATAAGAAACTTCATTAACTTACTCTCACGCCATCAGGAACGAAGGAACACTCTTCGCGAGCTGTAGGAAGAATCGCTGGATCAAGAAACTGATTGGGAAAGGTCTCAGCCACTGAAGGAATTGGAATATTTTGGGTATCAGCGCGGTGTTGCATAGCCACAGATAAGGCGTACTGATAAAGTTGTGGGTTCACGCGATCGTGAGCATAAGCAGCACAAGAGAAGAGAGAGTCCACATCTTTGGCATTAAAAAAGATCTCAATCAGACGACCTGAAATCTCGGTGTGCTTTCGGCAAAAGAGGCAGAATGGCTTTGAAGAATATCGTGGCAAATCTGCGGCAAAATCCAAATTCGGCAAATCTTCCAATGTGACCGGAATTATTTTCACATTATCCGTTCCAAAACGAGATTGAATCTCAGTGGAAACATTTTTGTACTTATCAGTGTAAAAATTTGAAGGCACTTCCACTCTCACGTTTTCCGATTTATCATTCTTTACGCCGAAAATGGGTTCTAAAGGGCGTTGAAAAAGTAAAGCCAAATTCTTTGTATTGGACATGGTTAAGAACTGGCTAATTTCACTATAGACCTTTCCTTTTATACCCATAACTAAATGCAGTCATTTAATGGTGAATCGACTGAATGCATGCATGCATTAATCCACATCCTGACCACAAAATGCGTCTGAGAAGTGGTAAAGTTTCCTCAGTTTATCTGCTTATCTGTAAAGTATTATTCATAAATACTGGTATCATACACCTTAAAGTAGCTTTAAGCTATTGGCTTTTGATGTGTCGATTGACTGATTTTACAAATAGATGAAACTGGTTTTCTTCTTAAAGACCTTTTGTTTTAGACTAGTGAACAACCACATAAGAAAATAAAATGATAACAAATTTTTGGAAACTTCTATCCTAACCGCAATTTGGTAAAGAGTTTCACATTGCAATGCGGTTAGTGAGTTTTAACAATTGGTAAAGAGAATAATAAAATGTTTAGTGAATGTTATTGCATTGTATTTAATTAACACTGACATTGTATTTGAGAAAATTGGCTGCATTTTCACTGTTGGAAAGATGAAATTGAATCATCAGCACCAAATACGTCGTCACGGCTGCCACAATCTTAAGAAGAACAAGAGAATAACAGAAAAGTTTAATTAGGTTCAATATGTCTTGAGAGCAACTTACCGAAGTGATTAACTTGGAGTCGAGTTTGAAGAAGCCGCATGCACTGAAATTGACCTCTTTGTGCCAAAGTTGAAAGGAGAAAAGCTGGACAATGTGGAAGATTTCTGGATATTCCACAGCTTCTCGGATGCTCAGAAGAGCGCCTCCAATGGCTTTAGAGGCGTTCCTGGTTGAACTACAAACCATCACATTGGCCAGAATGAGTAAGGCTTGAGTTGAGGTCCAAATTAGAGTGATTGCCATCATTGGTATGTTGAAATTAATGGCTTGAATGGATGTGGCAAAGATGTAATAAAGCTGGACAGTGATAACACCAAAGGCTGCTATGACTGACACGAGAAGATAAGGTCCAAATGCTCTCTGGACATCACAAATCAAATTAACAATGCTGCAGTGAATTCCTCTAAGGCTTTCCAGGTGAGTTCTTAAAATCTGGAATTTTTGTTGCTGATTTGTTAGTCCAATTTTATCCCAACGTGAGAGTTTCTCCAATGATCTGTTCATTATCAAGATCTTCCTCTTGATCAGTCTAATTAGGTTGTAGTACTGAAATTCTTTCATTGTTATAATGAGAATTGGAGTGAAGCAGATGAAAAAATAGCATAGTTGAAGGTTTATCTCGAATCCTTTCACATAAAGTCCACTTATCATAGCACAAAGACACATCGAGACTCCGGCTGGGATGATCAATAAACCTACTAATTGTAGGTAAAGTTCCCTTAAACAGCCGTGGTAAGAAATAGATATTCCCAGAAGACACATTTGTTGATCAATCTTGGCGATTTGCTCAAAGATCTTCACTCCTAAATCTCGATAGTAAATCCCTGTAATTAGTGCCACCATATAAACACAAAAGACGGTGTAAATCTGACCCCAGGACGAGAAATTCGCGATTGAGTTTAATTTCTGCATATCTTTGTGATGATCCTGAAGCTCTGTCAGGGAGATTTTGAAGAGGAGCATGAGAACTATCACCAATATTGACGAATACACTGTAGAAATCGATGATTTTGAAATTCGCGGACCAGTTGGTGACTTCCGAAGTACAAGAGGAGTTAATCCACAAATCCTGGAGATTCTCAAAATGGGACATATCGTTAGATAAATCGAATTTTCACTGTGAACAGGCTCTGCACTCTTCACGTTGTACATCTCCAATGGCTGTTGAAACACTTCTGACCGAGAAATTTTATCTGATAATCGCTTTCACTCTCCTGAATTAAACCGCTCAATCAATATTTATGCAGAGAGATGAGAGAGAATTGAAGAATTCTATTCAGCCACCATTTATCTACGGGTAAAAAGAGAAAAGGGTGTGTTTCCACTCTTCACTGGTATTACGCATTAGGCAAATTAAAAGTAATTTGATCCCTCTAAAACTACGCTTCCCATGAGAGCGTTTTATGACATTTCATTTGCTTCGTCCAGTTTGCACTTCACTTTACGATTAATTGATGTTCATGTGAGTAAATATTTGATAAAATTAGCCTTTATTGCGTTAGATAAGGAATAATACATTTTTTACAAGTTTTACATTATGCTTCCCCGCGTCGAATCACTGGCTGACAACATACACACAAAATTTATGCTCAACAGTTTTCTGTTCATTCAGAAATGGTTAAGAGAAATTAAATCTCTTGGGGTCATGAAAAAATCGCGCACTTTTCCACATGAGAGGAGGAGAAGTAGCTGAGAGAAAAGCTTGCAATTGCAGACAGCGAAGATGTTGTGATGCATTCAACAATATGTTGAATATCCGGAAGGGCACTTGCGCGGGAAGAGAGCGCGCCATTGTGGGCATAAAGTTGATGCCACAGGTGCGAATTCAGCGAAATGCACTAGCGAACAATTGCTCATTTAAATAGTCTATTCCCGCCTCTTTGTCTCCTCCTCTCACTTTCGCCTCGAATGATTCACACTCACGCGCCCACAAGCACTCCCTTCAGCTCTTGATGACACTGTATCCGGAACTGATCACCACATCGCGCGTGTCTGGCGACTCCGCCAGGATCACGTCCGGCTCAACGCGGCTCTCCACGATTTCCGAACCGGCAGACTCCATGGGATCTTGAGTGTCTAGTGAGAAGATTGTCGTGGACTCTTCAATTGAATCCTCATCTGACCCTTCGTCATGATCCATTTGCTGAATGATTCCACTGTCCACAACTGTTGCCTTATCCAGATCATCCGTGGCGGCATTGGCTTCAGCCACGTTTACAAAAGCAGAGGACAATTCTCCGCTCAGACGATTCACTGATCTCGAAGGGATGTCATACATGAAGATCTCCTTGTCCGTGTCGTTTTGAGGATTCCTAGAAAATAGAAATGCATTTAGTAGAAAGTCAAAAAAGGAATGTGCCGAATGATTTCTTTAACTTACTTTGTCACAAGCAGAACTACGCTCTGGAACTCCACATCAGTGGTGGCTTCCTTGTCCAGCCACTTCTTGAAGTTCTCTTGGGAAGGTTTCTTGATCAACTGCTTGAGAGCATCTCCGGCCAAGAATCGCACTTGCTTGGCATCAATCACATCCCTCTCGAAGCGTCCATCCACGGTGTCCTCAACAGTTTGTAGGTTGTCCACAGGCGCCAATACAACAACACTGCTGATTTTCTTGCCCATAAGCTCCTGTGGGATGGGGAAATGAGCTCCGTTGATCTTAAGCGGCAGGTATCTGTTATAGTTGTGATCGCCGATGTCCACCGAGGGCAGAACTGTTGAGTCTTGCTTAATGTATTTGTCAGAGATGGCCTTCTGCGAGGCTGCGTCGAATCTCACGACTCTCAGGTCCACATTCTCCTTGTCTGAGAGCGCCGGAGTCGCTTCGTCTAGCTTCGAACGCTTCTCCTTGTCCGGATTGGCAAACACTTCAACGCGGTTGGAGCTAGAAATTTGAGATGCTCCGCCGGCGTTGAAGAAATTCGCCAGATGCTCTGGCGGGAGATTCTCAAGAGCAGTGTCTCCGATTTTGTCGTAATCGAGAACACTGATGTCGGCATTGTCCAGGATTCCAGAGGAGAGGAGTTGTTCCCGAAGATCATCAGGCACCTCGTCTGGCAGGATAATATTCGGCGGGGGTTTCTTGGTCGTTTTCTGTGTTGTCGAGGACACTTGCTGTGTTGCTTCGGAAGTCCTCGGAGTCGTTGGCTGATAAGTACTGGCAGTGGAGACTGTTGAAGGCCCTGTAGTGCCTCCATTGCGACCGAGAATATTAACTGTTTGGAGCTGATCTTGACCCTGGTCAGAAACTGGTTGTTTGTTGTAGAATCTCTGCTGCTGCTCCTCAAATATGGGAAACACTTCAGAATGGAGTGTAGAGACACTCTGGCCAAGATGTTGCCTCTGATTCTGCGTTGTGGGATGAGAGTTTGGAATGATCTGAGGCTGGAGATTGACCTGGATACTGTTTTGCCTTGGCGGATCCCTCAACAATTGTGAGATCTGTTGCTGAATGTAGGTTTGAGTGGGATTCGGAGTAGTCTGATGGTATGCTTGTGGTTGAGGTGTCACAGGTGGTTGAGGAGTGCCCAAATGTCCAATCTCATTCGCCAGAGGTCCGATGTTGGGTCTCTGATGCGTCTCTTTGGACGGCTGGGAGAAGAATTGCTGCTGCGGCTGCGGCTGCGGCTGGGCGGAGAATTGAGGCTGACTAGAGATGTATTGATTGACTGTTGGCACATGCTCAACGATGTGCTGTTCGTACTTGGCAACTGAGGGTATCAATTCACTCTCAGGTCCCAGATTCTGAATGATTTCCTGATTGTGATGATGATTTTCTTGGAGGCTCTGCTGTACTGGTTCGCGACTGAGATTGGGAGCCTGTTGTTGGACAAGTCCTCCGCCCTGAATGGCTCCTGGAGGCGGTGGCGTGAAGGAAAATTGCTGATTGGACACATGAGAATGATGTTGATGGTTGAATTGCTGAGGAGGCCGGAACTGGGATTGTGACTGCTGAGGCTGACTAAACTGGTGGATTGGGATAGGGATTGGACGCTGTGGCGGAGCATGTGGCCGATACTTCAGGGGCTGGTATTGATGATTCTGGACGGGAGGAGTTTGAGAAGGAGGAGGTGGCGGTCCAGGGAAGCGGATCTGTTGCTGTGATGGCTGAGGAGGAATGTGTTGAGAAGGAACGTGTTGAGAAGGGCCGTGTTGAGAAGGACCGTGTTGAGAAGGAATGTGTTGAGAAGGAACGTGTTGAGATGGAACGTGCTGCGAAACATGGTGCTGTTGAGGCGGGAGTGGTGGTGGAGGTGGATGCTGCTGAGGTGGAGGTTGGAAGAATGTCGGCTGGGATGGTGGTCTCTGGGAATAATGATTGGTAGGAACGGGTCTGAATGGTGGAGGAGGACCAAAAGCCGGTGGCGTGGGCGAGAAATGAGGCGGCGGAGGAGGAGGTCCAGTGTGCCTAGGAGGTTCCTGATGTTCCTGGTAATGCTGATTGTGCTGTCCATGTTGATTATGCTGAATATGTTGATTATGTTGATTATGCTGCGGATGATGTTCCTGATGGCGATGCTGCTCTGGATGAATGTGAGGCTGATAACTATAGCGATGGTGAGTACTGAAGTACTGCGAAGGAGGAGGCCCAGGAGGTCCTGGTGGTCCTGGGGGTCCTGGAGGCCCCGGAGAAGGCTGATGGAAGTTCTGCCCAGAACGGAATTGTTGAGTCGGAGTGTTGGGCAATGGCAGTTGGAGATTCGGACTCACGAGACCCTGATGCAGATTGGGCTGTTGATAGTTGAACTGATCTCCACCGAAGTTACGTCCCTGATGAACAAATCTCTGCCGGAATTCTGTGGCCTAAGAAAAGGTTTAGAATGTTATTGTGTGTGAAAAGTGTAAGATTCTTTTCAACCAACCTGAACATTGGCTTGTTGAGGAGGAAAAGACACTGATCGTGGCAGAGCAATGATGGGCTTCACCACGCTCTCCACTCGTTGTTCCTGGAACTGATGGCCGGCTTGGGACTTGTCTTCAGTGTTGAAACTCACATGGATTCCACTGTTACTATGGAATTTCTCAGAATCCGGATGAATGATCGTCCTGAGAGTTGTGGTCTTTAGTGGAGGAGGCAGGGTGACAATCAGGGGCTCTTCGTGATGGTCTTCCTCCACTTCATCATGGCGCTCCTGATGATAGGCCGTGGGTGATAGAGCTGGAACAGGCTGATCAATGATCACACCTTTATGGCCGTCTTTCTTGTATTTCACATAGAAAACTTGGACCTGAAAATCAACACAATTAACACTGAAATCTATGCTGAAAATCACAATTTCTAACCTGTTCCTTCTTCTTCTTCCGGGGATGAATCACTGGTGGCGGTGCAGGCAACGTCTCATTGCTATCCTTAATGATGATCTCAATTATAGGCTCTGGAGCTTCGATGTACTGCGTGTGTGGAGCATAGGAATGGCTCCCAATGAAATTGCTGCCCTCATTGACGTAGTGCGGCTGGTAGTTGAATGGCACGCTGAAACTCTCCTCGTACTTCCTCTCGTGCGGCGACACTGGGAAAGATCTTACGTCTGGCTGGACACTGCCTGTCCTTCGCTCCAGGATGCGCGGATACGTGAAGAAGGCGGGCGTGAGATCGTCGAAATTGCCGAACTTGTTGAGTGTTCGCTTGTCCCTCAGCTCCTTCCCCGTCCTTCCGCTTTTTGTGACTTCTGTGGCATTCTTCACCTCCTCCGCGACGCTCATCGCCAGCACACCCAAAATCTAGTGGCCAAACGAGCAAATATTTAGTGACTTTCTCTCCAACTGACACACGCTCGGCTTCTGGTGAATCTCTCTTCGTGATCATCAATTCACTTGGGCAGCTATGAAGAGCGCGGTTTGAAGATGTTTTTTGCTCAACCAGAATTGCTCATAAAATAGAGGAGAGGTTGACTCGAAGAGGAAGTTCAACACCTTTTTTTCTAACATTTAGTGTACTCTCCAATTAATATCAATGTCTTCAGGAAGAAGAGGCGAAGGAGAAATTTTAGGGTGTCAAGTTTTACAGTTGTATGAGTTGTATAGAAAGAAAACCGTCAGTTTTGCTTATGTGGATATGAATATATTGCAGTTAGCTAACGAATTAAAAAAAATTTCATATAATATTTCATATTTAATTCTAGTGCCTGGGCTTTCGACGAAACAAACTTCTAAGATAACAATTAGCGATAAAGGCGTGCACATAAAACATCAATAAAAATAAATACCCAAAGCGTTGATAAAGATATACATTCATGAATAAATTGCAATAAATTCTATTTTAAAAAATATTTATTTTAATTTTTTTCCTCCCAAGAAACTTTAATAGCGATTACTGCCTGACATTTTCAAAATATTATCTTTGTCACTATTTCGAAAAGACCCCAATTACAGTTGACTTGCAGTTTTTCCCGTAGTTTTTTAGCTCCTTGAAAGACTTCATGTGCATTTCCTGTGCTCCTTGACAAGTTTTCCTGGTCTTTTTGATCAATTTTGACAAGAACACAACTTGAATAAAAATGACAATTAAACTAGTGCCGCCATTATTCGTCAGCAAAAGGTAAACAGAATAAATGATCGTTAAGAAGATATACACAAGAGTGAATCCGGTAGTGACAAGCCAGGGAAATACTAGGCAGACATTGTCACGAACAGATCCGGCGATTAAGAGTGAAGACGAGACGAACTAAATGAGACATGCAGCAATGAATGCTCCCAGAATAATCTCCCAAGATGTATTGATTCTAAAAGTTTAGGCGCGATCCGTGACTATGTTCAGGAAGAAACTGCCTGCTGACTTTATGTCGCAGAATGCAATTAAGGAAATCACGAGCATGATGACGGAGAATAGGACGCCAATCGATCCCACAATCACTCCTCCAGTTTTAAGGACGAAACAGCAGCACTTCTCTAAAATATGCATGATCGCAAAACTGCCAGTTTTTCTTCTTATTTCGCACCAAGTTTAGTCCACGCCTCTGCACAAAATTTGCAGACTGACAAATCAGAACGAAAGACTTCAATTGTACTTCGTCACACACGTTTAATTCACCTTCTCAATATGATATCTATTGCCACCCCATACATCGGCAGGTATCAGGGCGGCAATTCTTAAGCCATTTCTAGAGCAATAAACTTTGTCAATTCACTTCAATATCACAGAGATACGGAGATAATTCATTCATTATTGCACCAAAATGGTGCCTTTCATGCCATAATATTAACCCGGAATTTTCGAAAGAGTTTATAAACATGTCGCTCTCATAGAGAGACTCTCCAATTGGCCTCAAGTATGAATGTTTGCGAGAGACCAAAGATAAACATCATTATACAATAGTTAATGCAAATGAGCGATGATCTTCATAATTTCTCCAAATAATTGCCATGTTCTCTGCTTGGAAATTTCCCTCCTTTTTTTCAAAGTAAAAAAGACAAAGATGTTTTTGTTGATGGTATCCGCATACGAATCACATTGAGTAATAGCGAGCCAAATTGTCAGAAAAGTGATTCAACAAGCGGATTTCCATATTCTCAAAAGGCGCGCGCGCTTGCGATGCGGAGACATAAATACAAGAAAGACGTACACACAACTACCTGAATTACAACAATTGAAAATATTTCACGTGTATAGAGATGCTCAAGCCGAGATAAGCGCTTAAATGCCTCCATCGCGAGATTACAGAGTTGGAAAGATCGAGATCATCTCACAAGCGTTGCAAGAAGAGGTGAAAAAGTATCCGGCAATTGATTGAGCCTCTCGTTAGATGAGGCATTTTCCCAAAAGTGGAGATGATTAATGTACTTTTCACCCTAATTTTTCCACCAATAATTACATGGATGGCCGTCTGGCATGAGAAAGACGGCGCAATAGAGCTGTTGCTAGTCGTTGTGGGCGGATATTACATAATCCAATATAGTTATTAAAATGCAATGTGGCGGGAGATTAAACACAACGTCTGTGTACTTTACATCTTCTCGCGCTCGAGTGCCGTGTTCTTTTCACTATCGACACAACTCGAGTGATGAATAAAAGAAGAGCAGAAGAGACTTTAATTGTTAATGCGAGTTAAGATTCTCTTGGTAATCTCACAGCAATGACAGCAAAAATTTGAAAGAAATCAAGTGTAACAAAATTTCAATTTTCTTTAAAAGTGTCTAGTCATTTTGCAAGAAAAAGCGAAAATTTATTTGCTAAATGGAATACGAACTCCAACAATTGTCATACTCAATTTCAATTTTTCATTTTTATTTTATTGACTTCCTGGCTCAGTGTCAATAGCCGTGGTTTCTTGATAAACATTGGCACGTTGCCAAGAGCGACGCATTCAGCGATCGAGACGAGTGTCTCTTGGTCAATGAGCGGAGATGCGAAAGGCACACTTTGGATGGTGGCAGTAAATTAAGTGAGAGATCTGGATCAGTGGCCTCACAATTATGCTGGATCGCGCGCATGAATCAATATATGTAACATAACGAGATTAGAGACACTAAAATATCTCACTCTGACATAATCGGACACACTTCACTGGAGCACGCAAGAAGATCAAGTTCATTGCGTGGCGGCAAAAAGAAGCCAATGTACATCTCTTTTATAACATATTACCATCAGATGGGATTGTTTGATCGTGAGGCAATGCATCTCTCCTAAAGATTATAAAGCCACTCTTTGCGCTTCCCCGCTGACCCCAAATTTCTCAAGTCAGTCGAGCGAAAGAGGAAGTTCTCGACCTGAGATAACAGTGTCACTCCCAATATATTGGTGTTTGATGACCGAGGCAAGTTGGCTCGCTGAGGTGTGGATTATTTATGATCCATCCGGAGGTGTCACATGGAAAATTACACACATTTTCACCAGTGTCCGCCGCGCTTTTTGGACCACGATTGGGAGCAAATGAAACACTTTCACCAATTTTGATTTTGTCTCAAATCACCATTCAATTAGCCACCCGAAAGTAATTAGTAAAACGGATTAATTGAAGAAATTGTGATTTCGTCACAGATATGCAGGTTTTCTGTTTGGTTTAAAGAGTGAGGCAAATGAGGTCAAATTGGCGGGCAAAGGCGCCCTTTTGTGGCGTTCTGTCCCTCGGAAATCATCAGCGTGGCAGATCGTGATCATGTGAAGAAGACGCACTGAACAATGGACTTTTGCGCAGCGCGTCTGTGCAATTTTTGCCCATTGACTTCGGAATTGCTTTCACTCCAAATCCGTTGAACCTTCATTCACATACTCTTTGTTGGCACAAAGGAGAGAAGATTCAATGTGTGATGACACTTTGCACTTCATGAGGAGTTTCAATGAACTATCTGGGCAATTTCACGTAGTTTTTCTTTCGCGTCAATCGCGATCGAGAGTGTAACAATTGGAATTCTTCAATTGTGTGGGAAAATGATGTCATTTTTTCCATCTCACATGGAATTCCAAACATTAATTTTCTCCGTTGACTCAGCATCTTTCAAGCCCTCGTCGATGGAATTCCAGATGCTGTGGTTTGACCATCGGAAATCCAACAAATCATCCACTAATCGTGTGATATGTCTTCATTATCCGGCCGCATTTCACACCCGATCTTGTCTCTCGATTGATGTGCTTTCGGGAGAGAGATTTAATTAGAAGAGAGAGATAACATTCTCGCCGCTCTTTAATCTGTCCACTAATTGTAATCCCAACGATTTGGGACACGGATCAACTTGGGAGCTTAATTGATTGTGTGACGATTTGAAATACAACGTGAAAGGTTTTCCGCAGTATTTTGCCTTAGAATTGTAGAAAGCACTTTCGTGTCTGACCATCTGGAATACGTGTGTCTTTTGTTGCAAGATGTTCTTGCGAATCTCACATAAATGCGACATATACATGCCACAATATTACCACCCTTACCGACAATAGAAAAATTCAAACAAAAGTTTGACCCAGACAATATTTCTTAGTCTAGCATTCTGGAATTTCTATGTTCTCATCCAGAAGACAGAATAAAACCTTTAATTTCAAATCCTCCACTTAGACATTTTGCACCTGACTGTTGACGCCCCCCTCGAAATTTTCACCTTGCTTGGCGCAGTGTCGACTGAATTTTTACGGGTGTTGAGATCTCTTGTGCGTTATCGCACCATTAAAATCGTACACCTTTGCGCCGTTTGACTCTCTTTCTCTCCCTTCTTGATGAAAATATAAAAGAAGTGACTCAAAGTCGTGAAAAGATATTTAATACCGCCGAAAATGAAGCGAGATAGCCCAGAAAAAGTGGACGGTCCACTTTTTCCCGGGCGAAGAGACAAACCGCTCGCGCGAAGGTGGAGAATAAGAGAGAGATGAGCAATAATATTAAAACAAATATGAGAAAATGATAATTTCTCTGGGATAATCAAACACGAGGAAGAAGGTGAGAAGAACTGGAGAGGTATTTTCTGTTTGCCGTTGGGGTCGAAGAAAGGGAAAATTAGGTGCGTGACCGACTTGTTCAGGTTCTCATCATCATTGGGAAAGAAGTATGATGAAAAATATATGCGTCTTGAATCCATCGATTGAGCTTGATTTCACATTTTTTCGGATGCTCGCTGGCGGACAATTTGCATGATTGATTGGGTGACGAAATGATGTCCCAAATAGTGTATCCGGATGCACTGCTCGCGCAGATTCTGCACTTTTGGCGGAAAGATGTGAAGATGCACGATGGATGGAATGTTGAGACTTGTGTTGGGGAAATAAATGGCAAAGGTCGTGCGCAGTATGAGAAAGAAGCCGAAGAGATTTCACTGCCAGAGACAACCACGAAAATCCACCAACTTTCATGTGATACTCACAATTAGCATAAGTCGCATTGTTGGACTTTCTCATTCAGCGTCTGCCAGTGACTTCGTGAGTTATCCTTTCATGAACGAGATCACACGGATCGCGCGATCAACACTTTAGTTTTCGACACTTCTTCCTTTCGCCTCTGTGCTGATGATAATCCTCATGGAAAATTCACTGAAATCCAATCTTTGTCACGCGATTTTCCACACACTAAAGTCTCTCAAAGACTAAATCACTCTGAGCAGAAGATCAGCCACGATCGTTCGATGATCGCCACTGTTACTTGAATGGCGAGAGCAAGAAGCGTCCACCGAGCTTCACCTTCGATGCAACACTGCCGAAGACGTTGCTCATCTTGGTCTTCCGTGTCTCCGCATCAAAATTCGACCCCTCTCCGCGGTCTCCCCATCCGCAAAACGCCACAGTCTCACCGTTCCCTCGACGCGATCGCTGAATTTTTTCACACAACAATAGTGCGACCCCATCGCGAGAGAAAGGTATAAGAAAAACTCCAACACATACGCACAACATGTTGGTAACTTTTACTCTTCGCTTGTGCGAAGATGCTTCTTCCTCAATTGATTTTGCCTCTTTTTTCAATTGACCATCGCCAGCAATATTTGCCTTTTATTAATGTTTACTGTAAATGAAATTTAAGGCTCTTGCTGGGTATTTAATTTCTATTTCCACACGCTCATCTTTTTGGTGCATCTTCAATTTTTGATATTTTCACTTGGCGAAGAGAAACTCTGTCAGACGTCGTTAGATATCAAAGAAAGACACTGGCAAATATTTTGCCAAGGATCAGGCTTTAGAGTAAAAGTTGTTTTGAGCTGACAGAAGCTGCAGACATTTGAATTTATCATCCAACAACATGTGTTGTGGGAGAGTGAAGAATTTGCAATGGGAAATCTGCGATACATGAGCAAAATTTGGGTTTAAGTTTTGTCTTGGCAAAAATAGTGTTTGTAGTGTGAGAAATGTGACAAATTTTGACATTTAGCACAATTTTTAAGCTTCAATGTATATACTTTTAAATGAGACAAATATGTATTATTGCAATATTTCGAGTTGATTTAAAATTTTTAATGCATTTCTCAACGCTAATTTTATCGCTTATGTGTCATATCAATGAAAAACAAAATGCAAAATTTACGTATGTGGTGCATACTGTGTAACACACAAGTTCAATAAAATGTAATGAAAATACACAAGATAAAGTAATCCATCAAAACTGCTTAAGTAAAGATCGTCTATGCATTGAAATAATAAATTAATAAATAAATAATCAATTCATCAGCCTAAGCTTGTTCTTTCATTTGGTAAAAGTTGGTCTGTAAAGTTCAAATAATAAACTCATTCATTCTATCTTCTTGGTTCTCTTCAAGTCATCATTTTTCAAGCGCGTCTTATACAATTCTCATGTCTTGTTCGTCATTTTCAAATGTGATACAGTGAAGAAAAATTCATTGAGATTAATGCTCCTCAATTGGGCCTTAAATGGTTTCGTGAGAAACTTCTGTCCATTGAGTGATCGCTTCAGGAAAATCGCGCGTAAAATATTCACTTAGGATACTTAAGATGGATGGAAAAGGTAGCTTCTAATTTGATTTTAATTGACTCAAGATAGACAATTGAAGTGCAAATTTGTGCTGAAAAACATTCCTCAAGTCACTAATTTGGGTTTTCTTTTTTGTCTCGATGGATTTTTTCTCCTTCGTCTGCATAAAATATAAAAGTGAAATGCGTATTTTTTTTTTGATTGTTCACATGCGGAGTCAATGGTGAATCTTCACTGTCCCTTTTCCGAATAGACAGTCTCTCATGGCAGGTGAGTTTGACACCGCCCAGTTTGGGATCAATGTCACGATCACGCATCGTTCCGCCATTCATGCTGATGATGTGGGGCCTTTTTGGGACTCCGAACACAATGAAATAATGGCGCAAAATTGGACAAAAGTGAAGGTGAATTTCGATGAAAGGCAAATTGGGAAAAATCTCTTCGCATCACTCGTCCGCCCGCAATAAAATGTGAGGGGAATTATCATTAGATGTGGTTATTAATAAAAGTGAACAGATTTTTTCATCAAGCGTGATCATATGAAATATCAAGAGAAATGTGTCTTGACACCTCTTTCAAAATTACGCTGGGTCAATTTTTGAAAGTTAATTCAGTCACGCGCTCGCTAGAGGGCGGACAAAATAAAATGCATCTAAGGCAATATGGCCGCTTGCAAGATGTGTTAGTGAATTTACAGAAATTTCCACATGATCACGAAGTTGCTGGGCATTTTGGTGTCATCCTCTTTTGATGAACTCACCTCTGCCTCGTGAAAGTGATCTTGTGGTTTTTACACGTACCGCAAAGTTGATCTTCGTGCTTTTAATCACTGCTTGAGCGTTATAGCGAAGATCACCATCAATTGAGAAGTTGCCTGTCCAATTAATTATTTAACTCTCATCGTGAATCTCTGCCTCGGCTCTCCACCCACTAAAACTCATCTTCGCGCAATGGCCAAAATTGAGGCACATTCTCACGATCGCTCGTGCTCAAATTTACTTTCTCCGATGGATTAATTTGTATTACATGTTTGTCTCATAGGACAAGCCAGATCATTTCCGTTTTCCTCCACAATTAATGTGATGGCGAGTCAATGAAATTCTTTGCATACAAAGACAACACGAGACATTTGACATGGTTCGCGAAGCAACGGGAAAGAAGACGACAAGGAAGTCAATCAAGAGATCTTCACATTGAAATCTCTTCTGAGAGTGTGTCCATCGACTTGAAAAACCAGTAGATTTTAAGGAGGTTAGTGGCCCACAAATCGCGCTCGCGCCAAAAACCCAGCCAATTATTGACTTCCAACAAAAAATCCGCCAAATTTCATCACTGAGCATCACCACGTAGTCTTTAGCCAAATTGATCGCGCACGATTTTTCGTGAATGACCATAGAGATCTTTAATTGATGAATAGGCCTACATTCAAGGATTTAAAGCAACTATCCTCAATTGCATATCTTTCACCAAGTCGATAAGCTCTCAATAAAACACTTTTCCTCGTTAATTTGAAGGTGTGGGATTAATTAAAAGGCTGGAAATTAAATTGAGAGCAATTAGTAATATGGATATGATTTGGAGAGTGAATTTTACAGTGTTTGTTTAAAATGTAAGTGAAAGGTTTTATGTTCGCACAAAGTATAAATTGAATATAATCATATAAAAATGGATTTGTCAGTTTTCTCTAATCGCATTGTCAAGATGAAAGCTGTTTTACATGAATACTTTGCGAGTGATCTGCTCGGACATACCAAATAGAAACTCCACCCACTCAAATGCCCCGCCCTGATATTCGCATTTTCCATAAAAGCCAAGAAAAGATTAAGTAATTCATGACTATGAAATATAAAAAGTGAGAATCTTCGACAAGAGCTCATCTTTTCTCCGACTGAGAAGTGATCATCATAAATTATCAATTTATTTCACAATCATCAGTCGTTCTCGTGAAGAAAGAACACGTGATAATAAATGGAGCTTCATTCACTCAATGAAATACGTTTTTTTCTCCTGGTTCACATCAAGTTAAATTTCTTCTCCCATATTCGAGGAATCTCGTTCGTTCACGGAGATAAATGGCATTGAAATGAGAATTCCTAACAGCGCACGATCTCATAAATAGTATTAAATTTGTAATTTATCGGCGTCCACCTTACCAAGGGAATCAATGATTGAAAAACAGTGGTTCTCCGGAACGAAGATGCACAAGATCGATGAAAGTCAACAATAATGTAATTATTATTCATTGCATGGTGAGAGCTAATATTTTGACATTGAATATACATTACGATTTATTGATTGAACTTCTCTTCTGGCGCTGGGATCGTAAATGTAATCCGCCTCCAGACGGAAATCTCTGCTTCAATTCAAGAAACGTGATCGCAAGTCAATAATTCCATGATCTCAATTCTTGATTTTGAGTTGATTTTTGCGAAATTGAGACAATTTTGATTGCTGAGCAATTTCATGGAATCTCCAGCCGGAATTCACGTAAAATTCCGATAAATTTTCAACACACCATTTTACATTCACAATTGTTGGCACTCGGCATTTTTCTGTGAGTGGAATTTTGATATTAAAATAGCGGCGATTGAGCAAAAAAGTGACAACTTTCACCGTCGCGTCAACAAGTACTTTTAATGCTCGACAATGATCTCAAGTGATCGCCAATAAAAGTGGTGTACGCGATGGCATATAAAATATTACTTTTCCCAAACACACGTTCCGGAAAAACTAATGCCGTCACGAAGAGACTTTAAAGAGATTTATCATTATCATTTAAGAACACTCAATCATAAGAAGTACTACTTTTTTATTTCATAAAACTAGACTTGACGATTGTAGTTAAATTCTCTTCAAAGACTAATCAATAAAGATGCTGCCAAATAAATTTTTATAGTTAGAAAATTCATGTATGGACTGAAATATGTCGATCTCTCTTACATTTTTTGAGAAGAAATTTGTCATTGAAGATTCATTTGCAGAGAAATACACATATAACTACTTGTCCGTGGGTTAATTGTAAGATTTATGATCCGAACAACACATATTAAAGAGTGACAAAAAATCACAATTAAATTGAGACTCTCTTTTTATTCAGTTTCACTCGAAAATTTGCTCATAAAACCCATTTCACGCTCTTTTGCTGGCGGATCAATTTGAAACGGTCCTCATGTTGAAATCCACTCATTTTGAGTACTTGAAAATTGTGAATTGATCAACATTGAATTGCAGTGGCGCTCATCAACGGAATTGCGTGAGTTTTGTCCAGAAAATTCACGCGCTGGCTGACTTAACAATTGAGAAAGAGGCCGAAGATGGTCAATTAAAATTGCTAAATTCCCACCATTCGCGAGAAAGAGAGAGAGAGAGAGAGAGAGAGAAATTTGTATTAGAGATGTATTAATTTCTCACAATCACCAATTTCATAAGCGAGGCGACAGGACAAGGCGTATAAATTTAACTGCTGAGGAATGAGATCAGAATTATGCAATGATGCAGACATTCTCCGCTGGAGATTCTCTTGGACATTCATGTGCTATTTTATTTATTACCTAATGCCAATTACTGGAGATCCGTGGAATGAAAGGCACATGCACAGAAGTTTGTGGCGGGTCTTCTAATTGATTTTGAGCTGTGGAACAACAAATTGCCTCTCTGGCAATTACTCGAGATCACCTTTTTTTCTCATCACCTGTGCGCGCACCTCTTACAAATGACTTTCACTCGTTCGCACAGTGTCGATCTGCTTTTCCTCCTCCGCGTCGATTTCAGCTACTGGAAACTCCCACACGGCAAATTGCAGGTGATCCTCATCAATCTGCAAATGCCAGTGGCCACAGATCTCCTGAGGAATCGCCTGGGAAGATCGTTGAGTTTCCGCGCTCATTTCCAATGCAAAATCACGCGATAGAGAAGTGAGATAACAGCTGCGGCTTTACCTTCCCATCAACTTCTATTACGTTGAACTCTCGACCGAATAAAAGATGTCCATCTTATGTAAAATAAGAGACGAGCAATTTTTCACCATTTCAATCATCCGATTAAATAATTGCCTGCGTCTTTTGTGACTCTCTCGGCAAGAGACATTCTTTTTTCGCCAACAAAAGAGGCGCCCATTAAATGTGTGGCATTTTTACTGCGTCAATTTCTTTATGGCTCATCGTGACAAAGTCTCTGTGTCTTGAGAAATTTCGTCACTCGTCGTATAAATCACTTGGGAATCTGCAATGTGAGACTATGGGAAGGTGTGAATATCATAATAAATCATGGTAATTGCATATTTTACACAATTTCATGTCTATCTAGATATGATCTCAAATTATTTGGTGGCAGAGAAGAGCAAATTTTTGGAGGCCAATGAATTGAATTGGTTTCAACGTGAACATTATTTCAAATTAGTTTTAAAAAGACTTTTTGACTAATAAATCAATTAATCTCTGACTGACAAATTCTCTATACAAATTATTTCAGTGGTAAAATGCTAGAAAAATTGAAATTCAATAAACTCTGTAAAACCTTCGGCAAAAGTGAGCTTTTCGTGCAGAACACCTACTTGAAAACCCGCCCAAAAATCGAAACGTTCCTGATGTATGCCAAAGTGGAGCTCATGCCGCCCACACGGGAAGATCTTCCGGCGATCAGGGAAAACTGTCGGCGCCTCTTCTGCCGCTCCCTTCACGGCTCCTGGCGGCACGTGACCGTCCGCGAGGCCTGGCTCAACGCTCTCGTGACCACAGAAGTGATCCTCTGGTTCTTCGTCGGGGAGTGCATTGGCAAAAGACACCTCGTAGGTTACAATGTCTGAAATCCATTGATCATGATTTCTCTTAACGTTTGAAATGAAATCTCACCTCTCACGCGCAATAAAATGGGTGTTTACCGAAAATTGAGTGCAAAATGTTACTATTTTACTACTATTATTATAACCGTCATTTTAGCTAGTCTTCCTCTATGATTATAATGTGTTTTCAAGCTAAAAGGTTGTTTAGGCGTAATTTGAGCGCGATTTCGATGTTCTACGCCACTGCCAAGATCGCAGGTGATCGTCTTTAATGAAGAGTATGCCTGAATATTCAAACCGGATGTCTTCCCGCTCAAGAGATCCAATTTCGCGATTCTCTGCGATGGCAAGAGAACACGCAAAGGTGTAGAAATGTCAGGAAGTGCAGGTGAGATCTTCATTAGCGTTTCAAACTGCCACGATCATAGTCATCGATCAACGCGAGCGCGGGTGATCGTTAAGAGCATAGCTTCATCGCGATAAAGTGGTTAGTGAGATGAATTTTGCAGTCCGCCAATGTAGAGACGCCTTAATTAGGGAAAGATTGTAATTTTTCAATTAAATGAAGCCACACTATTAATTGATTACTGCATCAAGATTGGTGATTATGGCTTTTCATCAAAATATTGCACAATCTTTTTGCTTACATTAAATCATCGGATTTCTATGAATTTTCACTTTTTTCAATCTCCGTCACGCGCACATCTCAATCCCTCTTCATGGTCCCAATCAATGATCAACAACTCTTGATCCATCGGCTCGAGAAGCTTAAGAAAGTCTCTGCGCAATGACGGCGAAGGAAAAGTCTTCAGTATTGATCAATTCGATTATCTTGGCAAAATGTGATTTGGCTGATGCGCGATGAAATGATTATCGTCAACTTTTACTTTCGTTGCTCATCTTTGACTCGCGTAATTGCATTCATTCACTTCTCGTCATTAGGAAATTTATGATGTATCGACTAGTGACTTTCTTAATTTTGTGGTTTAAGGATTATGAAGTGCGCGATCCACTTGCCATGTGAACGCAAGTACCAGGAATTTGGAGTGAAAGTCTATAGATTCTGACCATTTGGTTATTATTCAACAATTTGTGGGGGACACAAAGAAGTTGAGGCGCGTTGTGCAAGAAATTTCCTACTTAAGAATATCTTCACCCAACAGGTTTATCCACACCTTTTTATCCATTTCTCAATCGACGCTTCAACGATGTTTTGTGCCTTCCATTGCTATGCCTTTCCATTTACCTGAAGATGTTAATTACGCGTCCATTAGGCGTCTGGCTGAGCGAAGGAGAAGCAATAGCACCTGCCCTTCTAACGCTCTATATGCTTCCCGGGAAGTAACAATGGAAATTGCTGTGAAATAAAGCGACACCGTGACTGAAACTCACATCTAAATTCCTAGAGATCAGTAAAAAAAAAGATCCTGATTATCAGAGAACCTGAACAAGTGAAACTGCAATTGATGAAAGTGAAAATGGTCAGAAGATGTGCGACAATCTATGAATGATGGATAGAGATACTCTCCACAAAATACAAATAAGTCCATAAACACAAAACAAGTCTCTTCGTCAAATAAAATCACTCCCACAATTTTCAACGGTTCACATTTGATGCCTTTGCTGATGTGCCAGTCACGCTTTTCCTCGGCCGTAAATAAATATTTGAGCGTATCTCATGTGTATGAATGTTTGTGTATGTTTGCGTGTGTGAAATGAATGGAAAGGACCACCTTTGGCATGGTTCTTTCGCACCTCGAGGTTAGGACTTCCGTGAAGCTGTGCGATGATGAATTTATGCAGCAGACAATTTCTCTTGTTTGATCAGCGCACGTGATCAAAAAGTGCCGAGGAAACACGGCTCTTTGCATGCATGATCAGATTTACTGCCTTTAACTAACAAGGAGTCAATTAATCGGGATGTTTTGTGTAAAAGGCCAAATAAAGAATTAATTTGAGAATAGATAATGAGCTACTCTTCCTAATGCAATTGGCCTACAAGAAATAATATAATAAATTGAACTCGTACATTTTAAAGTCACTTAGTTTCAACTATTTCCTAATAAATTTTACAATGAAGAACTCATTTGCTAATTTTGATTGAACCTGACAGTTGATTTTTAGCGAATATGAACGTTACATTCCTGCCTTTCCTTCTTCTCGACTGGGAAAACTTTGCATGACTCAGCAAGTGAAGAATGGGCGGTAAATTGCTCACAACAAACCCTCCAAATCGCCACCATCAATCATTGTTGTAAAAATTAAAGTGAGAAAAAAGTGACGATAAATGTGAGCTGATAAAAGAATCTCAGCTTCTCTCGCCCAACAAAATGTACAGTGATGTAAGATCAAAGTGTATTTTACACCGCGAAGCCTTTCACTTTGAAATGCAAATTATTTCTCATCTTCCAGGGCAATTTATCATCATCTTATATTGCTGGGTATGCAAATACGGACAATTTAGTGAGAATCTTCTCACACTTCCGTAATCCTCATCATTCGGCCTGCGGGGCTTTTGAGTGTATGATGATCGACAAATATTTTAAAATATATGCTTAAAGATGACTTACAATCAATTTCTTTTCGTAAGCCTTGCATTCGACGATCAGAAAACCTATTTTAAATGCAATTTGACATTTATTTCCTTCTGTTTAATTGCCATTTTTTGCTGCATCTGAAACGGAAAGAAACGAATAAATCAATAGCAATTTAATAAATAATCAATTAATCTCACCATTTCACGCCTGAAGTGTTACTAAATCATCTTCAACAGATATATTCTTCATCTTCCTGAGTTTTCGCTGCACGACAAGATCAAATGCACTTTGAATTGTTGTGTTCTCCGGATGCATTTTCTGGTGTTTCTTGAGAAGACGCTTTTTCAACTTCTCCAAATTCATGCTGTTGCTGTTCTTCTGCAGAATCGCTACAAGGGTCTCTTTCCAAGGGAACTTTTCTGTGCTCTCAGCAGAGTTTTTGATCTCCTGAACAACTTCCTTCCTTGTCTTGGTCCTTTTTGCAGGAGACTCTGCGGTTTCTGCAATTGTTTCCTCTTCGGGCTGATTCACTTTCTCTGTCTTCTTCCGCTTCTTTTTCGGTTTTTCCTGTTCTTCTTCCTTCAATTCTAAAGCCTCCAGATCTTTGTTCTCTCCAGAGTTCCTTTTCTGCTTCTTTTTCTGTTTTTGCTCTTCTTCCGTGGCATCTAGAGTCTCCAGACCATTGTTCTCTGCAGATTCCTCGCTATTTCCATTTAAGACGGAGTCCTTTTTTCTCTTCTTGCCTTTCTTGTTCTCCTCCTGACCATTCACATGTCCATTGGTCTCCTCCGGAACACTATTTGATTCCTCCTTCTTGTTCTTTAGGTACTCTTCTTCAATCAAATCGAAAATCCTCGTGGCATCATATTCAGACGTCTGCCGGGAGACGTTTTTCATGAAGTTGAGGAACTTAACTTTCTTCCGGGGCACATTTTCATGCTTTGTTAGCATCTGGAGCACCGCCTGAATTCTCGTGGACAAGTCATCACGCTGCAAAACATTCTGAATGATGTCCGTCCACGCTTCCTGCTTCTTCTGACCCTTGTTCTGCGAGGGCTTCTCCCGGAAGTCCTTCCCGTAGTACCGCTCAGCCTCCGAGATGCACTTGGTGTGCCCCACGTACTCCTGACCACGGAAATCCTTCAAGCAATCCACACATGTGAGAAACACCGGAGCTCCTTGACACTTCTTCCACGCATAGTGCTTCTCCACTGCTTGCTTTTTGAGGCTTTCACCGCAGTGATTGCAAGTGAAGAACACCATCTTGATCTCGATAGCACTCTAAGCGGAGAACTAGGCCAGGAATATTCTCAAATCCCGAATAAAAACCTCTCAAAACACACGCTTCTTTCCGATTTGGAAACTTTCCACACACGTGGAAACAATGATGAAGTTGGCTGCAAACCATACACTGTAAACAAAATGCGTTCGTTATTACACTGCAAATCAAACATTTCCATAATATTTTCTGCTCACTAAGTGAAATAACGATTTGAGAGATTGTAATTAAGTGTAATACAGATAAATAAGTTTCTTCTTCACGCCAATTGTTAAGCTGTTATATCAAGGAGTCAATCAAAGGTTTCCATGCCAGTCTTTGATGAATCATCGCTCCTCCAGAATCACTGTTTCCTGCGGACACAGGCGCAAGTTCTTCAGCGTCTCCTCCGTGTTCATCGTTGTCAACTGCAAATACAGGCAATTAGCATCATTGCATCACGTAATGCAAAATCTCGCCAAACTCACATCTTTCCTTGGCCATCCGGAGAACATTTTGTATTCCGCCACTGGAAATCCCACTGATGTAATGTAGTTTAGAAGTATCTGCCAATAAAAGACCATTAGACAATGAATTTCAGCAATATTGAAGACTTTGGCTCACATTCAATTTGGTATCGGCAGTAAACCTCCGCTCCAGAAAATCTCCACTTGGCTTTCTCACGCGAATCTTCGTCACTCCGGCCGGATGATTGGCATCTGGTTCAACGGGCAAAGTTCGCTCAGCCTGAAACAAACCACAGACATTTCTCAACGACAATTTTGCAGTAAAAGAGCACAAAGTGAAGAACAAAAACATTTTTTCTAGAACTTTTTCTACAGTTTCTCACATAGAGAGTGAAAAAAAAATGCATTCGAAAAGAGAAACTAGGCGAATATTATTTGAAATCCTCACCTCGAGGCGCATGGCTATTCTCCTCGCCTCCTGTTCGGCCTTCTCCGACTCCAGACGCTTCCGCTCCGTGGCCAGCATCTGCTCACGCCGCTTCTTCGCCTCCTCTTTGGCCCGATCCGCCTCCAGACTCTCCCTGTACGCCATGTCCTGCTCCAGAAGCACTTGCTCGCGCGCCGCCCTCTCGCTCTCTTCGCGGATCTCCACGCGCTGCTGCTCCGTATAGAGATCAATGGACTCCATCAGTTGCGACAGCAGATCGTCCACACCGACATTGCCGTGTATCACACTGAACACTTCGCAATTGCTGCGACTCTTCGAGATGATGAGAATCGCCGGCAGACGATCGATCGGGATGTTGCGCACCGTGAGTGACGCCGGCGTGCCAATAGCTCCCGTGATCGCAGACAGAAACATGTTCTTATTGCTCTCGAATGTCAAATCCCATCCGTAGAGGATGAAGTTGTGCATCAGCGTCTGAATGATACTCTCGCAACTCAATAATTGACCGCAGAATACATTCGTGAGCACACTGCTGTCATGGTGAAGGTAGATGGCCAGCAGTTTCCTCTGAGAGCAGACAAAAAAAGAGTGTTAAACCTCTATTGATCTGATATTGCAAGAAGACATTCTTCATATGCAGCACAGGTAGATATATAAGATCCATAGACTTACATCTTTTGCCGGCTTGTGACATGCTTCAGCAAGGGCATCAGACAAGGTTCCCTGGTAGAATTCCGGATGTGGTTCACCATATCGCTGAATGTAGTTCTGCACAAATTCAATGCTGCCAATAATTTCATCACTCACTTGATCAGGCACTGAAAAGAGACAAAGTTCCGTGAGAGAGTTTCAAGCTAAACCTCAGCTGAGATACTAACTCAGGTGTTTGAGGCGATTTTGCGGAGGAGATTCGGCAAAGAGATCGTCATCCGCATTGAAATCTTCCGAGGCGTCCTCGTATTCCTCCATAGAACTTTCCGAATCAAGCTCTATCGTACTAAAAAGGAAATGAGCATTAATATCTATATTAAAATAAGAGATTCTACTGTCTTACTTATTCATTGATCTCGTTTGCCTCTGAGATCTCTTCGTGGAAGTGTTCTCAGCTGATTTTAATACTAAATTGTGCTCGAGATCAATTCCAGATTGCTGTTGAGAATTTAAAGGCGCTTTGTTAGGAACAATTTTAAGCGGAAAATGTGAAATTCCTTACAGCTAGTGAAGTGTCATTGGAGACATTATCCGGCCATCCTGACCACAATTGATGCCTCACCGCGATGTCAGTGATGGAAAAGACGTCAGACTTCACCTCGAGGATGGTCTGAGTGCCTGGGTATTTGAGCGGAATCGTCCTCCCATCCGGCTGGATGTTGATGTTCAGGTTGAACGTCTCATTGAGTCGTGACGGTGAATCCCCGTCATCAGTCAGATCTGTGAGATCCGTGAGATCGAGGACATTCTCTCTGGCCACGTTGAGATTCTTCAGGACGGCTGCACTGTTCTGCGCGTCCCGGTGGCGAAACGGAGTCAATCCCGTGAGTGCTTGGCGACACGGCGGAACACTCGTGGCCTCAAAGATGCGCGCTTTGAGATCGCCCACTGTGGCGTGATCGGAGATCACGATGTTGTGCACGCGACTGTTGAAGTGAATCGTGAAGCTAACGTCTCTCGGGCGTCCCTGGGTAGCGTCACTCGGGAAGCCGTTGTTGGCAGAGGTTGATGGTCCACTGGAGCGGCTGTTCGTTGCCGGAATGTTGTACACAATGCTCACTGGTGATGAGGAGGATGGCGTGCCCGCCATGGGCTCCACACTCGAATTAGAAGTCACATCGAGATTGTTCAAATTAAGCTTCTCTGTCGCCATTGAAGACGACGCGACGCTGTAGGGGGGTGGATTCTCCATCGGCGGATCATCCTGAGGGATGACTTTGTGAATGGCCGTCTGAAAAGCAAATACAAAACATCACAAACTCCTTCCCGGAAGTCCCAAAATACACTGTCATACCAACAAATCCCAATTGCTCTCCTCCAGCAGGTAAATAGCCTCACCCACGTCGTCAATCGCCGTGATATTCTACATAGACAAAGGGAAATCACATTTTCCATTATTATTTACGCCGTTTGACCCTCAGAAAGGGAGACAAAGGAAAATTTCAGAGTCATTTGAGGGCGACATAACCAAGTTTTTACGCCACGGGAGTCTCATACAAAATATCTCTGCGCTTCTTGAGCTTTCTCACCTGAAAGTTTGCCAGTGTCTCTTCTCGATTCTCCGCCATGCTCACGCCAATGCAAAAATATACGCAGTATAAGGTAAAAAGCACTTTTTCGTATAAATTTTCCTGGAAATTTTTCTTTCAAACTCCCCTTCTCACGACTGAAGCGCTAGCGGTCACTTAAGAGAACGTCAAATCGGCCTCTTAGAGATTCTCGTGCTATCTAGCGGGATTTATAGTGTTCCAATCTCGAAAATATCCAATAGGAATTGCGAGGACTGAAGTAAAAATCCTATTGCTGGCCGAAATATTTCCCTAATATTGTTCATGTACCAAATAAATGGCGTATTAGATTTCCAACATAAATTTATTTGGACAATTACACGTTATCGACACAATATTTTTTTATAGGTCTTTAGTGTGCATTGGGTTGTTTCCTGGATTCTATAAACTTTCCCTCATACTTTTGTGAGATTTCAACACTCATCAATGTCATACATGTCGTCCCACTATTACTTTTTCAGTTTTAAATTGTATGAGCGCGATATAAGGCCTCGCATCACTTTGGTCGCCGAATTCTGCTCCCGCGCAGACCTCTGCCATCCTCCAGGGCACCCGCACTGCCTCTGCTGGATTGACGTGGAACTCGTTGACATCGCCGCAAGACGTCAGACGGTCGAGAGAGTTCAAAAATATCACTGCGTCGCTGAAAAAATTGCACAATTTTCTCAGTGTGTTTTCAGTGTTTATCTCAAGAGGAAAGATTGCTCGTTTCTCCGTGAGAAAGTGTGTCTATTTTTCCCATTGCCTTTCACGTTGTCTTCTTGCATCTCCGCTAATATTTGTCGTGTTTTGATTGTGTCTTCAAGTGCCAAACTCAGGACTTGTTTGACGCATTGCGAAAAGCGCTGTGGAGAAATTATAGCAAAGGCGGAAAAGTCGGCCCGAATTTGTGTGCAATCCTCTTCAATTGGACTTCCTGTGGTATTTTTGTCCTGAAAATTCCTGCAATTACATTCTGTTTGGCAGGCAGAAGCTATTGGTTGACAAGAAAGACTGTTCTGTGAAGTGAAAAGTGTGAATATTCGGTGAATATTTACTTTCTTGCCATCTTTTCTCCCAGACTGTCGTGCTCAAGACGAAGAGGAGGAAACATCGCGACTTGTGACTGTGTTTTGGTGTTTTTCTCCCAACATCACGACTGAATGGATTTTATCGTCGAATCGCCGTCAATTTCAACATCTCTCTAAACTGCATGAGGTAAGAAAACCGTCGAAAATCGAAGGGTCTCCAAAATAGACTGAATTTCGTGTGTGTATGTAGAAATTGGGAAAAATTCGTGGGTTGTTTAAGGAAATCGATGATCGGACTTGACTACTCGAACGACTCGAACTATTTTGGAGTTTGAATTTTCGATGAAAAAATGGCACCAACACATTGGTAATAAATGAAAAGTGGCTGTTTACAAACATTTCTACTCAATGTGTAAATAGAATTACAAAGAAATGCCTCACACTCGTGCGGAAATGCAGTTTAAGAAGAACTCCTCCGCAGATTGAGGGGTTCGCACATAATACTTTTTCATGAATTTGATTCATGATTTGTCAAGCGGTTTTAAAATTTATATCGTCTCCATTGCTTCATTGGATGGTGAATAAATCTTCAGTCCATTGAAACTTTAAATTAAAGAGCCATGATTGATTAGTAGCTGTTTGAGCAGTGATTTGCCCCTCATTCGCCGTCTCAATGATCTGGACGACATTGACACGGCGCATTCAAGTTCCCTGGCCCAGCATAGCCAGAGCATAGCTCTCTCATCTGGCGCTGAAGTGTGTAAACAAAGTGCTGTGAGTGGACAAAGAATGACTGCATTCGCGGCGGTGAAGGGACTTTAAGAAATGTGGTTTAGCCGGCAAAGAAGGTCGGAATAAGCCAAAACTCACGAGAGAAAGAGAGTTCATTGTTGTCTGTGGCTCTCGCGACCAAAAAGAGGGTGGCGTGCTGACGTCAGCTGAGTGTGGAGGCACGTCAAAGCGAAAAATACCCATGCAATCATTCGAAGCTTCAATAATCAGACTGAAGATTAGATGAAAATGTATAGATAAACACTCGATTAGCCAAAATTTCGGGGGTTGCATTGATGTGAAGTTAATTTGAAGTAACCAAAACTGCGTTATTTTAACTTTGGCGAGGAATCAAAACAATTTTCGGTATTCCTCTGAGTTACACTTAGTTTTCTAGCACTGATTTCCCTATGCCGATCGCGGAACAGAGTTGTTCTTCGGCTCAGCTCTAAAAATGAGTCAAAAAGTGGAAAGCTACATGATACCAGAAATGACTAGAAAATGCTGAGACAATATGAGTGAGAATGTGAGATTTTTCTTATAATGAGATACAGACGTTTTTTCTCCATTACAATTCTTTCATGCTTTTTCATCGGCGCAAATTTCTATAAATACCACTTTGGACCATGTCATTTTTTATCATATTTATAGTTGAACTCTGTGCATGGATTGGCAATGTTTATCTTTGGCTTTAAGGTCAAGTCTCGCGGTATTATAAAGTTGATATAACCACCACTTTGTCGATTTTCTTGTCTCATTCGATAGTGCAGAAAAATGTGTTTTGTTTACGTGAGTCGGATAAAAGAAAGACAGAGAGTGAAACACCAAAAGAATTTCCAACACGAGTGTGTGAGCTAAATATAGATATCTTCTGTTGCTTTTTGTGTTACTTTTTATGTTATTTTGATTCCTCTTTTTATTTGCTTTTTGTTGATTCTTTTTTCTCTATACCAATTCAGCTCTGTGCAGTGTCACATTTATTATTTAACATAATATTTTCTTGCTGTAATTGTTAACAAAAATAGCTCAGCAGTTATCATTTTTTTATTCCCCACTCTTCTTTTAGACGTGTAAGAAGGCAAGATCGCGATAAGTTTTACAAACACTTTGTCGCCGCCGCATAGCAATAATAATTGTTCGGGTTTTTTTACTGCGACATGAGGGCGTTTTGATAAAATGTACAAGAGTGTTGTGATAAGGCGGGGAAATCTCTTGAAATTGACAGGGGTTAAGCCATTTGGAATGCATTGACTTATTTCGGGGTTTGATATTGATTCCGGGGAGCTTTCTGAATGTACATAAAATACAAGTTTTATGACTCATGCCAAATTTGGCTTAAATTGAATGCAAGCTTTTACTTGCTAAACACTTGCTAAACGTTTGATAAATGCATGAAAATTTAATGCGTTAGACGCCAGAAACTGTGTATTCGACTATAATCTAAAGTTGTTAAATGTAGATTTGTTGAAATGCTAGGATTACAGAAAACTAAATTAGATATGAATCTGACTGACTGATAAGTTAATATGTGCTAAAGTGCAGACCAAATTGATTTTCCCTCCCTGAAGCCATTTGGAAGAAATCGTTTGAAATCTCTTTGGTAAACTTGATTCAATAACTAAAGTCGCAAAAATCCAGCTAGTTCAGTCCCAAGTAATTTATTGAACTTTTACAAGCTTCTACTTCTATTTCGCCTAATAAGAATCTTTTTATCCCATATATCTAACCAATTCTAGTATTGAACGGACGAGTTAGTCTATTCCAGTCCATTCGAGTCTATTCAGGCCCTGGCTTCGCAAAAAAAACATCTGATGTCTGATGAGATTTGCAATAAAATTCTTGTGTCTCGTGGAGAAATGTTAATTTGCTCATTGACATTTGCTAAAACGTGCGCGCTTCCCTGTTGTTCCAGTTACTTCATCTGCAGCCATCCGGATAAATGCCACGGGGAGTAAGGCATAGCGAGAGAGGCTTGAGTTGATCTGCCAGTGTTTTCAGCTGATGGAAAAAAAGTCTCCATCGTGTGGATCTACATTTCCACGTGATAGAAGCACGCGCTTTATTTTTCTAGCACATTTGCACAATATTATTACTCATTATAGCCCAGACACATAACAAGTCTCACGGTTTTTCTATCCTCCTCTGCAGAGTGGGTGGTTGACTGGCGCCTAGTGTCTCTATCAGGTGCTCACACATCGTTTTTCCATCCCTTTTCACCCCGTCGCGCTGGATATCGCCACTTCCACATTTGTATTTACATTTCACCATCATTTAGTCACTCTTCTTCGTCTTTATTTTTCTCGATGAGGTGCCAAGAGAGATACTGAGAAACGCGCGATCTTTGTATCAATTTCTGCATTATGAGCAAACGAACGAACGAAATGCCAACAGCAAAATGATAAATATTTAATCAACACATACGACAAGGCTTTGTGCTGATGAAAATAGCTAAAGTACAATTAAAGACGTATAATTAGCGCCAATTATTCATTCACCATAGAAAAATGTGATCATGTGACACAAATGTTCAGCTTTCCAGATGAGCCATATGCAAATATTTGACTCGATTTCTTGGACTCTGTGTGCCAGAAGCTCAGACGACATCATTCGCAACCGTGCAACTGAAAGTCAACACAAGAATTGTGAATGTGTGGCACGAAAAGACGTAAAAAAAACTTTATCGCAAAAGTATCCTTCAACAACACTTCCCGTTTCGATTACTCGCAAGCACTGTCTATCGGGTCATTGAAGATCTTTTTATACCTAATCTGAATGCCAAAACTCTGGTAAATATAATTGAGAAATTTGGCCAAAAATTCAACTTTCGCCACTTGAGCCCCTTAAAAGTCGTTTCGAGTTGACATGATCATTGTATAAACGACTCGAAATGTTGATAACCTCAGCGGACTTAAAGATTCCAAAAAAAATTTCTCATACGAATTGTGGAAAAATTGCGCATTATTTCACTTTTTCATCATTGTAGGTGGTTTTAAGAACAGAACATCACTGTAGATTAGATTTTCTGTTCAAACTGCTTCATGAGACCTACAAAAAAGTGTCTTGTTGGCTGAAATTAAATTTTAATTTAATGTCATCTTTGGTTTGTTTGTAATCTAGATTCTTAAAGCCTTGATTATGATATTATGTCTAAATTTAAGTAGAATAACCTATTTTTTATTTACTTAGACTATCTTTGAGACAACTATTATATATGATCAGTAAGAAGAAGTATTATTGTTTCGTGTATTGATAACATTATCATTTTAATATTGCTATTATTAATTTTCACTGTTATATTAAATGTGATTCGAACTCAAATCCTTTGGAACAAGAAACTTGCTTTGATGCTATTGATCAACTCTACTATATTGACATTTTATCTTTTTCCTCTAATGCAAATTTATAAACATATTATGAATAGTTATAGGCATGACTCTTGAATTGTCTATATTTGCTTCATTGATTTCGGTTGAAACGATTTTTTTTCTGCATTTCACCAAAAACCACTGACATGAATACTTACCTTCCAGGAAGTGATTACAATTGCAAATTTGTGCACGCCTCCAAATGAGATGCTGGAATTTAAAACGGTGCTTTTTGGAGGTGGCTTTTTCTCAGAAATATTCTTCACGGGCGCGCAATCTCTTGTTATGTCGCACTTGAAAAGATAATGCGCGTCTCTTGTGTGTACGTGAAAAAAAGTCAAGTTAATTGGTCTTCAATGAGTTTTTGCCACGAGGTTGGAAGTGAGCAATGCGGTGGAATTATTGATATTTTAAGTGGTTGATTGATTGAATTTCAATTGGCCACAATGACTTCAATTACACAAATTGAGCTGACAATCTAATTCCAACTCGTCGGTTGGGATGGAGAAAACAGGTGGGAAGATTCGAGAAACGGGGGATCAATTAATTTGCCAATGGAAGGCACACGATTATTATTTATAGTGTGTGTCTGCTGGTTGTCAATTAAGACCATGGTTGTCTTTCGCTGCGCCCCGGTCAGAGAATCAATTTAGCGCTCTCCCTCATGTTTTACAGCCTCGTTCGCACTTTCTTGCTTCCTTCGTCGACTGTTTTACTCGGCAAGATTATGCTTAAAGAATTACTTGACGATACTGTGTGGTTACACACCGAGGAAGTTCATTGACGGTCGGTGCCATTTCGCAGTTTATGTTCCTTCGTTTTATTCACAATGGCTAAATTTGTATTAGAAGCAAAAGTCTCTCCCCAATTCCTCATGCCCATGGCTATTGAGGAGAAATTGCACCCATAATTATGGGTTTATGTATTTATGAGATTCTATGCGGTGAATGAATCAATTAGTAAACCATGTATTGATGCCTTGCAGACATTCTCACCGGGCATGGCAGAATGGACAACGAACAGCCACACCAGGAGCTGGTGAAATGTGTCCTCGTCGGCGACACGGCGGTCGGAAAGACGCGCCTGATTTGTGCCAGAGCGTGCAACAAACACGTTTCACTTTCGCAATTGCTGTCGACGCATGTGCCAACTGTGTGGGCCATTGACCAGTACAGAATCTACAAGGATGTGAGTATCAATAGAGCTGCAAATTGCACGCCCTGCTATCTCTCGCGCCAGACATTGCACTCTCTGTTGTTCCGCCATGCAGTCGGAAGGGTTACTCAAGCTCTTCCTCACCACACAGCATCGCTGCTTGTTATGGCGAAAGGCTTAACCAGGGAAATATTGGTTGTAATGCACTCATTACACTCTATTTTTCTTCCTGACTATATAGAAGTTTGTATCAAAGACGTAAGTTAGCTCGATTGTTCGTTTAGTATTGGGAATAAGAGTACTTCGAAGTGTTTTCTGTTTTTTCATAGTTACCATCGAACTTAATTTCATCGATCTTGTCTTATATTCCAGTAGCGTAAAAAATTAAGCAAAACATGAAGATATCAACTACATGATTATTATTAATTGCCTCTGTTCTGATAGCAAGAAAACTCATTTGTGTAGTTCATTCGCCATATCCACGCTAAGAAGTCTTGCTTTTCAAAGTTGCAGACTTTAAGTCCAAAACTTACAATAGTATGTGCCTCTATGTGCAACGATGTGCTATACGAATCATTCTCATTGAGAGTCAACTGGGAATTTCTGCTTCTGAAATGGGAGAGCAGACGAAGAGGGACAAATGGAAGAATAAACTTTAATGCATTGGAAAGTGGATGAGTGCATGAGAGTCTATTCATGCTATTTATGGTGTAGAAGTGAAGCTGTTTGAGTCTGCAAATGGAAGTATCAGACGGGAAATAAGTAAAAATCTTCTGTAGAAGCTTCGCGCGCAGAAGAGAGAGAGAGAGAGAAATTGACCTGTCTGTAGGGGGAAAAAGTATTGAAAATTAATTTAGAAGCGATTCAATAACCGCTGTAGCTTGAATTGATGGGAAAGCATTTACTTTATGGCGCGCGCAAAGTGCAGAGTTGCGTGGTGAATGAAAAATACTCATTAAACATTCAGTGGCCGAAAGCGGGAAATGAGTAAATTTATGAAAATGTAATGGCGTGCGCTTAAAAGGGTTGACGAAGAATGAAAACCTCGTGTTTGCTATTTATACTGCTGAAAGTCCATCTATGAAAGCGCGACATGGATGAAAGGAGAGCTGCATTGAGGATTACGTGACTACGTGGACGGCCTAAAGACATAAAAAAAAACTTTTCTTTCTGTGTCACTTTGTCTGCAGTGCCGAAAGAATTGTTTATGACTTCCGTGTGATTCGTATAAGAATATCATTTCTGGCATGTGCAGATCATTAAAGATTCGAATTTATACGCATCTCTACATTTTTCCATTCCGCACCTTTTTAGTCAAAACACTATTCGAAAAACAGTGGTGAGATTAATTATTCAGTCACCATGCTATTTTTGGGCAGCTGAAAATTAGCACCCATTTAGACAATTTAGACAAGCGAGACAATAATTTCGCACGCTGGTGATAAAAAGAAATTCCAAGAGATGATAAATGACGACAGAGGTGCAGCATAGCGATCAATATACAGCGTTTTATTCTGTCGGGCACGATGATGATAGTCTGTCTGACGTGTAAAACATAACGTAGGAAATGCATTAATAATTGCAAAGCTCGTGCTTGATTGTAAATAACTTGGTCAGTAATATCCATTCACTTTCCTCAAACCTTCAAAGTAATGCACACAGAACAGTCAGTTCCATAAAAAAATGCTATTGTGCGCAAATGAGCATTAAAAATTGCTTGTTGACGATTGTTTGTGAATCACTTTCCGCTTTTTCTAGCACATTTATTTCCCGATAACTAGCTGAACAGAGATTCGCAATTGTGTTTAATCTAAAAGATACTCTAGCAGACATCCAGATCTTGATATTCGTAATCTCAATATTTTAAAACATCTGGATAGTTTCAAGCTGTATAATTGGTAGAAACCTAGTTTGTACTCTTCAATAATTGCTCAATATAACGATTGCAGGAAAAAGCGGAATTGCTTTTGCGTGGCAGAATCTATTGAGATAATTTGTGTGGTAATTGTTCTTCAATTTTATTGTACGCTGTACGGTAAATTTTCTTATTATACGGTACATGTACTTAAAATTCTTCTTCCTACTGTATATTTTTTTTCTTCCTTCACGTTATCGCGTGGATCGCATGTATCAAGAAAGAATATTTAGATGTTTTTGACGGTATTTTAAAGTTGCGCGATGTTGTTTTGCGACAGACAAATAAGCTGTGTGTCTTAAATTCAACAAAGCTCCTCTAGGTCGATCACTCGCGATAGAGTGAGAGAGGGGGTGAAATTCCTTAGCAAAATGCGTATAAATGAATCTCATTCAATTGAAAGATTGAAAAACACGAAGAAGGGAATCTATTTTTAACACCAAGCGTGCTGTTGCGATGCCTTGCAGGTGCTGGAGAGATCATGGGAGGTTGTGGACGGCGTGAATGTCTCCCTGAGACTGTGGGACACTTTTGGGGACCATGAGAAAGACCGGCGCTTTGCCTATGGACGCTCAGATGTTGTTCTGCTCTGCTTCTCCATCGCCAATCCCGTGTCGCTGCGCAACTGTCGCGCCATGTGGTATCCAGAGATCAGGCGCTTCTGCCCGCAAACACCAGTCATCCTGGTGGGGTGCAAGAATGATCTGCGGTACATGTACAGGGACGAGACGTACTTGTCCTACTTCGGCGATCGGAGTCCTTTTGTGAGGTGAGCAATTTACCGCAAGAAACGTGACGCAAATTTGAAATTTATGCTGACAATGGTTAAACAATGAGATTAACTCTTCCGCAAATATTATTCTTTATGCCATGTGGTAAATATTTTCAAAAATGTGTTAGGTCACGTCAAATTGGACATTTAAATGAATTATAATGCTTATTTTCTTAGCTTTAAATGTTCGTTTCTCCCTCTTTGACAAAATTCGCTCAGGAAATATGTTAAAAGCAGGTAAATTAAAGTCAACTTCTTGAAGCTTCTGTAGTTTGTGGCCTCTTTACACACTTCCACCCTTGGCATGCTGCGAGGGAGTCTGTATTCAATCCTTCTTGTCTGATTATCTTCTTGCAGGGCGGCCAGGAAGTCTGATCTCGTAATGCCGGACGAGGCGAGAGCCGTAGCGAAGGATCTCGGTGTGGCGTACTATGAGTCGAGTGTCTTCACTTATTTTGGTGTGAATGAAGTCTTTGAAAATGCCATTCGAGCGGCATTGATCGCGAGGCGACAGCAAAGATTCTGGATCACAAATCTCAAGCGCGTTCAGCGTCCGCTGCTTCAGGCGCCCTTCCGACCACCTAAGCCTCCGCCCCCGGAAGTGACAGTGATCACAGGCACGCATTCAAAGGATATGTTGACGATGCTCAATGGCCAGCGATACACTGACTTGGTGCTTGTGGTGGGCGCTGTGCGATTTCCTGTACATAGATTCGTGTTGGCGGCAGGATCAAGTGCTTTTCACAGGCTTCTGACGATGGAATTATCGGATTTGGGCGCCAGGAGCAGTAGTGAGTCGAGCATGGTGAGCTGGAGAGGTTTGTTTTTGCGTTAAATGTATTGTAAAATTGAGTGCATTTGATTGCAGGTCAGTTCAACGTACGGTGATAATTCAACTGCCGACTTCAACGAAGACACGGAGTGCCTTCTGAGATGTGATCCTCAGTCTCGAGGTGCGGTCCAGCCACTGAGGTAAGTTAGCTCTTTAGGTGGAATTCACTAATAGTCTGTTAAAGAGCAAGAAGACTCAAGTAGTTTGCAATGTTCCCAATCTAGGATCACGTTTACAGAATTTCAAAAGTAATTCTATTTTTCCATAAGTAATTTCGTGTTACTAGAAGTTAATTTAAATTCAACATCAAGTCTTACGATATTTACAGCCAGTATGCGAAAATAGAGATCAATTCTTGGAAGAGGCAACAAAACAGGTTGTTTGATTTTCTCATTATTGGCATCTTATTTTTATACATTGTAGAATGTGGGAGCAATTGAAGCGTCGCTCGAGCTATCAAGCACTTCCGACGCACGAACCAAAGAAGCCGCCGAGTGATCTCTTCCGTGAGTTGCATCATCCCGTGTTCCAGAGCATCCGCGTCATTCAGACGACCGAGGGCAACGGCGGGGGTTCGGCTGGGCTCTCCAGTTTGTCCCTGCGCGCTCAAATGCAGACCATCGTGAGCCTGAGCAAATTGATTACGCCGCAGGCGATGCAACAGTGCCTGAAATTCATCTATTCGGGGAGCATCGATCGCGAGTGTCTAGACATGCAGGTGAATTGGGATCACATGGGAGGAAAGCACAATATCATTGCATCAGAAGAGCTTGGAGTGGAAAATCACCTGGCATCTCATTTATCACAATCTCTAGACTTACCTTCTTTAGAGACACAACATGCAAAGAAATACAATCTCACAGAGAGAGTAGATTAGGAGGAAAAATTCACAGAATAGGGTGATCATCTACTTTGGGCATTGAGATCTCGAGTGGATGGTCATTCAGTGCACAAATCAAAGAGAAACTGTACAGTTGAAATCATACTTAGTTGACTTGAGAGATATTGATGTAATTCTGTGTCACTTTCGACGTTCTTTCAGACCGCTTCAATAGGATTACTTCTGGTAATGGAAATTTGTAACTTGTCCAATGTTCAAGAGATTATAATTTTTAGTGAGAAAGAGTTGAGAAAGAAGATTTAGAGATGCAGATGATGTTGTTGATGATTATTAATGCGAAATGCCTATAATAATGTTGCTCTCATGTCGTCCTTTTTCAGGAAATTCGACAGGCAGCAGATTTTCTGGAATTACCACAATTGTCGGTACTTCTCTCCAATATTCAGTCCAATCAGAACTTCATGAATGACGAGACAATTCAACACTATTCCACGGTGAGTTGGCAGTGCTTCAGTCGCCAATTAATACCATCTGACCCAATGTGTTGTTTTTTTTCTCCGCACAATTAGTGTGTCCGGAAAAATCTGGAGAAATTATGTGTGAATAGTGGATTGTTTGGTGACTTGAGCTTCGAACTGGACGATGGTCACGTGAAAGCTCACCGGGCTATTCTTGTGGCGCGCTGCGACGTCATGAGAGCTATGCTCAACGGCGACTTCCGGGAAGCTCATGCCAATGTGGTGAGTCACGAGATGATATTCTGATCTTCTGGTAAACTCTTCTAATGCTTGCAATGATCTTTCGCAGATTGTCTTTCCGGGTGTGACAGAGTACACATTCCATAAATTACTGTGTTATCTCTATACAGACGAAATACCTCCAATATCTGCGGATAAATGTCTGAATTTACTAGAATTAGCCAATAGATTATGTTTACCTAGATTACTGAATCTTGTAGAGTGTCGCGTTATAGAGGATTTAACGAGAATGTCACAAAGCGAGAGCAGTGAAGCTGTGGAGCATTGCCTGAAACTCCTGGAGCCGGTGAAGGTGAGTCAAAAGATACTTCATAATCTCTCGAACAATGAAAAATAATGCTTGTCTTCGTTTCAGCTCCACAATGCCCATCAGTTGGCCGAATGGTGCATGTCATACCTGTGTGTCAACTACAACATAATCTGTCGCGTGTCGCCCAAGAGCTTGAAGGCTCTGCATCCGGACAATCAGGACTACTTGCGGGAGCACCGCTGGCCGCCGGTGTGGTATCTCAAGGACTATGACTATTACCAGCGCTGCATGAATGAAATAACGAGAGAGATGAAGGACAGCAAAAAGTCGCCTGACGATGAGGGCTGCCTGTGCTTCTCTGGAGGTAATTCTTTGGTTTAATTTTCTCTTCAGTTCGCTCCTTAGCACTGCCTGTCCCGCTTTCTCCTCCGCAAAAGAATATTCTGTGTAGTAATTGATATTTCGTTAGTTCCCCTGAAAGCTTTTATCCTCTTTGGCGATATTAGTGAGTTCACAAAAGGATTAATATGTGGAAAATGGGAAAAGTGTTTTGTTGGCTGACAGGCAAATCGAGGCGCACGGCGGACTCTTCGACGGTGGGCGGCCAGCAACAGCGTGTGCCTCTGACTTCTCAGCCGACGCCAGCCGAGGCGGAATTGGCCGCGGGCGGCCTCTATCCCAGCCAAGACAATTCCGTGCATCAAATTGAGGGGGACATCGAGGCGGACCTCAATCTCTGACATCCACCAATCTGGAGGTGAGATTAAGTTTTCACTCAGTTCATTTTTACTGTCCACGATCTATATAAATCCTCGACTTGTGATCTTAATTATGATGCGACGAGTAAATTTTGCAATCTGTTGCAATTGAAGGTTTTTGACAAAAGAGTTTCTCTGTCTTCCTTTCAGGTCACTCCACTTCGTAGTGACTTTTCCCATTCTCCTCTGCTTCATTGCCAGCATCCTGAGCATCCTCATTGTCTGTCAGCTGTACACCTGATCGTGTGCGTAATCTAGGCGATTCATCTTCTTCTGTTTGTGTGCAGATTGAATTCTGCCGAAGTTTTGTTTACTTAAGAGAGTGGCAAAAAGTGGGACGCACACGCACCAAGAAGAAGGATCAAGAGTATGATTTTGAAGAAGAAAAGCACATAATTTTATTCCTTTTATACAGTACATTAAGTGATGGATAGATTTTAATACTTTGTAGACTTGATTTTTCGTGCAGAAAATGTTGTCCGTAGATTTAAACAAAGTCAATATTTTTTGAGACATTTAAGTCAGAAAAAAAATTGGTGAATGAAAGATTTATGGTGCTTAAGAGAAAAGATGATGTGAAATTTATTTTTTAACAAGAAATTAGTTCCGAAATGCATTTTTCTACATTTACACTCAAAAAAAAGGTGAATTCTTAATGATACCAAGAGATGAAAATTGCAATTGGTAGAAAAATGAGTGTGTTTTCCTTAATGTCTTGAAGCATTTGCATTTAGAATTAAATGGGACAAATTAAGAAAGATTAGGATGCATTTTAGTTTGAAATCTTAGAATATTTACATTAAAAACTTTACTAGAATTAATGATATCGATATTAATGAAAATTTTTGATACGTGAAGAAAACATGAGGGTGAAACATTTTGTCGATTAGTGTAATTCAACTAACTTTTTAATTATGAGTGAAAATCCTTTTAACATCATTGATGAATATCTCTACGTAATTATACTCTTTGTATAAACTAAGAAACTACGTAAAAGCATACATAAAAACACAACAACAAAACATCCAAGAAACTTGCAAAAAACTGCCTGACGAAGAAATTCACTAAATAAAATACCATTTTTTATTGAAATGCTTGATGGAAAATATACTAAAAGTAAATTGTCTAAATAGAAAAGAATACTGCAAAGAGTTTAGCTAAAATTAGTGGAAGGATATTTGATTTGTGATAAAAAAAGAGAGACATTTAGTGTGATTTTGAACAAAACAAAATCACACGTGAGGACTGATGAGAATGAAAAAAAAAAATCAGAAATTCTAGGGAAAGAGCAATTGTATAAAAACACCAATTTCCCTCTTCTTTTCACACCGTCAAAAATGCGATTTACTGCTAGGAAGGGAAGATAGGAGAAGTTCTGATTTACTGGAAAATTTCATCAGCTTTCCAATGAATCCTCACTTGCTACAGTCGGTTCCAGAAATGGCTTAACGGCAGAGTTTTTTCGAAACCCTTGCATTTTTCGTAGTAACTCATGTAGAATGAGATTAAAATGTCCTGCAGTTCTTCTCCTATCAATGAATGAAAAAAAAACTAGGTGAAACATGAAATATTATTGACTGTGCAATATTTAATTTAGAAACGTAAAGAGAATGAGATAAAATGAGAATTAGCTCAGCTTTTTAGACATGTCAAATTAACTAATTATTAAATTTAGCTATTAACACTTTTCAATATTAAAGAGAGAATAAAATTTCTTATATACATTGAAGAATGTGTGCGCTTACTTACTATTTTCGCCTCGATGAATGATTCAAGACATGAATTATTAGCAGACTGGCAATCAAGTGGACATTAAGGAGGTGTTAAAAGTCCATCGTAAGGAGTGAACTTGACCATTTGTCGTTTGGAAGTTGCGGTGACCAAAATGATTCGTCCGGAGGACAATTTGAGCAAAGTGTTGAATCCCAATCAGCGACAAATGCTGGATGATGAACGTCGCATCGCGAAGAAAATCAAATTGCTGAATGAACGTGAGTGATTTGAAGGCATCTACGTGAGATTTCTGATGAAATTTGAATTATTTTGGCAGATCAGGGATCAGCGTCGAAAGTTTTTTTGAGGGCGCAAGAGCAAGAAAACGACCCTGAACTCCTGGATTACCATGATAGCTTCTACAAGACAACGAAAAGTCTGCTGGTGTTATTCCAAATTATGGGCATCATGCCGATCATGAGAAGCCCTTCAGGCACAAATCTGCCCAGGACGACTTTCCACTGGAAGTCCAGGGCGTTCATTTGGGCGTACTTCATATACGGACTGGAGACAATTGTGGTTGTCTGGGGTAAGAAAGTTCAGGATAATCACATCCAAATCTGATACTCTTCCACTGTTGCAGTGGCTCGCGAGCGTATCGCCAGATTCTTTTCCACTACGGACAGGCGCTTCGACGAGGTGATCTACAATGTGATCTTCATGAGTATCCTCCTGCCTCACTTCCTGTTGCCGGTGGCGTCTTGGCGCAATGGCTCAGAAGTGGCCAAATTCAAGAACATGTGGACCGACTTTCAAGTGCAATATCTCCGAGTCACCGGCACTCCAATCCTCTTTCCCACTCTCTATCCGCTCACGTGGGCGCTGTGCTTTGTCTCGTGGGGTCTCAGCATTGCCATCATCCTCTCGCAATACTATCTGCAGCCGGACTTTCAGCTCAGCCACACTTCTGCTTACTATCACATCATTGCCATGCTCAATGGCTTCTGCAGTCTTTGGTACATCAACTGCACAGCCTTCGGCCTAGCTAGTCGAGCACTGTCCAAGCACTTGATTGACACACTGAAGAGCGAGAAGCCGGCAGAGAAACTGACGGAGTATCGTCATCTCTGGGTGGATCTCAGTCATCAAATGCAGCAACTCGGACGCGCCTATTCCAACATGTACGGCATCTATTGCCTCGTGATCTTCTTCACTACAATCATAGCGACCTATGGTGCCTTGAGTGAGATCCTAGATCGCGGTGGAACCTTCAAGGAGCTGGGACTCTTCGTCATCATGATCTACTGCATGAGTTTGCTCTTCATCATCTGCAATGAGGCTCACGCGGCCACAAAGAGTGTCGGCCTAGATTTTCAGGACGTACTGCTCAACGTTAATCTCACAGCCGTGGACAACGATACACAGCGCGAAGTTGAGATGTTCCTCGTGGCCATTTCTAAAAATCCGCCAACGATGAATCTGGACGGCTTTGCCACCATCAATCGTGAGCTCATCACCAGCAACATTTCCTTCATGGCGACTTACCTGGTGGTGCTGATGCAATTCAAGCTCACGCTGCTTCGTCAAGCGGCCAGGACAAATTTCCTGGCCTCCCTAAAGAGTAATGTAACCTTGCAGAGAGTTGTTGATTGAGAAGATATTTAATAGAAAGAAGAACGAACCCAGAAGTCCAGGTATAACCATTTCGTTTCGATTGCATTATTATAAATAAATGAACGATGAAGTGTTTTAATTAATTCATGTGACGATCATAAATAGGAAAATCACCCGAAAAAGCAATTGAATTCCTTTAGGCTTTCGTCAAAAATGCATAAAAACTCCTTCAAAATATCATTTATTACACGGAGTAGTGTTTTATGGGGCATAAATTGGTTTAATCACAAGAAAAAAAGTTTCTTTATCGCTTTAAGATAAATAACCAAAAACGGGATTATTGTACAATGGTGGTTTTTTCCTTACCATGTATAATTTTTCACATCTTACATAAACTATACAATCGAATGGGGTGTAAATTCAAGAAGTTTCTCAATTCTCTCTCTCTCTCTGTTTCTTGCTCTTTCGCGACCACTTAAAGATTTAACTGACACTGCTCACAATTATTTCCCAGGATGAAGAGAGAATTTACACGAAATTATAGCCACAAATCGAAAGGATTATGAATTGAGAGAATGCTAGAGTGGCGAGAATCTACGGCGAGTCGTAATCAGAGTGTTTCTGCCGCACCTTTATGAAGTCCACGCGTGACATGTGGAGAGCTTTTTGGATCATTTCCTTCTCTGTCATTTGCATATCACCTGTAGAAGTAAAGATCATCAGCACGTGTGTGATTTTGGGCTGTTCAGAGTCACTCACCGTCGTCCGCATAGGAAGACTCGAGAAGAGATTGGTAAAAGAGCGACAACGGCTTCTGATCGGGACTCTCCTCGCGACTCGATGGTCCTGGCGTCGATGTGGGCGTCCTCTCGGGGCTGTTCGATCCGGATTGTGGCCGTCGTTTCGCCTTCTTCCCGTAGTTGAGATCACTGTCCCTTTGGCCACTTTCTTGGACCGGTGTCTCGTCTTCCAGACGTCGTCGTCGGCGCCTCTGCCGCTCCGCCGATGACGAATTGGCCCCGTTCTCGCTGTCGCTGAGCCTGCTACTGGCGCTCTCGGCCGACGAAGAACACCCGCTGAGATCCATCATCGTGGAGGAGCCCGCCCCCAAGTGATTCCCACTCACTGCCGTTGAAGTCACGGTGGAACTGCTCCCGGACGATTTTTGAGCCTTCTGCTCGCGACACCACTGCAAATACGACTCACGGGCGATCTGCTCCTCAATCGCCTCATTTGTAGCCTCCCAATCCGTCGTCTTCAGTTTGTCCTCGAACATCGTCTGCTCGATCTCGAGATCTTCACTGAGGCGCACGGCATCACGCACTTGCTTGAGATCCAATTCCTCGGGCTTGTAGCCTGCCAGGCCCAGGCCGACGCCCACGGACGCCTTGAAGGGATCCAGGATAGCGTTGTAGTGAGAGCAGCGCTGGTACGACAAGCGCAATGGCTCATAACCATTGTCACTCTGTCCGGAATTGAAGATGTTTATTGGCTCTGGAAGAGAGAGTCATCAAATTTGCATGGTTTCACAAAAATGAGACGACAGATAAGGCAATTTGCAAACACTTTCAATCCCTACTGATTGATGCCAATGATAAAGTTTGCCAACTCACTCGTTTGATAGCAGTACAGCTCCACGGGACGATTGTATATCTCTGACATGGCCTGAATCTCAATGTGATTCCCATGGACGTGGTTCTGTCTTTTCCTCTGCACGTAGCTGGAAATGTCCTCAGTGACGAATTGTGCGAAATATTCGCGATTTTGGTACTGAAAGTGCACAAAAAGAAAAGATTAATTGGTGAAGAAAGCCTAGAATGAGGAATACTTACAATGTAGTCCAGAGTCTGTTGTCTTATCACTTCATGCATGTCTTGATCGCCATAGATTTGGAGTGAAATGGCGCGGAAGAGACAAGCTCCGTCCTCGACAATCTCTTTCACGATCAACCCACGTTCCGTCATGGCTTTTACAAACTTTTCATCCCGCTCTGTCCACTCTTGCGGCGTCAACTCAGCATCCCGCTGGCCAATGTGCTCGTCTCCGCTGTTATAGCCAGAGAAGGACTCCTCCAGGAGCTCCATCACGCCTCCGGATACATTTGTAGTGCTGCTATGACTCGTTGTGGCGCTGGCAAGGTTGTTGTTGTGCGGACTGGAGCTTCCCAGTGGGAAATGGGGACTCTTGGAGTGCTTCTCGCGCTCCCCACGTGTATCTGTCCGCTTGTGATCGCGCTTCCGGAGACTACAGCTTTTCTGGGGCGTCCTGCGGTGTCGCCCCACATTCTCCTCATACACATGACTACTACTGTGCCCTCGCTTTTCGCGCTGCGGACTCTGGAAGACACCGTGAGATAACTGTCAATTACACCGCCCAGAATTCCTCCCATGCCACGGCATTCCGTGTAGTGCAACCTCCTCAATCATCTATAAATATCAACTTACATTATTCTGAGTCTGTTCCTCTTTGTTGCCCTCTTCTGACGACTTCTGGTTGATTAGTGGTTTTATCGTCATTTTGCAGTTGACTTTTACACGCTTGTAATTGCCCTGATTCACACCCTCTGTGCTTTATTCGACGCTCTAGACGCTGCCCTTCACACTTCACGCGATATCGACATATTCTGAAAGGGGGAAAGCAGGTAAAAAGAGGACTTTTCTCTGTGAAAAAACCTTACATACCTCAAGAAGATTGACAGCCATATTGGAATTTTATTTTTTCCATGCCGCCTGAAGTTAGCAGAGAATCTCTTCGGAAAATTATCTCTCACACCCCGAAATACTGGAAATTTTCACATCTAGCATGTGTTTAAGACTTGTGGGAAAATCAATGATGCTCAGGGAAATTTCTTTGCAAAATTTACCACTTTGTTTATGAAATAAGGGGACAAAATTTTCTGGCGCGCTTTTTCACCTCCGGAAATTCTCTCCGAATTTTCTCGAAACGTCACAGTCGCCATATTGCTATTTTTCCAACAAAAGTTCTGCGAAGATTTTTCTCACGCGGAAAAAGCAAGGAAGAACAGTGGCAAGAGGCGTGAAAGTGCGTCCGTTTGGTGGAAAACGTGCAAAATAGCGCCCAAGACGTGTGCGGAGGTACGGGAATGCGGTGGAAGGGCGCCCTTGGTGATATGATTAGAGTGCCAGGCGTTGAGCGAGTGCTTGATACGGAGAAAAATGATATTCCGTCTTGATCCTGACGTCATTGGAGAAAATGGTGAAATAATTTGACGGCGGTGCGATATTGAGAGAGGTAGAATTATCAACTAGCGCGTGAAAATATTGCATTTCAAAAGCATGGAATGCACCAGTCATCATCAGCTTTACAGGTGAGTTTGGCCGTGTGTTTGCGCCTGCATTCGGGCTGTTTGTACCCCGTGAATGACCTTGAGCACTGAGGTGTGCGAAACTCGTGAATGAAAACTCGGAGTCCCCGGAGTCTTGCAACCGGTCAGTTCTTTTGGATGACATAATGAATCCCCACGCGCTTGTCTTTTTCAGATCCCTCCTATCGACGGCGAGGCACTTGGATGAGCAGAAATCCTGGGAGAGCCTCTCGCAATTGCTAGGCGAGGATGTGAAGCAGAAGCGGCTGTCGATTGTGCGGAAGTGCGAGTATCTAATCTACCAGGACGATGAGACTGTGAGTCCGAAGGCGAGGGTGCTGCTTTGGCGGAAGGGCTTCTACGAGCCCATCGCTATGGCGAAGCGTTTGGTGCGCAGTAAAATTCCCACGCTGGAGGAAATGAAGAGCCTTGAGGAGTTTATTTTGAGTGCCATTGAGCGTCTGAAGGTGATCTTTATCACAGTTGAGAGACGCTTTGATCTGGATCTGAAGTTCCTCATTGATCTCGGCATCTTTGGGTGCGCCGATGTGAAAACGGACGTGGAGAAGAGCGAGAATCTGTCTGTAGCTTCCAGGAGCTACGCTCTGGACACAATTCACGCCTTGGCCATCTCTCTGGGAGATTTGCATAGATACTATCTGGATTTCTCCTTCCCAAACGCGCTTGGGACTGCAGAAGAAGCTGCAGCGTTCTATTTCGAAGCCTTCAAGTTGAATCCGAAAGTGGGAATGCCACAGAATCAACTGGGAACGCTGCTCACGGACAAGAATCATCATCTGGATGCTGTTTATCATTACTTTTACGCTCTGGTGTGTTCTGTGCCATTCGATCCAAGTGAGGAGAACGTAGCAAAGATCCTTTTGGAGAATGCCAACTATCTGGAACATCTGGACATGGAGCAAGAGGACTATGAAATGACAGTGAAGGATTTCCTGGCGCGATTCATACTTGTGGCAGACATCTTCTTTTATGACAAAGAAGTGGCGGACTTCAGTGGACTTTGTCATGCTCTTTTGATTGATCTGAAATCGATGTTGGAAAAGCGAAGAACTGTCCTAACATCAGACATGCTGTACAAGATGACAGCAATCATGTTTTTCTGCATGGCAAAGCTGCAGCGAGTGAATTCGGAGAAAGTGCATCACTTGAACGCCTTCCTCCTGGCCATTTGCGCTCAGATGATTGCCTCGTGCATCCAACAAGTGGAGGAGTTTGCAGGGCATCGCGAAGAGCAGAATAGTCAGTTTAAAGAAGCTTACTTACATCGCTATGAAGCTTACGATAAGCGTGTGCGTGAGGCGCGCAAAGAGCGACAGAAGGTTCAGGACAGAATGCCAAAAACGCCCTCGGCTTCTTCATACTCAGACAGGAATAGTCTCTCAGTTGGAGGAGGATCCAGTCAGATGGAGAAGGGAGTTCAACAGACAACTAAAGATGCCAGGAAAGTCAAGTCAACGAAGATGAGAAGACGTCGCAAGAGGAGACAATCTTCTGTCTCTTCAGAGAGTGATCTCACGTCCAATTTTGACTCGGAATCTGAATCCTCAGATGTCTCTTCAGTGCTTTCAGACACTGATGATGAGGAGGAGCAGGAGACGAATGCTTCTGTAGTGGAGAAGGAGATCTTCAATGACTTCTCTATGATTAATCTCAATGGATTGACATTCAGTGATGTGCAGATTCCTACCGATGGGGAAGATGATGACGTTGTTATCGAGGAAGAGACCATAATGTTTCCTGGGAATCAACCTGAAGTGGATGTGGAAATTGACAGAGAGGAGGAACCTTCATCAGAACCACCAAAAAAGATGAAATTTAAGCAGAAGTTCCACAAAATTGATCCAAACATCATAGTTGAGTTCGCCCAAACAGAGATCACTCTTCAGGCGCTGAAGCTACTGTTTGAGTGGCTGAGGAATAATCGAGAGATCGTAATAAGTTGCCAGCAGACAAATCCTGAGTTCATCCATCAGACCATGGCCCTCCTCAACTACTTTAACATTGACATTTTCACCAGCAAAGTCTTCTTCGAGCGACAAATGCTTCACGTGGCAGAAGTGAGAGAGGATCTTCGGGGGCTGTTTGACGAACGCCTGCACATCCCAATCCGGGAGGACATGGCGCTGAAGCACTTTTCGCTCTTTGCGGCCAATCAGGAGCACTTGGACTGGGAAATGTCGGCCAAACTCGCAATATCCACGTGTGAAGAGAACATCTTGAGACTCTTTAAGATGCTGGACTTTGGCTTCTACATTTGCAAAACCTTTAAATTCAATTATGTATTTTGCACTAAGGCCAGAGTTTTCGTGGAGAACTTTCTGGCGAAGAAGAAAAAGCGTCCGAAGCGTGCAAAAACAAAGAACCATGACTCACGCGTGCGCATCTCGAGGCCGAGTGATGCCTCTGAGGAGGATGGCGACAGCAGTGGCGGCAGAAGGAATCCAAAGAAGGGCTACTTGAGGAACCGCAATGGAGACAGCGTGATCAATGTGCCGGACAATGAGAAGAACAGCAAGAAAATCGAGGATGGCGATAAGAACGAGAAATACGCCTTGATGGGAAAACTGTGGCTGAGGAGCGAAGTGAAATCTCTGGAATCCAAGGTGAGTTCGTCTTATCGTTAATAGCATTCCCAAAAGCATTATTATATTTTCTCGGTTATGAGTTTATGTGAATTTTAATAACTACTTTATATGGCTGAGTTGATAAGAAAGTTAGAAATTAATGTTCATGTGAGACTTTTGTCCAAAACTGCCTTGCATACTATGATTTACTTCCAACTAGGAGCATATTTATGTGATGAATATCGAAATACCAATTCAAAACTATGGCGTTAAATATTACTTATTAACATTTTCCACAATGTGACATTTTTGGATGTCTTTTCATTTTCGTGTCCATCGACGTGCAGATCAAGAAGCCAAACGGCCTACACTTGACGCCCTACTTGATGATGGACTCCAAATCACTCACGGAATTCCAGGCGACCGTGAAGAGTCTGGTGAAAGCGCGCAAGTTCGTTGTTCTCATCCCAAATGCTGTGCTATCGGAATTGGATGAACTGAAGAAGCATAGCGACGGCGCCAGGAATGTCATCAGGTGGTTAGAACATGAGTTCAGCAAAGGCAATCGCTTTCTTCGCTCTCAGCGTGATCACGAAATCCGCCCTTTGCCTCTATTGAAGATCCCCAAGAAAATCGGTGAGTTTTCAATAAGGATATATTTAATGTTGAGTGTGAGAATGTCTAACCGACCGTCTTGTTTTCGGCAGATCGCGAGGCTTCTGTCTTTCTGCAGATTGCCCAATTTTGCAACTACATTGTAACGAATCAAATGAATCCCGATGGCAGTACAGATGTTGTGACTTTGCTGACTGGGGAGAACTTGATGGAGAAAAAGTGCCCGCATTTCAGCTTCTACGGCATTCTGAATTCCATTCCCGTCAAGTTCGACCAAATCCAGGGATTCTATGCCAAATACAGGAAGAAGTGAGTCCACAGCTCGATTTCGATGGTCAAGAATTCAATGACTCTTCAGTGGCGCGCCGCACTTGTGGACCTGGAGGTTGCGAAGACTGTGTTCAGACATATCTTCTCCTCCTAAGCCAGTGGCGATCCAATTGTTTTGCCGTTGCGATGTTGGAAGCGCATGTTCACCCTGGAATTGTGGCGACACTCCTCCTTAGCATCTTACCCTGGAAAACGATCAAGAACATACGGGGCGACGAAACACCTTTCTGGACGGTTGTGCAGTGCGGCAGGAAAGCACTCTGTTGACCGCCTTACTTTATTCGTTCTTTTTCTCACTCTGTTTTCTGCTCAATTTTTAATCGTCCTACTATTTTGTCTTTCTGCTTTTACGATGTTAATCTTTAGAGATATTTCAATGGAATTAAATGGAATTACAAATTTTGTGTATAGACTTGTGCGCGATCTTCGCATGTCCTATATTTTTATCACTCCTGTACAACACACACACGCACTTTCCGGGATGGGGAAGAGATGATTTACTTAGTCTTCTTGGCCTCCTTTTTGCCTCCACTACTGCTGCTTCCCTTCTTCTCGGTTTTGCCTTCCTTCTCTTGAGGATTGTCGTCGTATCTGCAAAGAGCGAACGCTCGAGTCAATTACACTTGGAAACGTAATTATCTTCGTGTGGACTTCAAGTACCTAAATCTACGAAATATTTAAGTTCAAATTCATGTTCAATATCTCCACGTGTTCATCAGCATTAGAGAATTGAACCGAATCGAAATTAACCGGCTCGTTTGCCGCCGCTTGTTGCATTTACAGCGGCGTAACAAAGAATGCTGAATGTGAGTATTGCAATTAATTTAACTTTGACATGTGGGGAAAAAGTGTTATCAGAAGACACTTTAGTGTGTCGAAAAAAGGGTTTTAAATTCGATTTTAAAAGCAGATCTCCAAGGCTTACGGCATGGTATCAAAAAGAATTCTTGTAACAATGAGATTTTTTCAATTGAGTTTTTAGTTCTCTATCGCCGCCAAATCACCTAGGTTCAGGTTTCCAATTGACCTCAAATTGCAACGCCCACAATTTAGCAGAATGGAAGTCATTGTCCCGCGCGACGTGACGTCAGGACGTTTGTCCTGACGCATGCTTATGACTCATATACTCACGCAAACATGGTCTTGATGTCGCCTTTGACGAGCGCCACGGCCACGGGCGTACCAATGCAGGCGGGCACAAGGTAGAGCAGCGCCGGCTGAGCGTGTTTGAACACGTGCATCACGAAGATGGTCGTCATGAGGCCCAGGAAGTACGCCACGAATGTGGCGTAGAAGTACAGTCGGCTCTTGCGCTTCAAGCTCATGTCGAAGCGCAGCAGGAGAGCGATAAAGATGCCAGGGATCACGATGTCGCCGAGTCCTAGCATGGCAAAGTTGCTGGCGCTGAGGCCGTTTGTGAGGAGATCTTGCGGGAAGACGAGCTTGATGGGCGCCTCGAAGGACTTGGCCACGGTGACCATGACGTTAGTGCCGAATACCCAGAAAATGTCGTACACGAACAGCCCACTCAGCAAAATGCAGCCGGTGATGACGTTGTTGAGCCGCAAAAGCGCCACGGCGTTCACGGCGAACGCCACGCCGAAGAGATTGTTAGCGATCCAGTGCTTCTGCAGCGAGTACCAAATTCCCACCAGCGTGGACATGAACAGGCACGCCACGTCGTAGGACGTGAACTTGTAGTTGATTATGTCCTTGCGGTGGTTGCCCTCGCCCTCTGTGAACTGAAGCTGGAAAGGGATGTTGGGAATACTCGTGGGCACCAGCACGTTGATCACGGGGCTCATCAGGTTGCTGAGAGCCAGCACGCCGAGGCAGAAGAAATAGCCGGTGAGCAGGAGATTTATGTAGTCTCGTGAGAAAATCTTGAAGAAGAGATACAATCCGAAGAGGGACACGGAAGCTATCAAAGGAAACATCATTGCGTCCTTTGTGTTCATCCGCTCCGTGCGGTCCTTCGACTGTGAACTGCTCTTGTTGAGGGATCTAACGGAGCCGAGGAAGATGGGTAGCATCGCCTGCAATGGAACGCACACAAATCCTCAGTCCGGAGCTCGAGATTGCTTCCGTGGAAGACTCACCATCACCACGAGACTCCCATATGCCACGGCGGTGCCCTCTAGAGTGGCGGGGGGCTTCCCGCTGGACGTTGTCGTCTCTGTTAAGTTCTCGGCCGCCTGCTGCATCACATTCTCCACGATATCAGCCATTCCTCCAGTTTTTGCACGCCTAATCACACCCTTTTGCAGCTCGAAAACAAGGAAATCCAGGGAGAATGACACGCACTCACAAATCGAACGTCGCCGAGCGAAAGACGGTTTATGACGTGCCTTTTAATCAGTTGTAAAATATGTAATATAATACAATCCGCGCGTTTTATTACATTTCAGCCGTAGAAAATTTTCCCATCAGAATGAAATGCTTTTATTCAGTGATATTCACCTGTATCGCCTATATATTTTTGTTCCTGTTGCTTCTTCTATTGTAATGATTTTTAAAGAAAAGAAAGGGAAGAAAAATTGTGGCTATAAAGTAATTCATAAAATTTCAGCGGAGATTTTAGAAGAAAAAACGAAAAAACCCATAATCTTCATCATCCTTCTTCAGTGAAATTTTTGATATTTTGACTACAAGCAAACTACAAGGAAAATTCCATTTCTCCTTAACATTGAAGACTCCAATGTTACTCCCGAAAATTCAATGATTTCAGCAAATAAAACTCATTTCACTTTTGCAAATTTATTTGTTTCAATTTCGTACAAGTAATTCATAAGTAAAAAGCGTAAAAAGTCAATCCCTCTCAAACCGCAAATGAAAAATAAATATTTTTTCTAGCTACAAAATTTCATTTTCACAATTTTACCTATATGTATATAAAATAATGTATAATTAGTTATATAGTCCCTCACACCACACACTCAATTTCATACACAAGTATTTAAAATTCTAGCACGTTTAGCACTACTAAATATGCATGAATCGCATAAATCAAATCGAATTAGGTATTAGGGAAAAATGTGTCGAGACGATGTAAAATTAGATTTTTTTTAAATACTACCTACTCTTAAGCGATTTCTAATAAATATTATCAAGAAAGGTACATTATGAAAATTTCACGCTGTTTTAGGAATCAGTGGTTTTCAGTTTGTTTTTCTTATCAATCATGACCTGATACTCTTTAGGATGCTTCCTCTTCTGATGCATGTATTTATTCGCGTTGCTGTTAAACTGCTTTGGGCAGAAGAGGCAAGTGTAGAGGATCTGGTTGTAAGTGTGGGTCGCCATGTGTTCCCGGAGATTAACTGGCTTTTTAAATGACTTCTTGCAAAGGTTGCATTTATGCTTTCTTTCAACTATGTGAGTATATTTCACATGAGCCTGAAGAGCCAAACTATTCGGCGATTCCTTGTCACAAATAGCACATCGGAAAATTTTCCCAGATTCGTTCTCAATGTGACGTTTCATGTGGAGCTTCAGCTTAGACTTGTGACTGAATCTGTGACCACAGAGAGTGCAGGGAAAAGTCTCGATCTTCTCACCAGTGTGAAGCTTCATGTGGCGCAAAAGCATATCCTTATTCTTAAATGTTCGCGCGCACGTTTCACACACGTGATAATAGTCTTTTGTGTGCATTTGTCGAATGTGAATCTTCAGGTTGCCCTTTATGGCAAACGCCTTGCCACAGTCCGGACAAAAGTGGCTCTTATCCTCTTCCCTGCAATGTACATAGCTGTGCATCTTGAACCGAAATTCCGTCATGAAAGACAGTGGACATTTTGGGCACTTAAATATGTGCTCCTCCTTTGGTGTGTGGCTGTTTAATTTATGCAATTTCAATCCAATACTGTTCTTGAAAGTGTTATTGCATTCATGGCATTTGAAGGCATCCGGGTTCAAGTGGTAAGCGCGATGATCCAGGATTTTTGACGGTCTGTCCAGCTTAACATCGCAACAGAAGATGTATCCTCTTCTCTTATGGCTCTCGCGAAAGTGATCCCACAAATCTCCCAATTTACCAAATGATTCCTCGCAAATGTGACAATCCATACGGAAGAACTCCTCAATATTGCGCTGATTCTCCTCCAAAATCTTCTTCTTTAAATCCTTCTCGTTTTGTCTTTTCTGGGCTCTTAGTTGTGATTTGCTGGGTTTTTCAGATGGCTTTACTGATTCCGCAGTACAATTGTTACTGGCCAATTCCGAATTATCCGGCGTAGGCATAGACAAAGATGAAGATTCTTCCACAATTACTGAAGATTTTCTGGGTCGTCCTCGTTTCTTTGGCAAAGGCTCTGCTTTACTCAACTTTTCCTTTACTACTGACTCTTCCAGTCGATTTATTTCTACCCTCAGATCATAGCAAATGATTGGAAGGTCTTTAATATCCACCATCTCGATGTCTGGTTTGATATCGATGTCCTCAATGATCCTCCACTCCCCATAAAGATCTCTGAGGCACTTCTCGCCTTCGCGGATTCTCGACACGAAGTCTATGCAAGCCTTCGCCGAGTTCAGGCATTGTCGGCAGATAAACTTTGGCCAGTTGTCTGTCTCTTGAATCTAAAACGCAACAGAAGAATAAGCAAGGAAACCGACAAAAGTCTAGGAAAAATTAAACCATCAATCCGAAGCAAGATTTCAGGGATCCGTGAAGATCATCCTGGAAAACTGAGGAATAATCCGATGTCTTGCCAACACAGAAGCGACACACTTCGTCACTTTTTGAGGTTTCACTCTCCACTGATAAATACAAGGATGAATTACTGCCTATATCTTGTATCTTTTCCATTTTTGCTTTTGACTAGCTTCTTGTTTGTAAACAACTTGGACGGCTTCCCCTTTTGACAGCTGCAGCAGCTGCAAATAATCAAGGGTCAACCATTCTCCGGATGTGGTGTACATGATTATTACAGCAAACTGCAGTTACATAAAAAAAACTGAAGAGTGCTGAAGAATTAATGCTGAATCGACTACTTATTTGCTTATAGAAAATTTGTGAACAGCCGTATAATATTTGTGCACCACATCGATGAATTCGCATCCCTTGTTACACTGTTTTGCTTTTCATTTGTCACAATAATGCTGACTCGTCTGTGTCGTGTTGAGCATTTGTGAAGATCGTAAAGATGCAGGATTCGCAAAGCCTGAACTTCGAGATCTCAGTGAAGGAAGAGATCATCTCAAAGAGTGACGAAGTGTGTCGCTTCTGTGTTGGCAAGACTCCGGATTATTCCTCAATTTTCCAGGATGATCTTCACGAATCCCTGAAATCTTGCTTTGGATTGATGGTCTGTATTCCGGATTCTGGGTTAGTTTAGTGATTCCTTCGCTTATTCCTGTGTTTTTCAGATTCAGGAGACAGACAACTGGCCAAAGTTCATCTGCCGGCAATGCCTGAACTCGGCGAAGACTTGCATAGACTTCGTGTCGAGAATCCGCGAAAGCGAGAAGAACCTCAGAGATCTTTACGGAGAATGGACAACTTGGAAAGATATTGAGAGGATTGAAATAAAGCCAGACATCGAGATGGTGGATGTCAAAGAACTCCCCTTACTTTGTGCTGACGTGAAAGCTGAAGTTGATCAACTGGAGGAATCAACAACAACCCGGAAGAAACCTCAGAAAAAGACAGTTCTCGAGGAGACTTTGCCCAGAAAAAGAGGACGACCCAGAAAACATCCTGTGCAATATGAAGATATTCCAGTATCCTGTGGTGATGATAAAAAAATGCTAGGAAAACTGGCTGGAAGACGGGGACGTCCGAAAATCTCATCTTGTTCTGAGGATGAAAAGCCATCAAGTCCCCCTCTAGAAGCTGCACATGACACCATGAAGGAAGAGCAGGAGGCCAAGGAAGAAGATAAGAATTTATCAGAATCTCAAAGCTATAAGGAATTATCGGACGAGAAATCCAGGAAAATTGAAGAGTTTTTTAAGATGGACTGCAATCAATGCCCTGAAAAGTTCTCTAGATTCAAGGATCTTCAGGCCCACTATCGATCTGTACACAAGAGAAAAGGATATATTTTGTGCTGCAAAGTGAAGTTGAGTCGAACGGCTAGAATTCTTCAGCACATTGAATTCCACATGAACCCGAACGTCTTCAAGTGTGACGAATGCGGGAAGACTTTCAAGAACAAGCTGGGCTTGCAGCAGCACAAGGTGAACAGTCACACCCCGAAGGAGCTGCACTTATACAAGTGTCCAAAATGCCCGAGGACTTTTATGCATCAGCAGCGCTTCAGGACGCATTCTGCTGTTCATGCAGAGCAGAGGAACCACATTTGTCCGGAATGTGGCAAAGCATTTCCCACAAAAGGCAGACTTAAGGCTCATGTTATGAATATGCACCAAGAAGTGTCCTATCACGTCTGCGAAATTTGCGCCAAGATGTTTAAGAGTAAGGACTGCTTCCTTGATCACCAACGAACACACACTGGAGAGAAGATTGAGAAGGTTCCTTGTCCAACTTGTGGCAAATTCTTCAGCGAGAAGCGGTTGAAAGTTCACATGAAGCGCCACAATGAGTCTGACGAGGTGTTCCGGTGTCACCTCTGCGACAGGGAATCAAACAGTCAGACATCCCTGAATCGGCATATAAAATATGTTCACATGAGCGAAAGAAAGTACAAGTGTAATCTTTGCGAGAGTTCCTTCAAAAGGCCAGTTGATCTCCGTGAACACATGGCGACTCACACTTCCAACCAGATCCTCTACACTTGCCTCTTCTGCCCAAAGCAGTTTAACAGCAATGCCAACAAGTATAATCATCAGAAGGTGAAACATCCGGAGGAATATCAAGCTATGAAAGAGAAGCGATTCGCTGAAGCTAACGCTGCTCCATGATAAATTCCTACCCTGATAATTTTGGTTTGTGAAACTCTAAATGCAATAAAGATACTGTAAGGGTTCTAGAAATTTAATAACATTTGGCGTGTTCTACGCATAAATAAAATGCGTGAATTTTAAAAACTCGCGCGAACTACATATTCGCAGCCAACTTCATTCTTCAACACAGCGCAGCGTAGAAAACATCAACAAAGCGGCGGTCTCGTGAAAAATGGTAATTATACCTCACATACTCCATTGCTTGATGCCTTTTAACTTAATTTCCATTCTCTTGCAGTTGTTTTACTCATTCTTCAAGTCACTCGTTGGGAAGGACGTGGTGGTGGAGCTGAAAAACGATTTATGGTGAGATAACCTTAAAATTCACCTTCCGGACAAATTCATCTAAAAGTGCGCTCCTCTTTCAGCATCTGCGGGACTCTGCACTCCGTGGACCAGTACCTCAACATCAAGCTCACCGACATTAGCGTGACGGACCCAGACAAATATCCGCACATGCTCTCCGTGAAAAACTGCTTCATCCGAGGCTCAGTTGTGCGATACGTTCAACTGCCCAGCGACGAAGTAGACACACAACTACTTCAGGACGCCGCCCGGAAGGAAGCGGTGGTCAGCACGAGGTAGAGAGAAAGCCCATGTCTTTTTATACATATATAATTCATCTTCTAGAATATATATTACAATTTCAATTGCTTTTCTCAACATACTCCAAATGATTTATTTGATTCCGTACATAAAATTAAATCTGGATGCGACAAAACTCCCTCTCTAGATGCACTATAATGACTAGGTATCATCACAATTATTTCAATTAAATACACTTATCCTTCGCCTGGGGGGAAATCAATGGGGGCTGCAGCGACAGGGAGTTCGGGGACTCTTGGGCGCCGGGATGTCTTATAAAAGTAGGAAATCCGTGTCACAGCAGCGCGTCTCATTGGTCGGAGCTAAAGTAGGAGTTTTGCATGAGATACAGCTTGTCGATGGGGTTTATCACGCCCGCCGTGAGAGACACCAGGCTCTCGTGAGCGCCACCTTGGCCGTGTCCTGCCTGTAAGTCCAGGTTTTGCAGCGAGAGTGTGTCCGACGTGCCCTCGTCCAGGTGATCAAAGCTGCTGCCGTCCAGAGACACGTCGGAACTGCAAAAACTATCCCCAGAATTACCAGGGTAGTCTGTAAGATAAGGAGAAATTAATTGCGCACGCTCTAATAACTTCTGTCTTTGGGTGAGTCAGATTTAAAGTGGCGATTTTAGAATTAATTTATGCTTTTTAAAGTCAAGACAAGCCCAAAAAATATCATGCAATTAGACAACAAATCAAATTTTCAGATTTAATCAAATATGCCAACATTTGTCACTATGTCATGAAATGTAGCTCATCAAATTCTTACCGTCTGGAGAGTAGGGAATGTTGGGGTTCAGCGGTTGACTAGCAGACCCGAAAGAACTGTCCAGACCGATGTAGTGCCCATGATCGCTGTTGGGCGACTCTTGCTTTATGCCCTTCTCTTCCTTCACTGCGTCGTCTTTCTTGTCACCGTCTTGCTTCGCCTTTCTCTGAATCTTCTTCATCTTGGCTCTCTGGTTCTGAAACCACACTTGCACCACGCGCACCGACAAGCCCGTGTCCTTAGCCAGGGCTTCTCTCACCTTGCGGCAGGGTTTTGGCGACACCTCAAAAGATGCCTTGAATTGACGCCTTTGGGCTGATGTCAGGATTGTTCTGGGCCTCTTCGGGCCTCGTCGGCCATCGCGAGGCCTCACAGAGTCGTCTAAAAGCATATCATCATCATGCGGAGACATATAGAAGTCCTTCTCGTAGTCTAGGCGACAGAAGAGCTGACCGGCGCGCACAAAGTAGTGTTCGCCCTTCTCTAGAGGACGACAACAGATGCCACAGATGAAGCAGGGCAGGTGATAAACGTAATTCTGGACCCGCATCACCATGTCATGCGGCAGAACGCGTTCACTGCACCGAGAGCACTTGACGCTGAAGATTCTGCAGTGGAAGTTTTTTAAGCCGGGAATTTCAGGATTAGACTTAGTTCTTTCTCACCTGTCATAATCTGCCTTGCAGTAGAGCTTTGTGTTCCTCGAGTAGCAGGAATGATTGAGTGGAACGCCACAAACGCAGCACGCTAGGCAGTGCTCATGCCAGCTCGCGTCCGCGACTCTCATAAGGTATCTGTCGTGAATTTTCTGGCCACACCCCTCGCAGATCTCGTAGTTCTTCTCGCATTTGATGCCCACTTCTGCAAATGTTCATGGAGAAGACTGATTTATTGTTGGCCATATGAACGTGTTTAATCTAATCAGGCAAACCCACACTTGACAATCAATATATTGATGGTATTTGCGTGATAATTCTATGCAATCACGACAGCTTTTCACTTTTCCCGCGGTTTAGGGCTCGAGATAAGAGATATCGTTCTCGGGAAATATCACAATAATTTCTCTGGAGAATTTATTATTTATACGATCACTTTGCCGCCAGTCAATTCAAGAGATAATTGATCTAATAAATATTCAGTACACTTAATGAGCCCATTGAAATCAATTTAAAGTTTGAAAATCAATTGGAGAGATGATAGAGAAGCTCTTTAAATGCCACTCCTGAAGATATCACCCGAAAATTGACTTCCTCTTCGATTAAGGTAAACACAATCCATCGCACGAGGAAATAGTTTGGAGTGCAGAAAGAGCTTTTAGTGGTTTTCCTCGAGAATGTTTCGCACCTGCCGGGACCGTGAGAGTGGGTGGCGAAATTCACTCCCAAAAGTCCCCACATCAAGAATGCGATCAAAAACACCGTGTTTCGCTTAGTTAGAACATGAATTTATAATAAAAAGCCTGCACCAAAAAGATCCGAACAAATTTCCGCCGCTACATTGGTGGAGAGGGGGGTTTTTAATTAAAAAACAAGCCAACAGTAAACTGATTTAATTGTCCCATTGTATATGCAAAATGCCATAGTTCTTTTTCCCGCACTCTCGAAATTGCAGAGCGCGATTATCCGTCCTTTTTTGCGATGCAACGCGAAAACTTGTCTCTTTTTGCACCAGAAATAACAAATAACACCATTAAATTGGTGGGTGTTTATTATTATGACGACTGTTGTTGCAATATCGCGTCGTCCCTTAACACTTCTTCTCAAAACATTAATGTTTGCATTCTGCGTGGTTCTCATCGCGTTTGTGCACTTTAAATTTAAATAAATCAATCAGTTATTTCGTCTCATGTTTGTCACACATTTTGAAAAGCACAAATATACAGATTGTTGTGCACACACAGTGACTTTAAGGATATGACTGCGTGAACTCGTTCAATAATTTTACCTGAATTTTAAGACGGTTTGAGAAATCGTTTAAAAAATCTGTTAGAATTACATATTCTATGGGAATCATAATTATCCTAAACTTTATAGACTCTCTAAGTGTTCATTCTTGGAGATGGTGGATTTATGGATAACGCATTTAACATCGTGTGAATATCTAATAGGTGACCTTCAGTATCTACATATGAACGTACGTATGGTATGTATGTGAACAATATCTACTACAATATCCATTCTATTTAAAGATCTATATGTCATTATGCACAGAGGTTCGGTATTTGAGAAGAATATTGCCTCAAATTTTTATGTTATACCTTAAATATGATGTTTTTGCCAATCATTAATCATGATTAATAATGAAAAGATAGATAAATCAGCCCAAGTGAAAACACAAAAGCGGTAAAAGTATATTTTTCGTGACTGTCTGAATTTTTTGCATATATTTTTATTGATTTCAAATAATTTTACAGTATTGGAGCTCTTGAAACTGTAGTAAACACATAGGAAGGCAAAAAATTAACCACTGGATCGAGATATTAAGTTAGCATTCGAATCTGATAGTCTTTTCACCGAACTCAATACAACATGCAATATTTCGCTTACATGAATTTATATTTGTGATTTTCTTATATAAAAATGTAAAACACTTACTAAATCTACCTCACATATAATATAAAAATCAGATTTGAACGATTTAAAGGTTTCTTGAGGTTTGTTTCAATAGTGGATAAAACTCCATGCATTGAGTAATCCGTTCTTTTCATTAAGACGCAATGAAAAGGAATTGAGTTAAACCTGTCTTTTGATTTATTTAAACTCTTCTTCAGCATAAATCACTTTGTATTTTAAGGTATGAGAAGGTAAAAAAAAATTAGTCGGTACAAGACAGTCTAGTCATGATTGAAAACTCTTCCGTTGGCAAATGTGTGCAGCATATGCTTCATACCTGTTCGTCCATTGCATTCGAGGGAATTGGAAATTGGCTCATGATTTTGCATGATTCCCGCTGAATTCGGATTTGGATAGAATTCCAACATAATCTCGCGTTCTTGTTTCACAGTCAATGGTAGTGTAAAATTTCCTCAATCCGTCACTCTTTATCTTAACATCAGAATTTCACTGTATCCATCTTGATCATGTTCCTCATCGATTGTCCTCACCATTAATCCACTACTTGTTGGGGCGCTCTTCTCGCCCCAGAGTGAGAATTCCTGTAAAATGTTTTCACTGCCTCACTGGCATTTTTTCAGTTCACACGTTTCACTTTTTGTCACTTAATCCGAGAGTTTTTCACTGCATTCTTACCGTGTCACAATTTTTGGGAATTCACGTGCGAATTTTTGATGAATTTTTGTTTTATTCAGCAATCGCGTGCGTGATATTCTTGAATCAAACAGTGGGGTGATTTGTGTGGCAACGGAATCACGTCCAGAGCGTCGTGAGGCTGAAGTGCATGTGATGATGGTGTCTGATCCGAGGGAAAAGTGCGGACGAAGTGTGTGACAAAGTGATGGGCGAGGGACGTGGTGAGACGAGGGCTTGTCCCCTGAGTTCCCGTCACCCAAAACATCAGCTCGACGAGGTATGTGAACAAGTTGGTGACTGTGTATTGAGTTTTTGGCAAGGAGAACAAGGTGGTGACACCCTCCGGAGCACGCATGCACGATTTTTGATGTAGTGACGAGGAAACGCCCTGTTCTCTCGTCATTGGCTGCTCGTCTCTTCTCCTCTTCTTGTGCCCATGGCTCTCTGGGAAAGTGCAAAAGGCTGAGACGCACTACTTTTCCCCGATTCAGACGACCGTCCTTTTCCCACCTCGGCTTTTCTCTGTGTGGAGCACGAAAATCAGTGGCGGAAAATGGATGGAATCCCTGAAGAGTGTGGGATTCAAGAGGATAAAAGTGACATGCACAACTTTTTCCAAACACACAACTTCAATGCAAAAGTCCGCACTTTTTGCATCGAAGTTCAATGCCTCGAGTTATGCGGAATGCATTAAATGTCCAGAAAGTTTTCCCTATGGAGGAAATTGAGTGAAGATTTTGGGGAGTTTTTGGCTAAAGTAGCACTAACTTCAAGTGACCTTCTCTATATTATTATCAAGAAAGACATCTCTGCTCTTTTAGGAGTAATTATTTGGGTAATTACGCTCTCGAGTGATACAATTTCCAAGTTCGGAAGAGATAAGAAAGACTATTTGGCAAAATTAGGCCAAACCAGACAGTAATAAAGGAAGACGGAAGAGAAAACAAAAATTTTAACAACCCTTTGGTTTGGAAACGATCAAAACATTTTACATTAGACAGAAGTTTCACACTAGAAACAATCCAAAAACTCACTCATACATAAATACAGTGCTGAAGAAGAAAATAAGCCCAACATAGGCTACAGCATATATGAGATAACATTTTGATTGATTATGTTAACAAAAATGGTTTTCACGTTGAGTATAATTTGCTGATGAACAATGTATACGTCGTATATTAGGTATCTGTAACATATTTTATGACATTTAAGTTAATATGCAGAACATGCTCGAGTATCTAAGAAGATGCCTATTAATTTTATATCCATGAAAATTGGCTGCGAAACAAATTGATACCATCTCACGCTTGTAACTTTCCTTCGAGATTAAATTACGTTTGGAAAAACTCCGAAATGTAATGAATAGCCGGGTATTTTTCATTTGTCCAAAAGGCGCGCACAATTTGGCGCACAAAAAGTGCTACAAGACAAATTGGTGCCTCGCAGAAAAACGGCAATATATACCTGAAAGTCGGAGAAAAGAAAAGTCAAGGGTGTGTCAATTTTCCAGGGTGATGGAACTCCATTCCCGCCTTCACGTCTGCCTGATTAACGAGCCGTGGCGCTTAATTAAGGAGCGCCTCCCGCCCATTGATCATTTCAATAAATTCTCAGAAGAAATGCCCATTTGCTGGGATATAGCAGAAATTGCTCTCAGAAGAGAGACATCCACATTAAAGGGTTGGGAATGCTGGTGGGTGTTTGGTAGTGACCGCGGAGATGCACAAGATTTTGAGGCCCCGCAATTGTCTATGCGCAAATTGTTGTCCATTTTCCACCACCCACACAATTCCCACCGCACATTCGAATTTGTGAATGTGCAGAAAATGGCAGCAAATACAAGTGTTTGCGGTCATGTACTTCCTTCCACACCATGTCTTCCATTGAATTCTGGTCTCAATTTTCCATGCGATTTCGGAATATGTAATTTATCCCATGCTGCACAGGGTTGTGCAGACATTTTGTGTGCAGAGCTTTTCTGATACGTTTTCAATTTTTCCTCCCAACCCTGTGCGAACATTCTTGCATTTTCTCATTGGCAAGAGAAAGGAAACTACGCCATGCTATCGAATGATGGCCATTATGTGATTTTCATTCCAACTTTTCGACCTGAAACTTTCATGTTCTCTTTGCCAAAAGTTTCTTCTTTCGCCCAGGAAAAACTTTCACTCCCAAGAAGGATTGAAACTCTGTCCAAACTTTTTACTGAGAGTGTCCCGAAATATTTCGAATATCTGGCTAAGCTCAAGCCTCTCTTGAGGGCAACTTTTGGGGGAATTCAAGTCATTTGGTTATCTCATAAGGGTTTTAACAGCACTTAAAGACCTCTGAAAAACCATAACTTTTCCCAGGTAAGACAATGGAAAGCTACCATACCTTCAATTCAGCATCTTTGACAATATATTGATACGCATATCTTCTTGGGGCTGTCTTTGGTCTCACGTGCACCCCATGAGGTCGTTTTGGGGGACAATTGCCCGCACGTGCTGCCGGATGGAAGCTGCTCTACTTCACCACCACCTGTTCTGCCCATACAAAATGCCATCCCTCGCCCTCGACAAGACAAAAAAGCCGAGGGTGAATTCGTCTTGCTGAATTTTATGCTATTTAAATGCCCATTTTGTCACAGTTTGGACGGAGTTTTGACACACAATCCCAAATATAATTGCTCTGCCCTACAGGAAATGCCTCAAACTCGTGTTACACGCTTTATCTAATACCTCTCGAATTTGTCACCAATTAAAATTGCACCATTTAGAACGGAGATGCTGAGATAAACTGCATTGATAAGTTTCACAACAACGGATTTGTATTCGACTGGATCCTGGAATATACAGATTTCCCGTTTTCTTCTGAGTTATAAGACATTTTTTATGTACTGAACGTCGCTTTGGGCTCATCCAACGTGCGTTGGATGGAGAAAAGATGGTCTCGAGGACTTTAATAAGAGGATATAGAGATATATTTGTGTGTTTTTCAGTTCAATGATTCTCTCTCTTCACGGCTTTTTTCCCCATTTATTCGCTGCTGAGCACGAGGGAAGGTTGGAGTGGTTCGAGGACTGCCGGTGGGACTTTTGAGAGGCTGAAGAGACATCCCAGCATGATGATGATGGCTCAAATGGTCGATTAGGCTCCTTGATTTATTTCGAGTTCCAATATCGCAGTATTTATTTTCTTCCTTTCCCACTATTTCGCTTCACTGAACATCCAGACTCTTTCACTTTTACCAGCAGACAACCAAATATTGACACTCCAAAGCCTTTCATTCGGGAAAAAATGAGTGTGTAATCCGAAATATAGTGGAAACTCTTTCATTGCAGAGGATGTATGGAGTAATTTTTTGAGTAGCGTAGTTCGCCTAATCAACCACTTGAGTAAACATATGGCAGAATATTCATATTATTTCATTTTATTGGTTTGCCAACAAAGAAATAGAATTAATTTCGTACGCGATAAACAATATTATATCGTTCAGGGTCTTCATTAAAATCCGCAGAAATTGAGGTGCGTGAAATGCTTCTTTTCCCGCCAGAAATTGTCAGGTTAATGGCAAAATTATTGTAATATTAACCCAAAATTTAATTTTGAAGATGATTCCTCTGAGGAAATTGGTCAATTTTGGGCAAAAAGAGATTCTTCTTGCCATATATTCACCTTTAACTTCCAAGGTATGGTTTTTTCCCAACCTAGCCCAGAAAATAGAGCATAATTTTAATATTCCTCGGTTGCATTTTCCTCCTTTTCATAACTCGCGCGTCAAATTATATTCATGCTCCTTTGAAAGTTATGTTCTTCCACAGTAGAAGGTACTTTTATCCTTTTGACGCCCGTTCGCCGAGGTACGTCCTTAATAAATTACATCTAACGTGCGTTGAGCGTCCTGACAACTGCACGAGGGAATAAATTTAAATTAAAAGTCCCAACTTTGGGATTGATATTAACAGCACAGTCTTTTCCCTGTTTTTCCACAGTTTGAAGAATATACGTTTTATTTTTTGTAGAATTACAGAGGCATAAAGAGGAGGAAAATACCTAGCAAAGTGCTGAATAAAAGCTTATTTGGAGGGAGTGGGAGGAAAGTTGGAATTCACATGGAAGTGACAAACAATTCACTTCCGACAAAGGCGCGTATCTTTGTCATTCTATCAAACAACACCCTCTCATCCGCGTGTCTCCCATTTCCCAGGAGGAAAGCCCCGCAACATGAGGAGTTCAAGAGGCACAGACAAACATTTAACACAGAAAACAGTGGAGACGAGAGGACTTGTCGCAATACGACTCAAAATACAATATATTTGTAACAACCTCCGCTCTTCTGTCCTGACTTTCTAATATCGTGCGCCACACAGCCCAGAAGAGCTGGAGACAATCCCATGCCGAACAACCCCAACTCCATCCAATTGCCAACAATCACAGAAGGAGTGTGTTTGCCAAAAGACACGGTGTGTCTCACAATTCAAAAGAGATGGGAAACTTTTGCACAGCGCAACAAAAACAATTAAATGAAAACATTTCCCTTCACAACCCCGCCAGCAAGAAGTTCTCTACAATTTCCTCCACTGCACCATTTCACCGGAATTAATATTATTCAAAATATCTCCCTTGTTTGGCTCTTTGAGACAATTCCTCCTTGCTTCACCTCCGCTTTCTTTCCGCTCATGAAGCGCGATACAAAGCGAAAGATATTTGATTCTCAGCAAATGAATTATTTTTCCATCTCTTCTTCTTCGGCCTGGAAAATCCTTTTATCTTTCTTTGTGTGGAATTAGGAAGAAGAATGAGACATTTTTGCTGATTCGCCTTTTGCTATCAAGGTTAACTTTTCAATTTATTTTGCAAAATTATAAAAAAGAGATATTGGATCGTATTCTCAATTTATTATTTACTAAGTATTAAAACAAAAAAATTAACAATGTGAATATTTTTTCAATACATTTTTAAGAATCAGGATTTTATGGTGTTTGAAGAAAAATTTAAGTCTGCGTTGAGTCAGTTATTATTTTTTCATTATTCCACACAGGGTTAGAATAGCATTAAAAAAAACCTCTGTCTCTGAATATAGCAGTATTTCTAAACGAGTTTCCACAAGTGCCTAAACTAACTCCAGTTTATTGCATTTGTAATTTTCATAAAAGTTGCA